TATTTTTGATTAAAAAAGAACAGAAATTCCAAGGAGTATTTCAACAGGTATCCACCCTACCAAATCGCATTGAGGACATTAATTTCTATTTATATAGGATAAGGAGATGGGTAGATTATAACTTTCTTTTTTATTCATTTGAAAATACAATTAGTTAAAAAAGGTTAAAACAATGTCTTACAAAACTATATACAGTTTGGCTGTAACATGTTCTATATTTCTCAGGATACTAACAATTATTTGTAACAAATGTAGTCCTTGCATAATCCCTTTTAGTTACTCCAACATTTTTTATAAATACAATTTTTTCCTCATGCCTTTTTCATAACCAGTTAAAAAAAGGTTTTCTCAATGTTTGGTACTTTCTATTTCGTAACCAAGTAAACGGTGAGTCCACTTTATATTTTCCAGGGCATCTTTTACATGTCTCATTAAACATTTTCATTCTGTTTCTGACTGGGTTCATAATTTTGACAAATGTTTCTTCCGTTTGCAAATTTTTAATTAGTGCCTAGTATCTATTATCACTATCTAGCAAAGAAGTTTTAAGTACCACTCAGCATGTATAGTCTTCTTGGATTAAATACTTCACATGTAACTTCAGTTAGTTCCAAGGAATTTGGGAATGATGGTATAAAACTAGAAAAGTGTCCTCACCCTAGCAGAAACTAGACTGGTTACAAAAGTTCAAAAAAATATTCCTCTTTTGCCACTAGTTAACAGCTCATCCATAATTGTACGTTTTCTTTAATTTTTTATCACCTCTTTTCTTACACATGTTTGTAAAGCATTTCATACATTTCTTCACAAAATTTCTATAACTCTTACATCCATTTTGTATAGCATATACAATCACTATAATTTAAGTTTTAACTTAGCTACTTACATACAACTTTTGCTATTCTTCAAAAAAGAAATCTTACCACAATAAGGGTTAAATATGACAATCACTACTGTACAAATAATTATGGTTGTCAATTGTACTTCTAACACCAACTTTTGCCATTACAAGTGATGGAATCTTGACAGTTAACTTGTATCCTAGACTAGACTGGTGCATTTCCCAACAGTGGAGGTGTTGACATACAGAAAAGTGGCATGTTTTTAAAAATTTTTAATTTAGTCTTGTAGGGTAAAATAGTTTGGCCTCACTTATAATTCCAGTCCACTCCTGTATGCTGCATTTGCACAATTTCTTATGTCTGGAAGAATCCATTCAATTCTATCTTTATAAGGCAAAGTGTTCATTACTTACAGTTAGCACTTTATTTGGTATTGTAAGACAAGCATTCCTCAGTACTTTATGCTTATAATTGGTGTTTCTACTTATAAATGTTTAATTACATAAATGTCAGTCTTATAAAAAGAAGAGGAGTCCTGAAGGAAGTTTTATCATGTTGCTCATAGTATTCAGGTGATTCCACTTTTCAGAATGTTTAGTTGTTTATTTATAATTCCATTAGATACATATTATTCTCCAATTAACATTTATATTACCATTCACAATTCAGTTGAAGTAAATGTTCATCTCAAGATGTCAATCTATTCTCTTTTAAAAATGATACATTATCAGGTTCTATATTACAAACAATACAACTGAACCTAGACTGCTTTCCAACATCTGCTCGAATATTTTTATTTAGCACTTGTCTTCACTAGTTGTCTGTTAATTAGATTACACAAAATTGAGAGAAAGAAAAGTTCATTTGTCAATAACTAATAAAATGCTTCACTTTTTCTTTTTAGTGAGCCTGATTACTGGAGGTCCTGTCAGACTTGAAATGCCTTTACAAATGTGTAGACCAATTGCCTCCATGTCACCCAGTATTCAGCTTGTCGCAGAGCAGTCCCAATATAGCAGCATCACTAGTTATCAATTAATCTATGTCTCGGTCATTGGTGATTTTTATATTATTCATATTCAAATTACTCTTCATATTTCCTCCTGGAATATACATAAAAACTAATATTAGTATAATGCTAAACTATATGTTCCATATGTTCCATATCACAATGGTTTTACATGAAGAGAATGTTAAACCAAAGTAACACTGGGAAGAAATCAAATAATAAAATAATAAATAGTGAAGGTATAACCACAAGTCAATGAAGTGGGCATACCTTAACTGTGAATAAGTATTGTATTTGTTCCTTTCTATATATTTAAAACTCTTTGTTCATAATTCATAATCATAAGCAAATCAACCTATTTCAGACTTTATAGAGTTGATGACTTGATAGGAGAGATGACAGCCGAATTGACTTCTTTGTGTTGAAAGACTTTTAGGCATGTACCTATACAACTATAGGTTACAAGAAAAATAAAACATTAAAAATAATCCAAGAAATCAACCTGTCTAGTTTCTTTGCTGGCTTCATTACTTACAAAACGGTTTAGTTATCAAAATAGTAACTCTCAATCATCATCATCAATTTCCTTCTTATCCTACTCCCGTAGGGTTGGCGCAACAGGTTTTTGTCCTCCAACTATTATTCCACATCTCAACACTACCTTTTTGGTTGGTTCGTCAATCGTTGGTGTTTATATCCTATGCGGCATTTGTCAAACATCTCATCTCATGTCACGGTTTAATTTACATCGATATCGGTACTTCGCAAACCATTTTCGCCCTATATGATCTTTCAGCAGGCCAATTTTGGCCAAATACTTAGTTGTAATACTCATTTGTTTTAAAATATTGCAACAGAAAGTTGACCAGCTGATCCTAAGTAAATAAGAACAAGATAGGGATGGACGCATTACAATAGTATCCTTACTAAACTCTTTGGATGGACATTACCTCAACGAAATAGTTGATTAATTCAACCGTTAACTGTTTTCATTCACTAGACTTCTTTTTACGCTATGAATTTTGAGTATTTCTTCAATGAATGTATAACAAGTTAATAAAATCACCTAGTTAATCACTATTTGAAAAAAGTAAGTTTACATTTTCGTTAACACCGAATCCAACATCCCTAAAACAAGAAAATGGTGCGCACAGAGTATATATAAATCAATGTTGCCACTATTTAAAGTTATTTATATCTGTATAAAACCTATTTTTCAAATATTTTTCCTTTTCATCATTATTTTGTGTTTTGTAAAATTGGACTATAGTTTGGTGAAGAAGGGAATCTTAATTAATTTACATTTCAATCGATCTTTCAAGTATAAAAACTTGGGAAACAAATCGCTCAATAATCGTTGAATAAAATAACGATTTCGAAGAATTTCGTATTCTACAGACGTAATTTATTAAAATCAATTAGGTTTTAAAAATCTTTGCAGCCCAGAATTTGATACGATTATGTGGGTGGACAACAATTCGCAGCGGAAAATTATCTTTGAGTCGCTAAAAACATTGAATCCATAATTATATAAGTTTTAATTTCGAAAAACCGAAAGACCACACAATGTCAATTAGGTGAGGACTTCATGAGGCCGATATAAACTAGTAATGTAATCTAAGCCTAGAATCTTAATTAATATTTTGCTCTTAGGTCAGATAATTTAATTACTAGATCTAACAACCTATTTTTCTATACTATGTATTATAAATTAAATGATATAAAGAACATAAAACTGTGTTGACCTATACACGAAATGACTTTAATTTTTTACATTGCCCATGTAATTTACAAGTATTGTTTTATATCGCCAAACAAGTTCGTAGGTGTAGGATACTGATGGAAGGATGGTGGATCGACGTTGGAAAGATTTCTTAAGGTTTTCAACCGTTATGTTGGTACAGTAATGCACCGTACCTGCGCCTAGCGCAGCTAGCGCTAGCGCTAGCTTATTTCAGCGCATGGTATACTCATTATTATTGTATCGTGTTCCTAAGCCACCTTGGCTCGCACTTCACACTTCACATCGTTCACATAGCACTGACGTACTGCGCACAGCGTACCGCGCACATCGCGCACACGGCTCTCGTCAGCCGCACGTTTAGTACGTTTTTAAAGGACGTCGCGCGGCGTACAAATCTGCCGCGAATTGTGATCTACTGCTCTGTGTACCTTGATTATCCATCTTCCCTGCGCCAGGTGTGCACGAGTTTAAGCTATAATACCTTCAGTTCAGTTTGCCGCAGTATTGATCGCATCCCGGTCGCTTCTGCTAATGTTTATAAACAGCCGGCCGCATCCATACCATCCCTCTTGTTTTTGATACGTTCGACCGATTGGAGAAGAGCCGCAGCACTGATCCTGAATGCGCCAACTGTACCGGCATCTCAAATAGGAAGTACAGCAAGTAAGCATGCAATTTTTTCCTCTTTTAATATAATACATGTTTGCTGACAAGTATGCGAAAACGATAAATATAGGTATCTGACGCTTCAGATTTTTTTTTTATCTTGTAATCATGTTTCTTACTAAATTTATCATGCTTACTAAGTAACTATAAAAAAATGCAATAATTTATTTATTAGATTTTTTACGCGATTTATAGGAATGGTTTCTATTTAGTATTTTATGACTGCAAATGCATGTCGCATTGCTCTAATATTAACGATGTGCTTGCATAAAGTAAGCCGGTTTACATCGAGTTACACAACCGATCACTAAGCAAAACAGAAATTGGCATTGTCGATGTGTCGTAGTTACCTATACTTATACTATATGCCGTAGGTATACTACGTGTCACTCGTACCAATAATTTGCCTTCAGAATCGGCTTTTTTTACTCCCCGATTCAACTTCCCTTATACTTCCTAACAAACCTTGCTGAGGTTTTACATCTTAAAAAACGATAGTCTTATAAGAAAATAATCACATACTTCTATTTTAAGTTACTCGTAAGTATATTTTTCTGATAATATCTCAGTAGAAGACATTAAATCATCTGTCGGAAATATTTTCAACTTATTATAGGACACTGAATCTGTACCATCGTTTAGCAAAAACTATTAATAAAACTTAAATTAAATAAACATACGTGTGTTTAATATTACAAGCTACATAACATCCACCTTGCATAAAAACATACTGTATGCCGGATCACTTTTGTTTCTTTGATAACTTCCTGAGTGCGACGGAAGGTATAAACGCGTCGCTTATTACAGAAGCAAGAAGTCTGCCTTAGCAGAAAAGTGTTTCATTCTCGATGTTTTGCGGCTTTTTAAATCTGACAATAACAACCGATCAAGCTGAAGATTGCTTCGTTTGAGGACCCTCAAATCGGTAGTTAAACACTATATTGAGTGTCCAAGCCGAGCTCCCCTCTCGGGGGACCTTGAGCCAAGGCACTCAACGGAATCGCCGCCGAAACGATCTAAGATCTCAACGGTCGCCTATACCAAAGTTGTTAATGTAGAGTAGAGGCTAAGATGTTTCCTAAAAGGTAAGCAGGCTTTGGCATACCATTTTGTGTCTCCCTATGTTTTTATTAAGTTTGTTGTTTTGCATATTCTCCATTGGCTATCGATTTTCGGTTTTATTCCCTGGGGACATCATCTATTCATCTATATTAATATGCTACAATACTTTAAAATGCTAATAAATAATATACAATCAAAACAAGTAGTAAATCGGTCAAACGATCATCTTGTAGGTAATGAGTTTTTGTTGTTGTCTTGGTCATTTTTCTTAATAGAAATTAGGCACAGTCGGAACATTCTTTAAAAAATTTAAATGTAACAAGGCTGGCTGTACACGTCTTAGAATAAAAAGAGAAGGGGAACGTGTCTACACTTTAAAGCTGAAAAGATATTATCTGTAGCTTTGTTACTGTGCACAATGCTACAGGTAAGTCTTCTAAGTCGTGCTGTGACGTATCTAGATCGTCTATTCATATCTTCTCAATGTGCCAATTTTACTGTCCCTTTTTTATCTGACTTAAATAGTAGGAACAAAGTTTATAAAAGCCAAACATGATTCGCCCGTGAAAAATTCAACTCGTGATCTATCGGTATCTGCTAGTTGGCACCGATCGTGATGCGCTTTCTATTCATCTTTTTTATTCGTAGTTCATCTTACTGCTTTATTATTAGCAGAGAGAGGGGAGACTGTTGTGCATTGTAAGGTGTCCTCGACCTTGATTAGATTGTGATGTCACATGACCAATAACGATGTGTTTTGAACAATCGAAAATCGAGAGCCGAGCCCACGTCACTTAGGTGTGCCGAACTACCCACTACAATACACTGTGATGAACTCGATGACCATATGGGTGAGGTAGTCGAGTTTCCTGCAAATGTTAGGTTGACACGATTCTATTTGGTGTTTATTGTTCGCTAACAAACGAATAAACGTTTTTGATCCATACAAAATATCCGTTTGCCTTTATGTAGAGCATTGACACTAAAACTAATGACCTGTTTTGGCACCATTCTTTTGTATTTTGATTTAAAAATATCTGGCAACTTTCCAAACAATCTTGAAGCGAATAAACTGATTATCTAAAATTATGAGTAGCATTATTGTAAATATATCTATAGTACATTATAAATGTACTACAGCACTGGATTGAACCTAAATTATTAATTGGGCGTATTCATACACTTTTAAATACATCTGAAATTCATAAGTGTATAAAGTGATCAATTCCAGCAAACATATTTGTTGTCTTTATTACATTAACCATCTATCAGATGAGTTCAGAAGTCAAAGACAAAAGTAAACACAAGCGCATATGCAGTTAGAACACATTGCGTTACAGAGGAAAACTGATAAAGACAAGGTAATAAGATTAGAGGGCTAATGTCTTTACATAAACAAATAAAATATGTGCAATATATAGAAGAAGCCAAGTTAATCTTGAAGTTTCGTTATCAGTAATGATTGTATAATAAAACGATAATTTTGATACGTTGCCGAAACGATTGAGTGACGAATATTTGTCAAATCTGCTAGATTAGTTTTTTTAAATACATCATACATTTGAACACAGTTGTCTAGGAATTTGCAGAAAAAGATGACAATGTTTCTATACAATTTTGGCAGTGGAAACTAAACTTAAGATTATAATTTCAATATAATTCCTGTCTAAATTGTGTAATGAATCAGGTTTGCATCGATCTATCAAGTCTTGTCCTTGACAAAGTATCGTATAACGGACTTGACGCTCTGTTTTTTTCTGTCAAGTATGCGACAACTGTGAATGTATTAAATTGTTGAATTACTGTAAAATTCCATCGAAATATTGGTGTTTTCGAAGTGTATCCTTCAATTAATTTAACTCTATCGGAATACCGTAGGCGTAAATATATATTTTTTAACATAAATAAACCAGCGCTTGTCCACGATTCCATCTAAGCTAAGTGAATACGCGAAATATAAAAATGAAATAAAGAGAGATTCGAATCCCATACACGGAGTCAAGCAAATTAAATATAGGGAACTATATAAAATTCTTTGTCTTTTGAAGCTTCATATCTTATCTTACCAATATTAAAAATGCGAAAGTTTAGAGTTATGGATTGATGGATGGATGTTTGATGCGAACGGAGTCGCGAGCGAAAGCTAGTATTTATATAGAACAAACGGTTTTAATGTAATAGAGATCAGTTAGTTTTTCTAAAGATGTCATATATTTTTTAAAGATAAAAGTTATAAAACTCGACTATGTACTTTTTCATAACGTCCACACTAAAAGTGGAATATAGGAATTTTCAACCCTATTCCGAATATTTCACCTATTTTGAAATGAAATTCGTTTATCTAAAGCTGTACAAACAGCATTGTGTGAAAGCGAGTATGCGAAAACATTTTATCGTGAGTTTCCACTGACGAAATTCCTGTCCAAAAACGTATTGTCATCCTTCTCATAATTTGTGAAAAAAGCTGAGATAACAGTAATGTTTTCTGTATTATATTTCGTTTTTTAAAGATAATGCATTGAATGTTAGTATAATGTGATTTTTTATTAAAAGTATATCGTAGAATCTGTTGAGATTAATAAAATGTGATTTGTAATTACATTAAAAAAATCCAATAGTTTGAAGATTTCTCTATATTCGATAACGAATTCTCATTAATTAAAAATATCAGCGTCAGTAACACTCCAAACATTTTTAATAAAACTTTGCAAACTTAACTTTTATATGAGCTACATCATTAATGAATGAATGTATTCAAGAATGTTGGTATGTTTCGCTAAACCGCCACTACCAGAGCTCAAAGAAAGATTTAGAATATTATCTTAGAGAATTATTGCGAAAAACATTAGTAAGGTTTTCATTGCATGCAATATTATTGGTTGCACGACCACCCAAATAAATTTCTCAGTAAAAATTTCATCACAACACATGCAACATTTTCAATCTTCATTTCATTATGAGAAATTTGTCATCAACAACCACTAATAAAACTAAGGTATCTGCTCATTTGCCATCTTTGTATATTAATTGTTAAGCTTTTTGTGTAGGGTATCTGGCAAAAAATGTAAAAGAGTTATGTATCGTTTGCTACTCTAGAAATACGTCTAATTGGCTCAATTATAACAACGTATACCAATAACTTGAAGGGTAGTCAGTGATTATGGAATTGATTATGATGTGGTTTTAATATTCTTTTAATGTCATGTTTTCTGTTCAAGTAAATATTATGTACCACTTAATAAAGAAATTCACTGGTAGAGGTAGACCTAGACAGGGATGAATGGATTGCGTGAAAGGAGACATGATCAAGTAGGGAGTGATGACTGATATAACGGATGATAGAGTTATTTGGAGGACGAAAACCCGGTGCGCCGACCCTACGGCAGTAGGATAAGGCAGGGGAGATGATCAGAAAATCGCCATGTATTTACTTACCTGCGGAAACATACCAGTAACATATAGTTGCTGATCAGTAAAAGATTGATAAAAGCCAGTAATATATAAAATAATGGTATTTTCGTAGCAACAAGACGACTTTAATTACAAGGTGTAAGACTTACGGTCTAATGAATCACAGCGTAATCAATAACTTTCTCTTTTTATACCTTTTTCGCAAACCAATAATGTCACAGTAGATAATGAAGTTTTATACCGAAAACTTAGGGTTTTAAACCGAAACGTATTTTTTTTGCCTCCATATTGTTTTGATTGCTTTCTTTTTATTGGTATCAAGTTGCCAGGAATGTTGTTTTAATGTAAAAAATATATTGGTGTTTTACCTCGCTAAAATATACAGTACCTACTTTCATATCTTTCTGGAATGCAATTAGTATGTTTTTTTGTCCGAATTTTTATTAATGAAATATAGTAACACTATTACTTAAATCCATTAAGTAGATAAATAATTTTCTATGTTCAAGAATTGTTTTATACATCTTCAAGAGGATAACGTTATTAATATAATGTATTTGCATAATATAGATACTGCTTCATATTGTATGCGAATTTTAGAAAATTTGAAATCTTTCCTATACATTTTGTTAATAAGATTATAAACTGGTTTTATTCAAATCTACAAATATTTACATGTTTTACATTTATATTTACAGTTATACTGTTCTTACACTTCTTTTGCATATTTTATTTTATCGTGGAATACTAAAAAGCAAAAATTATGTTGTTGCAATATAGCTTAGAACATTTTAATGAAATTTTCTTGATATATCCAAACTTGATTTTCTAAGGATTTTTTTTACGGGAAAAATACCTTATTCGCATTAGTGGTATCCTGCATTTTTACATCTTCTATACTTTTATAATAAAGCGTAAACATACACATCTTTGTTGCCTAAGATGTCAGCAATCACAGCATATTTTTGAATAATCCTTTTTTTACAAAAAGCCCTACACTTACGTTAAACTTAGGGGGTAAATATTTTGGACAAAATCCCATATGGGAAAGAGACCATAAGTTGCTGCCAACATCAAGGAAACAATTGTCATTTGTGCATTTGAATTTTGACATTTCATGCGGATGAAGCCGCACTGGAACAGCTGGTATTTTCATAAATCGCGCTTATAAGTTATTTTTACAAGTTTTAATTCTTTAAATTTTTGTGTAATTTATAACTTATGTACTATCATGTGACTTGTTCTGTTTTTTTGTTATTCGTTATGTAGCACTCTCCCTTGGCCAACTGACTACGAAGGACACGAGACTGGAATACAAATGCGCAGTTATGGATGTTTTGTCGCGACTCGATGAAGGGAATTTACGTTCTCGCGAAAATAAAACATTACTCAAGGTCTGGTCAGTGTTGCATCTTTGTTAAAGAATTTGAAATTAATTAAAAATTTCATTATTCGTGACAAATATTAGAGTGGGTATCCGCTATGGACACAATCGTAAAAAAAATGTCACAAAAATATTGACATTGAAATACAAGTGCGAATTCACTGTTATGTCTGCCTACCGCTTTGTATAATTATAGTAATAATGTGTACCTATCACTAAAAAGTATTAAAGTTTCAATATTAAAAAAAAATGGTACAGTAAAAATAAAAGATGTTGAGGCAATGCATTCTTGAATAGAGGCTAAATCATTTTCTTTATCAAAGCGTATCAATTCGCTGGCGTGCTGTCGTCACGGAGCAAATAGAATCGTTCTGGCCGCTAAGAAAACATTTCTGCGTGAATGAAACCTCGCAAGCTCTTTCGTTACCGGGCCACGGTAGCGTTCCAAATTCGAACGTTTCATTAGATACGTTTTTGTCGAGGTTGCAACTGTTTGTCTATTTAAATCCAATACTAATATTAAAAAGAAGAATAATATGTTTCATTCTCCGTTAGTATTGAGTTTAATCATTATTTTAATAGATATTTATAAGAAAGGTATGGAGAAGTAACGATGTGTATTATGAATACTTACAATTTCACAATGACGATTGTATTACGAACTATAAATATTGGAGCTCATTATTTTCTTTAGGAAACTAAATGTCTTAGATATAATGGAGATTGAAAGATTCAATTGAAGACGATTTTTTATGCACTATTTAAATTAATATAAGTGATGCCGGAAATCAAAGTCTAGTTAAATATACAGGATTAAGATCAGGACGCGCCTTGTGTCCACATACCTAATGCCGGATGTTGAATTGTTATGGATTTTTTTTTCAATTAATGCAGCCTAAATTTATATAAGTTAACGCATATACAGTAAAAGAATTAATTAGAAAACTACGTAAATTCTTTCGTTATTATTCAATAAGATAATGTGTATATAGATGTTCCATTATTCAGGTGCATATAGTTAAAGAATCCATAAACAGTGTCATATATCATTGAGTTTACATAAAAATAATTATTGGTACGTATAGTGAGTGAAACTAAGGTGTACTTACATAACAAAGATAATGTTTCTAATTAACCGGCGATTGTGATCGGTAGTTGCGAGCACACGAACTCATGAGTTCATACCAACGTCTGACCTTTCACTGGCTGAGAAATGCTATTATGTTGTCATTCCCACAAGACCTGCAGCTTTATCCGTCTTCAAACAGCCCTAACGGTTCCGTATGCATTTATTCATTTATCCAGGAAACTGATGCGATTATAAAGATATTGAATGTTTACTTTCATTTGCCATTTTCTTATGAATGGGCAAGGAGCTCGTTAGAGCATTAGTTATATTTAGGATGCAGCCCACCGCCAAAGTTATACGATCTGTTGGTACGTGGCGCCACTGGATGGATACCGTCCGAATCTCTGCACGCGATATCTACGCAGTTCAACTGTGTCTACACAATGCTTGACATGTTTACATTTGGACGTATTTAGCTAATGTAAATAAACAATCTCATTGTAGTACCGTTAAAATTTTCGTTATTCGTGTATTTGGAAAGTACAATTAGGCAATGTTACCCAGCTAGAGTGGTAAGAGATTGAAATAACATGATGGGAATTATTTTTTTAACGGAATCAATTTGGAACATTAAATGCGGTGAGTTGGTTTGGTAATCGCCGGTTTATTTGCCAACCTATTGTTACATGGATATTGTTATCGTAAATATTCGGTGTTATCGAACAGACAATATTTCCATTTGCAGTGATTAATTTTATTGCTTATTATAAATCACATTCTGTTTTATTCACAGGTTGATTCGTTTCGGTGGTGTACGCGATGTTTGGAGTAAGTCCGTTGGCATCGGACTCAATGACATGGAGACTGTAAATTAGGTAGGTATATGAATTAGTTTAAAATAGACAATGTTGTCCACTCTGGATATGAAAATAATTTAAATGACCTTGAGTGTAGTAAGAAATGTCATAGATTTGATACAAAGATCGATAAAGTACGCGTTCACTGCACTTGTGTTATTAAATGTTTCATTAATGTCTTGGAGGTTATATAACGAACGTTATATTGAAGGCATCGATCAAATTTAAATCAAATGCGTTATTGAGTGGAATTGTCTCGCTATTACTTGACTGATTCAGAAGCTAGGAAACATTTTATTGAATAGTTACACCGTGAAGGCAATAACTCTGTCAAGGCCAAGATGCACATAAAAATTGTTTTTTGCGTGACTAAAAAAACTGACGAATGCGGATAAAGATAATACAGTAGATGTTGGTATTTTCATTATTAAAGTTGAATTATATGATGTAATAATGCTGTAGTAAAGTTGTTAATTAGGTTGTGGTCAGAAAGATCGCTGGTTTGGTTCCCAAAGTGGACGATGACTGGCGAAACTGTCAAGGGCAAATTAGGACAACGCGCCCGATGCAATGAAACTAGAATGAAAACAACAAAAACTTTAATGTAACGCAACGAAATAAAAGAGGATCTAATGCCGTGGGAAATAATATTTTGATCTTAATTTAACGCTTCGTCAATCGCCGAAGATAGCTTTATTGTTCTGCTTTCTACTCGCTTTTTGATGTAATGCATACAAGCTTCAAATATTAATAATACTTGCTTTAAAATATTAGCATCTTAATATGCAGCAATTTACAAATATAATGTAGTTTTCTGTGTTTCCAAAGCTTTAAATCCGTCAGACATAAAAAAGAACTACTAAAAAAAATGTTTTATGTAATGTTTAATAATAACATTTATTCGTAATTATACCTATGTTGGCTTACATTACATTAGAATTAACTGAAGTGCTCCGGAAAATAATAGACGTCGGTCTATGAGAATTAATGAGTGTACTAATTTATAAACACCGTGTGGCCGTTATGATTTGTATCGTTATAATTTGTACCGTTGTAATTTTTGGACATTTACAATGTATTTTTGTTTACAAAACAATGATAGGTCTTGGCAAGCAACATCGAAATTATAATTCCCTTTTTTAGTTAGTAAAATTGTAACATTTAATTATCTTTCAGATCTCACTAGACTGTTGAAAAGATTAAGTGTTTGGGTGAAAATAGTGTGAACAATACAGTTTTGTTATAACATGGACGTAGAAACATTATTTAAAGAGTGGCCGTAAGAACTGTACGTTGCAGTTATTTCCATGTTGTAAGAGTGCTGTAGATTGGCAGCCATGCTGTCGTACATGGTGCCCGTTGAGGAGAAACCGCCGCCGGCGCCCGTCAAGGGCCGCCTCGCGTTGGAGCTGGTCGGCAGTCCAGGCAGCCCTGAGTCCGCGGTCAGGAAGACCAGAAGCAACATATCCAAGGAGTCCTCGACGAGCTCGTTCGCGAGCGATCTCACTATATCGTCGTCGACTCCGACCGGCGTCCTTGACAAGCCCAAACATAAACTGCTGAGCAATGGCAGTAAACACACGTCACTAAAAAGGTTAGTGTCTATCGACTATATTTAATGCTGTTACCTTAATTAAATAGCTGGAAGACGAGATTAAATTACTTAATAACACATTATTTTATAAAGTAAAAAACCGCTTCGCGTAATTACATGATGTTTACATTTAGTTGTTAAATCAAACTGCTGAGCTTTCGCTTCCAGAATATACATATTACCAAATAAAACAATAAAAATTATGTGTTAAGATCTATATGCTATAGTCAAGGCTTTGAATGTCAGAAAATGTTTGCTTCATGCATGATCAGTTTAAGGTTCATTATAAGATAAAAAGCGAGGATAGCGATTGATATCTTTAATGTAATGAGTAAAAATTGACTGTACTTGTGTTGCCATTTATAATTCATTAGATATTTCTCTTTGTTATTAGTAATTTATTACTTAATCCCATGCTACCATGCACCAATCGTATATGCTAATGATATTCTATTGTTTTCACTAACGTCTTGTGTATTCTATACCGATCTAATCGTTTATGTACGAACTGCGTTGTTCCCGTCTGCATTGAGATTTATGTATCGAGGATAATAGTGCTAAATACATTCTTGTATCAGGGATAAATGCTTTGTTAGGGATTCAATATTAATCTATAATCTAGAATAGAGCAAAACTTTGAGAAGAAATCATTGATCGTAACCTTTTGTGTCATTAAAAATTAATAAAACCCATACTAGAAGTGTTAGTTACCTCTAGTAAAATTAGATATTTGGTGTTTATCTTCCTCAGTCTATTGTCTTCCGTTGTACATGTAATTTACTAATATCCTAGTTTAATGAGGAACATTAACCACATTGCCGGCAATCGTGTGCGCGTCTGCTAGTGAAAATCGATTTCCGACAGACTGGACTGAACGTACAGAGGTCGCTAAAGGTCTGCAAATACATACCGTGTAACATATGTGTCTATTTGCCAGCCACAGCACTTTGTATTAATGGATATTGATTAATGCATGTATCAATTTGGACGTAACCTGTGGTTTGATTGCATTTATACAAGAGCACAATAATTTGTTTATATAGGCTAGTGGCTTTTAGCAGTATAGCCACAGGCTGTCATTCCTGATTAATTTTAACGCAAGCTACACAGGATTTTGAATTATAGTTAAACAAGGATGTTCAGCTCGGTTATTAGTGCTGGTATCGGTTGTTCTGTAAAGCTTACACGGGTATAGAAAATGGTTAGGAGTGAGGATAATTTAGTTTCACTTATACTGCTCAGATAATTCTCTAGCCTATACTAAGAACTTCGTAAAGGGGTTCAGAAGCAAGCAAGACAAAGAACAAAAGAGATACATTTTTAATTTTAAAAACATAAAATCAAATGTTTAGATTAAGACTTGTAAGCTTCATAGTTCTTGCATTCCCAGGCGTCTGGTAGTCTCAAGGGTATATTCGTTAGCCACGGAGTATATATCTCCAGTTGACAGTCAGGTCTGTGAGAAAAATATACGTTTAATTTCAATTATGATTAAGAAAATGACGATATAATATCCCTTTTTAAATAAAGGTCTTTGCCAGAAAGGAATAACATTACGAAACTCTTTTTTTTATATATATTTCAATCTATTTTAACTAATTCGTCAATATTGTTACTTATAACTTATAAGCTATCCTTTCAGTGTATTTTAAATTAAAGATCGTAGTGTATTCTACATATAAAATTACACTCAGAATTTCCTGTTTAAAATAAAGTGGAAATTGTAGTTCAATTTTTCCTTTGTAACCTCACTTTTTATCTAGAGTGCCGCGTGCCGCTCTTGGCATTTTCTAAGCACCTCAACAAGCTCTAAGGTAAAATCCTAGGTAATATTAAACTAGATTTAAATTTTACATTGCACTAGAGAATGCTTTCGATTTAGCTTCTCTTTTGTTGGAGTGAATGAAAGAGACAGTAAATAATACAAGTGTCACTGCAGTAAAATTCTTGCAGTAAGAAAATGACTTACTTAGCAGCTATCCACCCTATAAAGCCAGTAGAGGTGACCGGTACTGGTTTAAGGCTTTTCTTTGTCTCCGCTCTCCCTATAGCACGTGGTAGTTCTGCCGCGGCCTCTTCCCGTATAGCATTTGCTTCCTTCAAGGTTCGGCTAAAATAAAGATATAATTAATTATAATTACATTTATTACATTAACTAGCTTTCGTCCGCGACTCCGTCCGCGTGGAATAAAAAACAAAAGTGTATTGTGTTCTTCTAGACTATCCTCCACATCTATACCAAATTTAATCGAAATCCGTTCAGCCGTTTTGACTACAAACTCTAACAAACAATAATCCATCCATCGGTCTAAACTTTCAAATTTACAATATTAGTAAGAAGTAATAGTAATAAAGATGTAACTAGAGATCACTATGATACAGTCTACATCCAAAATGTACCCTCTCTAGACTGTAAAAGATACACAAAATTAACCTAAGTACATTTATATTGATGGAATATAAGGATGGATGGAAATGCAAAAAAAATAAAACGGTAGCCTGTATTTTTCTTGTCATATTTCCAATTTATTCGCTACTATCTGAAAACACGCTTTAGTCACATATACTCGTATCAGCCATTTTTACGACGTTTCGGTGATGCTACAGCGCGAAATAATCCAACAACTGCAGCTATTTCGAAATTGCATGAATTTTGTATAACTTCTTACTTCGAAAAGTTTCCCTTTGCATAACCAACTTTTGTCATCGTTATTTATGACCTGGCGTACTTATAGTCTCTTAAAAAAGGACTTTCGTTATTGTGTAATTACTTCATTTCAGCGAGAAATTGTGTGTGTTTTATAACAAAACGTAATTTATATCTTTACTTTCGTCCGTGACTCTGTCTGCGAGCAATTAAAAAAAACAATTAGTATATGTGTGCTTCCATATTATTCTGTCTAAATTTTATCAAGATCCGTTCAGCAGTTTAGGCTACAAACTCTAACAAACATTCATGATGGACGATCTATCCATTCAAACTTCGCATTTGTATTATCAATAAGAAGTAAGATATTTTGTTGTGGATACATCCAATAGGCCTAGAACTAGAACAATTACTAGATGAATCTTCTAACTTTTGAAATAACTTTCTACTTTATCGAAAAACTAGCCCTTCCCGTGCGGCTTCATCCGCATGACATAATGAAAATTTTAGTTTATTGTTTACATTTGTCAAATTATCAATAGCTAATGCCATGACATGACAAACCTTAACAATCTTGCTTTCTTGATGTTGGCAGCAACTTATCGTTTCTTTCCCACATTAGGGTTTTTATCCAAAAAATTTACCCTCTAAGTTTAATGTCGTGAAAATATATCGTCTAAAGCGTGACGTAAGTATAGGGCTTTTTATTAAAAAAAATAATTATTCAAAAATATTCTGTAATTGCTGATATCTTAGGCAACAAAGAAGTGTGTGTTTACGCTTTATTATAATAGTATAGATAGAATAAATTCTTTGACATTCTCCAAGACTTGACACAACAAAAAAATGGCGAAGTATCCATAGTAATAGAAATGTCATTTCTATTCCGTCACTCATAAGTCTCGCATTATGTTTGTAAGCAAGTAACTTGAGAGTTGTAAATTGCATGGTTCTGATAGACGAATTGTATATTACTATTCATACTGTCTAAAATCAATCTTGGCATTATAAGATTCAATATTTACATCAGTTAGCCGGGTTCCGCTGATACCTCTTCGCAGAGTTTGTTCCAATAAGCGAGTCGCCTTACTTTGGATTGCATTATATTTGAATTCTTGCCTTGAGCTAGTTCGATACTAACAAGAGTTACGATACGATATAGGCAAATTGCATATCTTGTCGGTCAGTTGCAAACTTGGTGACATGTGACCGTTATAACGAGAGGTTGCATTTTAAACAATATAGGTCTGTAAATATAAAAGAAAAATTCCACTTAAGCTAAGTTACTTATTAACATAATTTGGGTTCTTACAAAAATATTCATTACTAGCCTTTAAACGCGACTACGTCCGCGTGGGATTGAAAAAAAAATAGCCTTTTTTATAATAAAAGGGGACAAATGTTCACAACCTCTAACAAACATCCATTCATCCATACATCCATGTAAACTTTCGTATTTAAAATATTTGTGTGAAGTATGATTTTATTGACAAATTTATTTTGCAAATGTTCACTTCAGTTGGTTTTAGATCTTCATTTTAAAGCGAAACTAATGTTTTTAGTCAACCTCGGTGATTTTATTCTACTTTAAGAAAATAAAAATAAACATTCTCGAAACCTGCATTTCACGTTAAGCGGAACTCAGCTTGCAAGTTCGCCGGAGCTCATAATAAAAAACTTGCAACATGGCCAAATGGGTTCGTTGTTACGCAATACAAATTCACATCGCTTGGAAATAAACGTCCTGCTTTTGAAAGTCGTAAAGCTCCGTGTGATATTCGCAACGTTATATATCTAATGTGATACATACATAAAATGTTATATACGAATATATAACACGACATGACATTAATTATATTTCATCGGCTTACGCAAGAGAAACTTATATAACAATTTTTCTGGGTTAATAATTTAAACATACTTATATGATATTGAATATCCTTATAACAAAACAAGTTAAGAAGCAGCACTTTCATTTCTTAAATACTCATTGTAATATACCAAACCTAAACATAGAATTTACAAATATCTATGCTATGTAGCCTTCACTAGAAGCCAAAAGTTAACTTAGAAAGCCTGTAGTTATATAGTTTTTAAAACAAACTTATTATGTTCCGAAAATGTAAGAGCACTGGACAATCGTTTGTTGATAGAACTATGTTAGATAAGTGTGAATACGCTGTCATGCTGTTGCTAATACTATAGTCTGTTTTCTGTTCAATCTTGATAATTTCCGTTCTCGTTGTTTTCGTGTTCGATTCAAAAGCCGAAACAGGACGTAACCACAATATCCTTAGTCCATACCAGTAAAACAAGCAAACATATAGTCTTCCATAACATGCTGTTTGTTAGTTGTTTGCTTTCGAGGCAACACTAGAATATGATTACCAGTTTAAACTAGTCATGTTTACTTTTGCTGACCTATCAAGCTGGGGTTTGTTTGAACCAAACATGCATTTACGAGCACGACGTCATAGATGGATCGTGAACTAGCGTCGTATAATGTAACCTTTTTGCAACTATGTTTACCTTAAATTACGTTCCTTTCTGCGGACAATTTACTTGCATACCGTAACTCTTTTAATGTTCACTTCTGTTATATAAGACTAATATTTGGTCTAAATACTATCGCATGGTTGAGCTTCGATCTTTTAAAGCTTTGACGTGAATCTTTATCTACTTTTATTGTAAATGTTTTATTGTTAGTAGATTAGATACCATTTTTACAATTTAATGCAATTACAGAATTTTATTTCAATGTTATAGTTATAGCAAATATTGTTAAAAAATGTTTAAAATAATGTTTAAAATAATTTCTTCCACAAAATATTAGCCTTATCATTATCAAATGTATGGAACGGCTTTGAATTGCGTGTCTATTTTAAACCAGAAACCTTTACACGTATATTATAATAATAAACTTTTGTTTTGCAACTCGTTAACACGAACAAATTGACATCGAAAGACAATACTCTTCGTGGAACGTAACAATAAAAATAAAAGTTTGCAAGTTTTGTGTGACTAACACGAGAATAATTTCTCGCGATTATCGAGTGACAATTTTGAGGATTAAGCAAATGCATTTGTTACTTAAACTCGTTTCAACCGTAATTGACTCATATTATAGACGGCATGTTATCTGACCCAATGAGCATAAGTGAAATTATACTATGACAGCCTAATAGCGCCTTCCGTTTAAGCCATTTTCCAAGTCCATGTAGGTTTTATATATTTTCTGATAAAATCAACTGATAGCAGTACTTTCCTCACAGATCTAGATATTATTGTTTCACCATATAGTCTTGTACCGAATTAGGAGGAGTGATTTTGGAAATCCCAATTATTATATTAATTGTCTAGAGCGCTAGTTTTTTCCGCATATTCATCAATACCCATAGGGGTCATCATAAGACTATCGAGGTTAAGCGGAACATCCAGCAACGATACCATAGATTTCCATCGCCGTGACATTTATACGTATTGTGGTCTCATTTATGTCAAAGTTAATGAAAGGGATGACAATGTGACAATAGTAGTGTTACGTTTGTTTATAAGGTTGGTTGTAGTTTACCTTTGCTCATCCAGTAACCAGCTCCAGAGTTGAGTCCATTGTTTGCTGCACGCCTCCGCCTTCTTCCACTGGGCCCTCATCTGAAAAGCTTCCGTGTTCGGGTCGAATTTAGGCATTTTCCCCGTGTCCTTATCCATCGCTGTTGATTCTACTTGATAACACAATTAGGCCACTCGTTGATTGCGATGTGCTGTAAGCGGTCGTGTAATGTTTTATTTTAACACTTAAAAGATAACTGTTGCAATCCTGATAACATCAACGGTTTAAAAACTCGCCGGATGGAGCGTGAATTAATTTAAAAAGCAAATTTATCATCTGCTGTGGTTTAAACGCGCCGTAGTTCCTATCTGATTCATGTTTTATTGCACGGTGAAGGTACGAGAAACTTTTTAACGGTGATTCTAGCTTCAGCTTAGAAATGAGTTCGCAAAATAGTGTTGGGTTTTATAAGTTATTATTATCTACCTATACGGTTAATAAAATTATAGCATCTGTGGGAAAAAAAAAACTATTTTTTTATCCAGGATATATTTGAGATGCCAATTACGAAAAATCTATTTTCAAAGAACGTAGAGAAAATTTGATTTAAAACTTTTTAAATTAATTTTATCTTACAAATCGGCACCTTAACTTCTTTTCCAAATGTTATAATAGTACAACACACTACACTAGTTTAGGGATAGATGAATCGCTATAAGTCATAGAATAAAAACGTGTATATGGGTAATTAGTGAATGTACGCAAACAGACCTTTCCACTAACTAAAGACACCGTTTAAATACCACTTATCATTAAATCACATTCAAAGTGTCGTTAGTTCTTGTTCGTATTCCCTACGGAACTATTGCAACTCTTTGTTCACATTTAGACTATTCCAAAGATTAGAATAGTAACAAATGTAAGTACATTTATTTAATTCTTGTTTTATTTTTTTAAATGCCTTTGTTGATATAGTTTTATATGAAGTTTCTTAAATATATATTAAATCCAAAATCAAAAATAAATTAACAGTAGAAGATCTAATAGATACTTCCCTGTCTACCCTGTTTTCAATAAAATACTTGAATGCTTTTACTATTATCATAATGTTTAATGGCCAAGCGAACTGTGTCAACGGATATCGATTATACAAGCTTTTGTACAGTATTATAAAAGACGGGAAATCGTCTCTAACAATGCAGTTAACTTCGATTTATATGCGGAAATTACACTCTTGCAATGATTCCGTACATAAACGCTCCAAGAATAATGAACAAGTTTCATTATTGTCATTATGCATCGCTCGCCAATAATAATTTGATGGACAATACAATTCATTCCATTATCCGACTTTAATAAACTAATACAAACGCACTATCGAGAAACGCCACAAAGAGTCCATCTACCATCATTGTCAAAGTGGGCCAGATATTACAAAGAATGTTAAGTAGTTTGTTACCAATACGGAACTATAGTTGTAAAAGTTAAAACGATTGCACTGCCTTTAGAAGCTGCAAGTCGGCCGATTAGAAAGTAAATTCGGTTACACCAGATGGTACCCAACTGTTTCTCATGATCTGAACAAATCCATGCCGATACAATTTTATTTTTATCTTTATTGAAATTAGAAAAAAGGAATAAATGGCAAGATTCATTATTAACTAGACCCGGCTTGAGTTCCTATGCAACATTAAATAACGTCAAAATGTACAAGCAAAAGTTTTATTAAAACAGAAAGATCTTTTCTTCAAGTTTTTTTTTATGAGAGCTTCGGATACGAATATCAATTATGATTTAGAACACTAGAAAGAGACCCTAGCTTCGTCATAGAAAGAACTCAGTTTAGTTCTTTGTTGTCGAAATACGAAGTTGCGGTTGATAGCTAGTATAATGTTAAACTAACATTGTTGCAACAGATGGCAAAGATGACGATGATTTTGTAACAATTTAGAGGTCAATGATGTCGCCTTTAAATGTCCGATTTGACCTACTGACAAAATTGTAAGAGATTTTTAGTGGACGAGTAAGAATAATTGTATGTGGGTTTGCATTTCTGTCCATTCCATAATGACATCTTGTTGCCTAAACGGCTGAACTGATTTTAACGAGTCTTCTTCCCCGTTTTCTAACATTTAGTATTCTTCTCTGAATTATATTAAACAACTTTTTAAACTATCAATTAAGTTTCATATATTTTAACGAATTTCCATGTCACTTAAAACCGATTTAACCAATTTATTCGGTACGTAATAAGTATTGCGCGAAATATTCGCATGGGTCAGTAAATTTCGCCTGTATATTTTCGTAATATCACGGTTGTCTATACTTAGCGTGTTACATTTTTAATTAATTACTTAGCTATTGGTTGTATCAAATTAACAATATCAATGATAATAATATTAAAATGTAATAATTGGTAAGCAACAATATAATGTTATGGTACATTTTTCGTAGTCATAAAATTAGTTGTCTACTTTTAAGTCCTTCACCTCATTTGATATGATCCTTGGTATTTTATTATTTATCTATATCTATACATATAAGAAAATTGGAGTGTCTGTTTGTAATATCGAAAGAAAAAAATCCAGGTTTCAGGAAGGTGATGTATTTGCGTTGCTAATAACGAAAATCGCATCTGTTTACCTGTCCGCAAGCCGCGTTTGTTTCGGGCAATCTCCGAAACGGCCGGGCCGATTTCGCCGAGACATTCACTGGAGGGTAGCTAACATGGATAGGCATATTATAGGCTACCTTTTTAAATACCGCGCTATCAAAATGACATAACGGGAGGTCCAAATTTGCGCTAACAAAGTTTACGGGCGACATCTCGTAACTAATATGTTGATCTATGTAATCACTAATTAATTACATTTGTTTCTGTAAGAACTTTTTCGGTCGTGGAAGTAATTTAAACTTCGTAAAATGTTCGAGTGGAATATTACAAGGACATTACTTTCCGACAAGTTGTTTACTTTAATCGAAGTCGTAAAAGGTCTCTCAGTCGGTCTACAAGGATAGCCTTGAAGATATGGACTTTAATAAGGCAAAAAAAACAAATCCCTAAGTAGTGAATCTGTTTGCTCTACCCACATTCTTAAAACTAGTGGCTACTCGAGACTTACTATAATACTTTTTATTATCGTCCGTGCGAAAATAAAAAGTATTACAGTCTATATTACTAAGTGATAAAGTAGCTTTGTGATTGCGAAATACTTTGAAATCGGCCATCCAATATGTACAAAACTAAAATTTTATTTATTTTTTCCTAATACTCTTTATAATAATAGTATAGAAGAGACGCGTATTAGCTGTGTTTTCAACCAGATGTGGGCTGCTACATGACTAGATGTACTTCTTATGATATCTCAAAGACTGTTTCATAATGGTTCTGTAATATAATATCCATTTATGTAATTTGAGGATGGGACACTATTGTTATCACACTTACCAATAATCGATCGTATCTTTGAATTAATATTTTAATAAAATGACCTTAAAATAAAATGTATCTGCGTCAATAATCCAATTAAAAACGTTTTTGGTAAGAACTCGAATATAAAAATAATTACGGATGTTGTCAAACGTCGTGTCATTTATATGACATTGCAAAAAGTGCAAGGTCGTAGAACGGAACAGGTAATTCGAATGAAGTATCAATATAATAGATATTTATGGTAAAACTTGCTTTCGCCGGCGACTCTGTCCGCGTGGAATAAAATAAAACAAATGTGAGTAGCCTATGTGTTGTTCCAGACTATCCTCTACATTATGACAAATTTAATAGACATCTGTTTAGGCTACAAGCATCTATCCATCCATCTCCACTTAAACTCTCCCAATTACAATATTAGTAAGATGTATTTTATTTGTTAAATGCAAGCTATTGAATACCTATTGACTATGGCCTAGTCACCCTAACTTTAGGGTAGGCTCCGAGCCCCTCGGTGGGGACGTATAGTGAGCTGGTGATGATGATGATGATTGAATACCTAACTGTAAAGGTACCGATTTGCTTATTTAAAAAAGAAATGTGCTGTTTTTGTAGTCCGGCCAATAAATTCGAGAAAAACATATTGCGACAATCGTATCAGCCTACTTTAGTTGCATTTAAAGACATGAAAGTTTTTTTACACGCTGATAACAAGGAAACATTGAATTACCGCATGATGATATTTGATTCGCAAACACCTACGTACATTCCCTTCCTGTAGGAGGAATTAAGGTGCAAACGATTGTCTCTCCGGAGGACTACCGTGGCAGGTCTCGTTAACACTAATCGAGTCTCCGGTTCTTGTCACTGAAATAAACCTGTATCATTTTACATCACACTTGTACCTACCGTTTGTTATAATCGAATTCTTTTCTGTACCTATGTCTACAACTACAAAAAGTGAGTAAACTACACCAGACCGACTTTTAGTAGAAGCAGCTGCGTGTCTCTACCAATGTTAAATTCCATTTGTTTTGCACAAAATAGGGGTCCGATGTACCGCGTTATTATTCAAGCAATTCCTATAGGCACGTGCAGTTCCCCCTTGCTTCAAATTGTTACCCTCTTTTTACATTGATTCGTTTCGTGTTAATCCGTTTCATTCTAATTTATTGCACCACTAGCCTTGTCTACCGATAAAATATTTTATACCCTAAACTTGCTAACGTTAAAACTTCAATATCCTCTGTATTAATGAAAATATCTTTGTCGTAATTGTAGATACTCTTAGTACGTTTGAAGGCAAAACTGCAAGTATGTATAACAAATAACTTGGGATATGTTGGACTGGCATAAACTTATTAATTAATAGTTTACCCGACGACAAATTGTGTACTAACTAAACATAACTTAATTTTCTAGCTTTTGCCCCGTCGAGTGTAAAGGTGAAGCGAATGAATCTGATTAATTAACAGCGTACGCCGCGTGTATTGACTTAGTTTAAAAGCTAGGCACCAGAATTCGCTTCGTGCGAGGAAAGCAAACTAATTTAAATTAATGCCGAACGTTGTGAGCTTGTTTGCATCCAACAACGAGGTACCAGCACAAAGTCACCTCAACTCCCACAACACTGGAATATGTAACAACCTCCCAATTAATTCCTCGCTAGAATGCACACCGGCTAAAAGTTAATATTGGCTAACTTTTACCCGGTCTTAGTTCCAGGTAGGATTTGTTGGTTATGAAAACTTCTGTGAAAATACTTTAAATATTCAAAACTTACATAATCCCAGTAAAAGTATAAGATCTGATCTTTTTTAATTCAAATAGGAATACGTATTTAAGGCTATGTCTATTTAATCAATTCCAACGAAGCCAAACACAAGCGAATACGCCTTAGATACTTCAGTTTCTAATTTACTACTAAGTAATTGAAATGTGGGTCTTCTAGGAGAGACGCCGACGTACAATCATTTCATTGTTATTGTAGCTTTGTTTACTCTTTGAAATCCACAATTGTAGCCACTGAGAATGCACAGAACCTTTATATAGATATCTCTGTTCCTTTTTCGTCGTTTTTTTTTTTCGAGGAGTTCACGAGTGCGCTAACATTTAGTCGGTGCAAGTGTGACGTAATCCGACGACACCTACCCCGCGAGGTCATATCCGCACTGCGCAGACATTACAAATGCACTTACCTCCTCCTCCTCTTTAAAATGATATAAAATGTTTCTTGTTGGAAATGATGAGTGAATTATGAATGACTAGTTTTCGTCAGCGTGGAATTAAAAAAAAACAAAAGTGAGTAGCCTATATGTTCTTCCATACCATCCTCTACATCTATACCAAATTCCATCAAATTCCATTCAGCCGTTTAGACTGCAAACTCTAATAAAAATCTACCTATCCATCCATCTAAACTTTCGTTTTGATAATATTAATATGATAGTCTTTATCTTGAACTCGTTTGAAAAGAGAGCTACATTTGCATACAATTTTTCTATTGACATAAGTTTATACAGCAATGGAAAGTGAATGACCAGATCATGTATACTTTTTAATGAATGAGATGGTCTATATTCAACAATGAACTAATTGGGCTATTATGATGTCGAACGGTTAGCAATTATTGAGAACGAGGGCAATAGAAACAATAGTAAGTAAATACTCGGAATCACAAGCTCTTTCCGTGTCATTAAAATTCATCAATAAAGTTATTTCATTAGCTTGTGTGTTAAAAATTTTAGATGCTCTTAGATAAATAATCTGTACGTTTTTAAGTTATTTGTTAATTTGTAAAATTGATCTTTACTTTTTTTGGTCATTACTACCATATAAATAAAATAGCTTTCGCCCGCGACACCGTTCGCATGAGATTAAAAAAAAAACAAATTGAGTAGCCTATGTGTTCTTCCAGACTATCTTCTACATTTATACCAAAATTCATCGAAATCCGTTCAACAGTTTAGGCTACAAACTCTAACAAACATCCAACCATCCATCCATCTAAACTTTCACATTTATAATATTAGTAAGATTAGTAAGATTAGGAGATAGAATGTTTGTAGGAAATAATGCTATTAGAGGTCTTACGTCATATAGGATTGGATAAGGAATGCATATCGGACACGCCAAGTTCGCTACTCGTGGATACTTTCTACGGTTCTACGCGTTTCTTGTTTATTAAATCGCCAATAATCTTATCTAAGACATTCCTGTTTTCTATAACGATTTTATAATCTCCGTTTGTCCTCTAACTTTCTCTGTTTTTGTAATTAAATTTTAATATCGTAGTAGATTTAGTATATTGTAACCACCGCACCCGCGGACAAACCAATTATATGGTTTTTGCGGGCCATATTTGTGCTTATTTTAAATTTGTTTTGATGTAATATTTTCAATAAATAAATAAATAAAATAATAAATAATTTTGACCGGTATCGAACTTGTCTTCTTATTTAACCATCACCGGCATCGATTAAATTAGCTCAAATTAAAAAAAGTTTAACTAAGGAATAGTCACTTCTTAGTTACGTAGGCTCAAGTTCCTAGATGGGGACGAACAAAAGCTGACGACAGAAATGTTTTTTTTTTTGTAAATATCACTTACTCCACTGTCACACTTCATGCTCATAATTATTAAAATGTTTAGATGAATGGATGTTTGTTAGAGTTTGTAGCCTAAAGGGCTTAAAGGATTTCGATTAAGTTCGGCATAGATGTAGTGGTTAGCCTGGAAGAAAACATAGGCTACTCACTTTAATTCCATGCAGATGACGTCGCGGGCGTAAGATAGTCTTTCGTGAAATGTTAAAGTAATATTACTTTTTTTTTCTGCAGGGTATCCTTTGGAAGCTCGAAAGGGTCGATGGTTGAGACCCTTATCTACGAGAGCCCCCTCCAAGAGGAACCAGAGCAGACCAGCCCACCACCGAAGGCGCAGGAGACGACCTTCATCTACACGCCCGTCGAAGACGAGTACGTTATATTCATTTAATGAGTATGTTTTTTTTTCATTTTCATTTCCACGATTGGATGTTTTGTTCGATAAAAGCGAAAGAATGATCTAAAACCAAATGTTGCTCGCGACTTCGACCGTGTTTTTTAAAACATTAAAAATTATGCGATATTTCAGATTTTAATCTATCTCTGTTCCAAATTTCATTCAGATCAGTCAGCTGTTAAGGAGTAACAGGGAGATGAACGTCCTATCCCAACTATCTCATTTACAATATTAAATAACAAAATGCTCTGCGATTATTTTGATGATGTTATCATAATTACTACATCTGTAGTAATGAAGTAGTTTTGATGTAAATATGACATTCACATAATGTAATAGCGTGTATAACGGTCATACACAACGGTCACACACTGCTGGGACTTGTGCTGTTATCATAATGGCCACTATAAAGATCTTGAACGCGATTGTCTTGCGACAAACTAAAACTCTCGTCTCAGAACTGCTCGTTGCCATTACAATAACTCAACAAAGAAGACATGTTTAAAAAGTTAAAAACATTCTTGTAAGATCATTAAAAAGTAACTTAAAGCTCAAGATTACATTTTTTGAAAACTAAATAATAATTTAACTTTTAAAAATTAAACAAAGTGAAATATGATACATTTTCACTGAAATTAATTTATCAGTGTGGATAGATCAAGTTGTAATTGACTGGGTAAAATACTTGTTTTGTTAATAAAACCTGCGCCAACGCGGACGCAAACCCGTGTTAACGCGTTTATGCGTTGTCAGGAAGTGTCGCAACAGGGCGCACAAAAATGCATTTCCAGTCTGACGACAATCGTTTATAGAAACAACTTAACAAATCGTTAAATACCTTAATGTAGGGATAATAGACATAGATAATAGTTTAGATATAATTCTTTCATCTTTTTCATTCAATATATAGATTACTAACTCTTGCCATAAAAATAGTGTTAATCAACATTCAAAAATTCAAATTAACTAATCTAGCTAACTTGTAACGTAAATGTAATGATATCAACTTTTCATCTAAAAAAAAAAACCTTCCGTTCTAATCGCTGTTTTAAAGCACCCCACTGTAAATGTTTCTAGGGAATAATAACGTCATGCATACGTACATAAAACCTTCTTACGCAATAGAGTGAGGGAATGGCATAAATAAGTCTCCCTCAGCCTTCAACAATCGATAAATAGTTCTGATCGCACCTCCACATCATTTACTGTTTCTAATTGCGGTTATAAATAGACTAGCTTTCGCCCACGACTCCGTCCGCGTGGAATTTATAAAAAAAAAAACAAAAATGTTCCTGTGTTCTTCCAAATTATCCTCTACATCTATACAAAATATCATCGAAATCCGTTCAGTCGTTTAGGCTACAAACGCAAACATCCATCCATCCATCGTAACTTTCGGATTTATAATATTTATATGAATTATGAATTATGAATTATATGATAGTACGATAAAAAGGTACTTATGTGTAGCGGTTACAAGACAAAATTTCGTTTAAAGCATAAAAGCATGAGATCTACTGGACATAGATAGACAAGGATTTATTTAGTTTTAATATCTGTATTTAATTTTATATTTATTTGTTTACTAACATGATGGTTTTAGTAGTAATTTTCAAAACCCTGACAAAAAAGTCTTACATGTTTGTAACTAGCATGTTAACGCATAGTTTTTCTTTGCAGAAATTATGCGTGATTGTCGTTTAGTAAATTACACATTAACATTTTTATTCCAATGTAGCGACCATTACCGTGAAGGGAAACTTGTTTAGTGAAAAAATAGATTAACAAAATTATCTACATATAAGAACTTATGGTTTGCTGATTATGTCATTTTTAATGCTTCGTTGAAGTTCTACTCGTAGTTAAACATAATCAAACAGTTTAATTTCCAATTAATGTATTGTTAAAATATATCCAGGGAAGTACAATTTGAGACAAAAAACGTAGCTTGTGGAAGGCAATTGTATAAAATAATAATCAACAGTGTTTCAGATAAAAAATCGAATTTCGCGGGTGATAGTACGAATCCGTTGTTTCCGTTAACGAAAAATGCTGGGTTACGTCACTAGGCGAGGCGAGTGCGAACAGCGGCGCTCGCTTCGCTTCACTCCATTCGCAGAGGCGCGCGAGTGAGCGAGTGAGCCTCAACGACAACCGAACATCCGAGTCGGAGATCGATGTTGTGAACGTGTACGTAGTGGAAACACTGTTGTGAAGCGTCGTGCGGTGCGGCCAAACCAAACCCAACGGCGCAATCTGCGCTAATGTTGTTCGTTGCTACTGTTAATGTCTAATAATTATTTATATAATCGAAAGTAAATAATTATATTTGAGTGTTCAGTGACAATTATTACATCCAGATTTTACGTGAATATACGAAAGGTATGTTAACATTGTTCACGTCATTTTTGTGTTGTGCTGCGCACTGTGTTCGGTTGTCAATTATTTCTGTAATTTTTCCGGTTAATAAGGTACCTGTTAGGTTAATGTTTTATCAAATCGGTAATATATCAGTGATAAGTTAATACGTAGTGGAGTATGGGTGAATCGCAGTTTTTATAGCGAGGAGAATTCGGTCAGTATGACGTCACGAGGACTGAATTATAAACATAAAACGACTTTCAGTTCCATCCAGCAATCGGGAGTACAAGGTCACCACTCGGCATCTACATACATCTAGTAAACATACATTGGCAAACGTTTTAGAATCTCTATTTATAATGAGTGCATCACTGATCATATCCCTATGAGAAGACCCGCCCTGTGATCGCCGTAAGGTCGGTCGGCTCGCGGTCGCTTGCGGAATTTGCCTTCTGACATCAATAAACCTTTCTTTGTCCCAGCTATATTTTCATTTAACATTTTTTTATATTAACTCACATTTTTTTTGTCATTTTAGACAAGTAAAGAAACATGACCTTCATAAAGCTATGCGTGGGATCTTTTTTCCTATTTAATTTTTTTCTATTTAAAATTATAAGATGCACAAAATTATAGAAATCATAATTCATCTTAGTGCCCAAATTTCATATCATTAAAATGTGTCTGTGATCAATATTGAAATATTTTTTTATGACTGAATTAAAATTATCCATAGAAATACTAGATTTGTGTTTTGTTATAGTACATAATTATCACAAGAATGTTTTCATAATGTAAAAATTGAGACATATTTTAATTGATATTGATTTTGCCAAGCTTCATCATCTGCTGAGCTAATTTGTTGGTCAGAAATATAATTCTGATATATTAAACTACAACGAAATAATCTACTGCAATTAAATATTACCAATTAAACAGTATCTTGAATATAAAAAAATATTCCAGACACAATATTTACCATGTATGTGTGAATGTTACAATGTGGGTGGTATACAGTCATCAGCTAATAAAAGATCCACACTTTTAATGGAACAAACTGAAGTTAATCTACGTAACAGTTCATATTACAAATGTCTTCTCATACACTACAGCTGTGCGTTGTATTTTTAAGGCATTATTTTAAATTATACATTATTGCAAAGCTTAATAACTTATGTTTTAACATTGTTTATTGTTGATTCAGCATTTTTTAAATTCCATAAAAGGTAACAAAACCCTTATTTGTATATTTACTTACAGGTCAGAGCGTTCGAAAGTGCGTGTGTCATTTTACCAAGGAGCAAGACCGCAGTGTCTCTCCCCACCGCCCCAAGCGAAGGATCCAGACTCTCACATTCTCTACACAAGTCTACTATCCACAAACTCCGACATGGGTGAATACACAGTCTACAATAGACAAATCAGGTAAGTTCCAATTGAACTAGTGCCCTAATTGTCCATCTTCAATTGTCTTAATGTCTTTATTGAACTAATTTAGTAATGATATAATTGGATTAATAAGCAACTTGTTTTTGAGATATTTAAGGTTTGTGAATTGTTAGTTTTATCATTTACCAATACAAATAATATTGAGAACTGATATGAATGATACAGTACTCTGCACTTCTTACATAATGGACCATATCATGTACAAAGAGATTGTAATCTATATACTTGAGTGGGTATTTATAAAGTAAATGGTTCACCTTAAAATGACAATGTCATACATGCTTGTGTGTTAGTGGGGAGTGTTCAATTTATTTCGTTACAAATAAATTGTGACTCAGTTTTTCTTTACTGTACAAATTGAATGAATGACGTCATACAAAATGAATTTAATTTGGACCACTTTAGTGGTTTATCGCTTCATCTTTACAACAATGTTTGACAGAAACCCACCCAGTTACATTGTGATTGGTTTTACTATTTCCATGATACTGTATGATATGACCTTGTAATTACTAAACACATATTCCATTGAATATTGTGACATTTTAAAATCAACTAAAACAGGGTATTAATAAAAATGAAATTAAAAACTTATTTACTTAACTGCTCCGTTAAAAAAAAACATGTCCAGTTACATGTTTGTGTTTGAATCTTGTCAAGTTTCAAATTACAAAACATAGACGAGTTGATATTTAATATTATTTCACATTGCGTTTTAGTAATTCATCTATTTTCAGTCAAGGTCGATTTTATTGAGATCTTACAAGAATGATAAATGATTTTTTGTATCATATGTTTCCGGCGAATATGACATATGACTTCTGTTACATATGAGCTTGAATAAATTCTAATCAATAGTCTCTCTCTCTCTCTCTCTTCCATTCCTATGTCCCCAAAGTGGGGCAGAGGGCGTCCACAATAGTGGGTAATAAAAATAAAGTTAATCATTAATTTTTCATCAAGTTAACATAATTTGGTTAACATTAGTAAAAACCATCACTTTTGAATATAGTCATAGGAATTAGTTCTGTTTTTCCGCAATACTTATTTTCCCGCTTTCAACTTCTAAACTGCTCATATAAAACATTTATTTAGCATCCCTCTCATTCTCTTTGAGAAGAAAAGAGATAACAATATGCGTTTTTGTAGCTTCGTCAGTATAAAGTCGTGGTTAGATTTTCGGAAATGCGTACCACGTAAAATGAAAGATGACAGAGAATTTTACAAGGACATGGCATTGTTAAGTCGTAAATGCTATTTAAATGTTTAACCTTGATGGATGGTCGTATGTACGCAGTTATTCAATTCGTAAGGAGGGAAGTAATTGTACTGATTAACATGGGTTCTGCCACTGTTACATCATTTAATTGGTACTTCAACGGATAACATTATGTAATCTTGTAGACACTCATTTTTAAATGTCTTTACGGACGTATCTTTCATTATCTTGCACAAGTTTTTTTGGTCATAATAGTCTAGAGGGATATACCTTTAGGGGGAGGTTTACGAAGTAAAGGAATGCGTGAACAGTTAAATTTTAAGAAGGGAGTGGCTACTGAAATTAACAAAAATAACCTATTATGGTGGCTGACTAGGTGATTAGTTTCTAAATAGTGTTTTGAATTTTTATTTGTTTTAAATTCCAGCACTGAAAGCGGCTGGGACAATCCCTTCCGTCCGGACGGTGACTTGAGCCGCGAAGCTGATGAGATTGTGTCCCTGATCAAAGGTGGCAAGCCTATCACACCCACGCCTGCTGCTGAACCTGAGTTGCCCGTTAGTGACGAGGAGGAAAAAGTGCAAGCAAATAATGTCGATGTAAGTAATTAGTAGATATTAGTATACAAAGCGACCCATATGATGACTGCTAGGCTACACAGAATAGTAGGTAGCGTAGGTAGGTAAAGAGTAGAGGTCTAAAAACAGTACGTGCGCTTTCCTTTCGGCTATGTTCACTTGGTACCTTACTTTGCAGACATGTGGTCGAAGTTATTCATGATTTGTTCTAATATTACTTTATAAGATAATACACCTAGCATTGTCAACGTAACAACAATAACAAATATTTTCCATAGATATCTGAAAATAATCCAATCATTCCTTTGAGATGCATTTTATTCAGACACATTTTTGAGTAATTTATTTAATTTAGTTCCATTGCAAGTGGCTTATTAGAGTAGCGCGGAACAAGACTAGATTAACCCAGTTTACAAGGAGTGGTTGGCTCAAAATTTTGTTTCAATTACTTTACATTCTAGGGACATTTTTTTAGGTCAAGTTGCGTTATTATTCTAACATACCTAATATGCAGGTCTATAATAATAATACGTGAAAATTTTGTATAGATTCACGATATTTAAGATTAACAATTTTTTTTCTTATAATACTAAATGCAGGGAGTTATACTGTATGGAAGAATAATATGTTTACCATACATAGGTCAGTGTGGGTAGATTTATGAGTTTATAAATGTTTTACAGGCTAGTCCGCCTTCATCTCCTCCAACGAAAGTGGCAAGTCCTGTGCAGCAACAGAGTCCAGTAAAAGCTATGAACGGCACTAAGAATGGTGCCGCGGTGGGGGAGCTTCGCCCCGGTCAAGTGGAGGTGCACTGCTCGCCGCCTCAGGAGCCTCTGCAGCCGGAACACGTCACCATCAAGAAGAAGCCCAAGTGCAAGTGCTGCGTCCTCCAGTAACCTGGCCAACTTGTAACCTCGCACCGGTAACACGCATTGCTTTAGACGTCTAGCATATATCCCCCACTTTGGTGTTTACTCGGTGCTATTTCATTTTTCGATTTCTCTTACTGCAACTTATCGAAACATATATCAGGAAAGCATATGTGTTCATTGTACAATTTATAACATATTACAAAGTCTGGCCTCTACTTCTCGTATACATTGATATTTTTGTTAATTATTTCATTAGTAAATTTTGGGTATGTAGCAGGTCGACAAATATTTACAAATTCTAACATTATGTTAGTCGGATGATTATTTACAGCCCTGAACTATTCGTGTGGCGCATTATAATTATCTTCACTAAGTATTCGCGGCCTAACACGTTATTTACATACATATTCCTATTATAGCTTGCAACATTTCTTGGCACAGTTTGCTTAGATTTTTTTTATTAACAGTAATAAGTATAAATTAAGAATATCTGTATGGTCACATAATATTGGACTACATTGTCTTGGTTAATTATAATAAAAAAATGGAAATTAAACCATTGTCAAATATAAAACAATGTTTTAACTTACAGTTGTCGAATATTAAGCTATTGTAAAGCGGACTAACCGTAGGAGTATGTATGTAAACAATGTATGTGTCGTCTACATCAAGTTTGTGATAAATTCATATATTTTAGCTAGTTTCGCAAAGAAAGAGAGAAATGATGTTGCAAGTTAGATCCTGAGGAGGGCAAGGTTCTTAAAATGAAAGTTTCGGAATGTTTAAAAATCACTAGAGAATCTCAAATATTGAATTGAGACGAGAACTGGTAAAGTAAAACGATGGATAGAAACAAAAATTCATATTATAAATCATATTTACAATAATTTTTAAAGTGAATATGCCAATTCTACTCATTTCGAAATGATTGCGACATGTTAAATTATCTTATTTTATTAAAAAAAAACAACATAATAATTTATTTTAGAACTGTTGCTAAGTTGAATCTGTGTTGAATAATGTTTAAAAATAATTTAAATGTATATTTTTATATGTTTATTTATAAAACGAAAGTATTATAATCTTGAAGGATGATTGAGCTATAGTATTGGAAAAATATTTAAATGACTGAAATAGATGCTTAAACTGAAGTTGCTTTGTTGTGTTATTTTAATTACTGTAAAATTCCACTGACTAGTATATTGTTGTCTCTGTTCTTTCAAAACAAAATGACAAAGATGACAAGTTTCTTAAACATGCGCTTCAAGAAACTAGCGGAAAAATTAGCTACCTTTTAAACCATATCATGTTGACATTACTGTGAATAAAACACGTTATTTGGGGTACAATTAAAATTCCATTAAGTTAACAATTAAGTTTCATAAGTAGATCTGCTATTGACAAATATTTTAATTCAATTAAATATATAGATGGCTTAGATTTTGACATATGAACCTAAAATAATTCTACGGCAGCTACGACTCACAATTATTCTGCAGTTATCCTCTTATCTTTGTTCAATTAATGGATTCATCTTGAAAGAAGTACCTATAAATAAAACGCAAGATTTCAACAAAAAACGACGTCTTGCTAGTTTTAGAATACCAGTTATATTCTCGCTAACATTAGAAGGAGAGAGACCTATGTATAGCTTCAACGTGACTTCACGCTTGCGTCCAATAGAATGTACACAATTTTTCTTTTATATATGTGATCATTACCATGGATCTACGTTTTATATATTGTAGCTTTTTTATTGTTTTAGTATGAGATCCTCATGTGTACTGTTTTGTCGCAAGTGAAGGATAGGGTGCTTGAACGGGATGGTGTAAAAATTGTAAGACTTACATTGTTGAGTACTATAAAAACTACTCTATTTTTAAATACATAAACGATAAAGTACATAAATGTCGAATTTTTAAATATGACTTAAATTATTTTTGAAATTTTAAACGTGATTTTTATAGTATTTAACAATGTTATAATCTCGGGTAGCAATAAAATTATGCATTTGGCGATTTACAGTATGGAAACTTGTAGGCGAAATATAAATTTATTTCTGAAAATGTTAAAGCATGTTAACAATATCTATTGACCAATTCCCTGATATACACTGCTCAAAATTTATGTTTATTGATTTTTTTGATTTAATTACAGTTACGATTCAAAAAAAGCTTTTGGCGATCTTTAAAATGTACATTACTTTAAAAAATTTAAAAGTTACTTCAACTAATTGTTCTCACGATTTGTTAAATAAAAAATTGTTTAACAATAAAATTAATGTGCGTGTTTATCAGGGTATTGTTTTATTTAAAATCAAGATTATAAACTTTGACCATCGTATGAAAAAAAAATGCATAAAACAAACAGGTTTAGATGTACCCCCTACAAAAGTAGCGATATTAAGTAGATAGGTAATTAGAATGGTATAGTTAGGTGATCCAGAATTATTTTGTGTTTGTTATTAATGTTTATGGATATTAAATTATTTTTTTTTGTTTTCGGTTTTTTATAGTTTTCGAATATCAACTAAAAGGAAGACAGTACTGAATGAATGGATGTTATCGCATTGAAGTTTCTTGCACAGTTACAAATTAATTTATATTTCAAATGGCTTCGTTAGATACAACTGGAATTTACCAATTGTTTTACACTTTAGAATGTTATAAGACATTTTACTAACTTTATATCCAGTAAAATTTAGCAACAGTTTAAATAGATATTGCACTAGATTTAGGCAATTTGTGTAACTGTTTGACTGTTGTAAACATTTGTAATTCTATTATCAACTTGTTGCAAACATACAAGTTTTCCTTTTCAATATCCCCAGCAATTGACAATCTTTTACAAACACTGAACATTTGCTTAAAGCTTGTCTATTCATTTTTATATTTCAACATGGTATTATACTTTCCCACCCTACCTTCAATTCTAACTGTACAGTTAAAAGTGTAGTGGATTTTAGATAAAATTACACTGTGCTAGTAATATATTACATAATGACGCAAAAGTTTTTCATTTATAAAAAAATCTGTCTGAAAATTAACTGTTGTGTTACATTGGGCACAAAAGTTGGATCATATTGAAGAATAACACAAAGCATTTATGTATTTGCCATTTTTTTTAATAACGGTGCTTTGAAGTAGGTGATTATTTTATTATAAGACATTATTACTTTATACAAGCTTTTTTAACAATGTTACAGGTAATGAACATTTCATCAGAGTTTTAATTTTTCATTTTAATATGTTAAATAATATGATCATTTGAAGCTAACAAGCAGAATCATTGCAGTTGTAGAGGTATCTCAAGGTTAGATTGACACATTCAATGCCAGCGACTCACTTTCATATATGAATGTTGGCAGTGAAGGTGTTTACATTGTAATAATTTTGTTGCCTTTGGCAAAGTATTAAAACTATAGCCGCCTTTTATTTCAGCTTGGTGTAAACCATAGGATCCTCTCGATGTTAGATTTTAAGCCAATATTGTGATCGTTTGTGCATTGTTTAGTTTATCATGGCCGCTCTTATTCTGTTGTTTCAAGTTGCCATGTTTGTATGTTCCTTAATTAAGTTTTTTATTTTCAAGTAAAATCCTGTCATTAAGGTTCTATTCATACAATATTATTTAAATCAAATCAATTGAAAAGGAAAATAATTTTCTCCTATTGAATTTTGTTAAATGAGTTCATGTATAATCATTTAAAACATTTCACAGTGTATTTAACTGTATTTGTAATAAAATAAATAAAATGACATTATATTTGTATAAAAAAATATTTACTTTCTATTATTATCAATCAATGAGTATGTACAAATCGATTACATTGTAATTATTATTTATATTAAATCTTTTAAAGGCGAATTTTCTTGTTTCATTTATTTACAATTCCTCAACACAGATTACTAAAGTATAGTTACTTTTTTTAATTTAGATAGAACTCGCATTTGCATTCGCAAATTCTATAAAATTGTATTTTCCCCTAAAGATGTATTTTATAGAGGGTATTTTATATGATTTTTCAGATATATTGGGTTTGAGGAAAAATTATCAATAAAACAATATACTCAAGATTTGATATGCAAGATACATTTATTAAAAACATGTACATTTGTATAAAAGATTACTATAATCAGTCCCGTACAGTCTGTTATGGTTTTCAAAAATTACATCTCAAAAATCGGGTATTTTGTAAGAAAAAGTCATTCTTAATATAAGGATATTGAATGCGAAAACCTTAATTTTGTATTTTTATAACTATAAACACATATGCAAATTCACTGTAGGCTTTCATTAGAAGCATCTGTACGATATTATCTAAATTTTTGACGTGATAACGTTACAAAAATATGAAGGCTTGCACGCACGTAAAAGTATAACTCAATCGCGTTCTGTTTGACGCTGAGCCGAGTGTGCGAGCGAGAGCGCGGAACAAAAGACAGAGAGACACGATAGGTTTGAGACGCATCCGTCCCTTTCCACTTCTACAATTCTTATTACATTTACACACAAAATTGTCCGTAAACGTTATAGAATTTTTTTCGAAGACGAGGATCCATAATATACGTACGGATGCTTCATAAATGAAACTTAACGGTTAAGTAAATAGTGAAATTGCAATACAATTAATCCTTTATTTATTAGATATTTATTAACTTTTAATTTGCAAGATATTACTTTTAGTTATAAGATTAATTCATCAATTGTTTTATACATTAGTAGATAGTGAATATTGTATTGAAAAGTGATTCAGTAATATATTAAAAAACAAATGTGGAATGTTACTAAAATTTCGATACAAAGATTCAATAAATACATTATTTATCAAGCAATATTCACGATAAGTATTAATTTACTTTTAATTAAACAATATAAAAATTGTCTTTATTTTTTAATATGATAAAAAATACAAACAGCACATGCAAAATAGAGCTAAAAATCAAATTCATAATGATTATAGAGTATTCACAATTTCTGTTTTATATTTCTCTCTCTGTTTTGTTAAAGAGAATGGTAAGGGACGACAATACGTATTACATTGCCGAACTATTACCTTGTAGAAATATCCACAGCTTTATTTAATATCAAGCCTACATCCATCGGTGGAAAGTTTTGCAATAGTTTCACATTCGAGGCAAAATCACCGCTTAGTAGATCATCCCGTACTAATCTGTTAAAAAAATATAAAAAATAATTGTTAAGAATTTACAGTTGCCTTGTTCGTGTTTTGTTAACTTTATCATACCCAAATAGAAAAGAGATTTAAGTTTAAAATATTTACTTACAATATCATGGCACAGCAAATGTAAATGAGAAAATTAAATCTATGTGGGTCTGCGAATAAGGAGTCCCAAATTCTTTCAACGTCCGGCAAAGAAAATTCTTGCGACAATAACAAAGTCAGCCATCTGAAAAACAAAACACAATTTTAATTCAATTATATCTGATTAAAAAGCCTTGAAAGAAAATATATGACCGTTAGTTTCTACTACTGAAACATCTGAATAAAGAGAGAAGAAAAGAGATGCAATAACTTAGAGAGTAAGCATAGTTGAGACTTCATTTGAAACATTTTTCATATAATTTCTAAAATTACACACAAACAATTCAAACACTGAGAAACGTGGCGTATAAAATTTGATACCAAGATATTACTGTACAAATCAGTTACTAGTAAAAAAATGTCGTTCCCTATGTCTGTGCCTATCTATTCTTTACATATACTCGTAATTAAATTGGAGTGTTTGTGATAACAAAAGAAAAATTCCACATATCGGGAAGATGATGTATTTGCGTCGCCGATAACGAAAGTCGCATTTAAATTTTTTTGTCTGTCTGTCTGTCCGCAAACCGCGTTTGTTCCGGGTAATCTCTGAAACGGCTGGGCCGATTTCGAGATGACTTTCACTAAAGGGTAGCTGTCATAGACGGCCATATTATAGGCTACTTTTTTTAAATTCCGCGATGTCAAAATGGCGACCCGTGGTACGGGTGGACCGATTTGGACGGGACTTTGACTGGAAGGTAGCTGGTAAAAAGTAGATGCACGTGGTAATGTTATAGACGACTATTTTTTAAATTCCACGCTAAGTTTGCGGGCGACAGCTCGTGGATAATAAAGATAAACAAATACAATTTCATTTACCTGAAGCTGTAGTACTGCGGACGTAATTCCTGTCTCTCCATACGATCCCAGACGATCCGGTCATTCATCTTGACACATTCACTCAGTTTGCTCATCATATAATTAATACCACTCTCCGCTTCATCCAATGTACGTATGAAGAAATCGCGAATTTCCGCCATGAGATTAGTAAAACAGAAGAAACAATCCGCCTCAGCATGTTCTGGAAATTAAAAAAAAAGAAAACATTTAACACATGAAATGCTATTAATTCACCTGGTAAATTCGATTTAATAAAAATTGTGGCATAAAAAGGGTTGAATAGCTATTAAAATCAATTGATATACAAAAAAACAAATACTAGACAATTACAGCCTAACAAATAAATATAGTATTGAGTTAAACTTAGGAATAAACTGAGTATAAGCAATTATTAGTACAAATTTTGCTTATACTCGGTTTATTCCTAAATTTAACTTTATACCGCGTGTAACTGTTTTTGATAAGTTGTTAACTATCTCAAAAGTTATAAATCTGTTTTCTATAGGGGGAGCTCAAATGGCAAATGTCTTCTTACTCTCTCTTTCCAAAGATACTTCTGTGTCTCAAAAAACGCACAACAATGATTGTTATTATAGTGCATTACTATTTTAAATCTACTGTGTAAGAAATTTATAAGAAATTAAATATTGGCTATGGTGGAGAGAACATCTAGGGACAGGATGAACTGTGCAACACAGTTTACATGTGCCAAAGTTCCCAAGACAACAAAAATAATAAACTGTACCTCTGTACTCCTTGTTTGCATCAATAGCAAAAGTATGATATATAGGGCCAATGATTTCATTCATTCCTTGAACGTAACCTTGTCCGGGGTTCAGCTTGGCGTATAAGAACAACATTCTCTCTACAACCTCCCAATGCGCCTCGCAGCCTTCGTTTAAAGGAGCATAATCACCGGTCGTAATGCTTTCTGAGCGACGTATCTCATTGCTAAGCTGGAAGATATTGAGCAAAATTTATATTAGTATAAGTTATAAAACAATATTTTATATGATGTACAAAATAATATATACTGTTATTGTTGTCTGTAAATGTTACTTTAATTATATCTTCATTACTCATTACTTGTAAACATAATAAAAACGATAATTATTTTAAAATGAGATTAACAAACTAAACTTGTTTCAAATCAAATAATATACATGTACTAGTTTTGTAATTTACTTTGAGAAATAAATGTGAAACTGAATACAAAATAAATTATTTACCTTTGCAACACCAAGACCACGTCGCTCTAATGTAGAATATTTTAAAACAGATTGTTCCACTCTTTTGTGCAATCTTTTTACTCCATTGCTGTTTACAATCTAGACAAAATGTCACAAATATGTTAATATATTTTAATGATCATTAATATTCAATCTAACAGAATAGCAAGCTTTCACTTTGTCTGATAAACTAAAGTAATTTAGTATATCTAAGAGACAGAATAAAAAATCTTACCTCAAGACACGGAAATTCGGTTGCCGATTGAAAGAAAGAGATATCAGGACATAATCTCCTGACATCCTTATCAATTTGCAGTAGTACTTCATTGTCTTTGAAATAAGTACTCCAGGAGCTATCCGGGCTGATGTTGAGAGGATGGTCGGCCGGACCACCGGGAGACACTATAATCTCATCTGAATTACAAACATAATTTATCAATATGTATAAGGATATGAAAGTGTGAAATATATGCAAAGAAATGAAGTGATTTCTGATATTATGGTTGATACATACATAGGGGAAAGGTAGATGAAGAATCTCAAAATATGTATTTTGTTTGACTAATTCATTTTTAACTAGCTAGCTTCGTCCGCGTGGAATTAAAAAATATAGCCCATGTTACTCATTGACAATGTAGCTTTTCAATGATGAAAGAATTTTTGGAATCGGCCAAGTAGTTTTTGAGTTATTTTAATACATACAAAAACAAAAATCTTTCCTCTTTATAATATTAGTATAAATTGGGAAAAAATCTGCATTCAAAGAGCTATGTATAGCTTTAAAGGAGCTTTAGAGTTAAAACCGGGGTTCAATTATTAAACATTTACTTTTTGATGCACTTGGATATATTGCATGGTTAGTAAAGTAAAAAAAAGGAGTCTGTTTATGTTATAGAAGATTGAATGGCACTCATTGTATTAGATAATATTTCTTGTGTTAGCTTTAAATATGTTTTTAATATGAGTTTTTCTACAAATAATGAGTTAAGATTACATATTGAAAGTTAGATTGTTTGAGGTAATTACAAATCAATATTAAAACCATACCTATAAATTGCTTGTACAATTGTCGCTTTTTTAAAAGAGTAGATTCTCTTGCAGACTTCTCTTTTGGTACATAATGAAGCAATATTCGCCAAACTAATGAACGCAAACCTTTATCATCTGGCACACCTGTAACAGCAAATCAAATTCTCATATATGATCAAATTTATGTTTGTAGGCTTGTCCTTAATGCAATTCCAAAACATAACAGATTATAACAGAGTATTGTTTGTTAAAAATTTAAAGAATAAATGTTAATCTAGATTAATAAGTAGTTTAAAATAATAGAAACAAAACAATGCAACTAAGAATTTAACATGAAATAGTAAATTTACCATTAAATGCCAACTTCTGCAGCTCTTTGATATCAATAACATCTTCCTCCAAAATGTCTTCAAATGCTTTGATTCTGTAAGAAAAAAATAACATTATAAGCAAATATTTAAACTATAATTAGACATTAGGCAAATAGAAATAACATACTGCTTAGATAAGTCTCAAGCACATAAGAACAAGCAAGAAACTGTATTTAATGGATGTTTCCCGTTGTGTCAGCAGACCCATCAGGAAACAACCTATTTAAAAGGTCATAGCAAAATACAACAATGCTGATATATTTAGTGATTTGCTAAATTAATATTTACTTAGCAAAGCTTTGTCTGATTGGAAATACTGCAAAGAGATAACTGAGTGTGGATTTCGCTATAAGAATTAGCAAGAAGTGTAGCGAGTTTAAATATTGTGCAAAATAAATAATACTCATACTAACATATGATACATTTTAATTATTTGTTTCAAAATATGCTAGGAATCGGCAACTTGATCCTCTATTTATTTCACAGACCTGTTGCTAAACATAATAATGGCACACAATTTAATGACATGACACATAATTGAATAAAAAACGTGAAATCGTCATGACTATCTTCAAATTTCTTAATGTATCTGAAAGTAGCACGCCCCCCTTTATTACTTTAAATAAGATTCAGACTGTGTTTTATAAATATTATCAATGATTTAATTTTCGTTTAACCATATACAGCATTTATTAAATTAATAATCATATTATTAAGTATATCGTATAAGATGTTATTAACTATACCTTGCTTTGTGTAAACTCATTTCATAACTCAACTCTAAATTATGATTATACTTGCTTAAACACTTCCACTTAAATGAGATGTTTTCAGTTCATCAAACTAACTTTTAACTAACGAAAATAACTATATCTGCAACACTTTTATTTCGATAGGCCACGGGGTTACTTTATTTTATGTTAAAATAAAATTGCAATAAAGAATAATAAAGCACTATACAGCAGATTAAATAAAATTGCCATGAGCCATGGCCTGAGGAGGAGGGTGGGGATTATGTTGTTGGCTGGCAACGGAACTGTCAGATGTCATACTATGAGAATTGTAGAAATACCAATGAAATAATATCGATTCAGCTACAAGTTAAATATCGGTTTTGGTTACACATTTCACGTTGATTCCTTCGTATATGTCTATGAAGACTGTAGAATGTTCTCTAAAACTTTTACTTTAATAATAAGCTATCAGTTTACGATTTCATGATCGTCCTGATGTGTAAACATTCGAGTATGAAGGTAACGATGGTGAAGAGTAAAAATCGATATCGGTTTTATTCGATGGTGTTTGTGTTGTTTGTACATAATACAAGAGGGCAGATAAAGTAAAAAAATTTTAATACACTCACGTGCTTAAATAATTTCTTATACAAATTGTATTCAAATAAAATAACGTGTCTGCGCACAACTGCACAATGTCATTAATGTCAATGCATTGTTGCTTGTAACTGTAATGGATTCACAATTTACTGATAATTCGACTCACCCTTTAATTATTTCAATACACTTGTCCATTTCCGTTAGATCGTAATCCGCCCCAAACTAAAAATAAAAACATTTCTTTCGTATCGCGATTTACTTGTTATGTAAACAATAAGAATAGAAAATCTATTATAAACACGATACTTGATAGTATCGATAATAGAGCCATATCTAATTTCTCCCCAATCGAAAATTTTTCGAAATCAATGAAAGCTATCGCTGCACATAAGGTGTTAAATAAGACTCCCCCTAACAGAAATGATGCCTCGACGCATACGTCGGAGTGAATACGAAAGCCTGCCTCGCACAGTAGACCTAAAGTGATAATCGCGTAGCTTCCATATACGCCCGTTTTTACAAACTGACTGATCGCTAATAAGTTTAGGCTTTCAGAATTAAGAAAGTACGCGATAAGCATCATGATCAAAACTGCGCCACGCAGAAACATTTGCAATATTTCGTAACCCATTAAGCATTTTAAATTTATCTGGTTGTATAAAAATGTGTGCTTTTAGATATTTTTAAAACTGATACTTTAAAATATTATGAGATCCATAAAACAGGACATTAATGACATTACGATTGATGACGGAAATAATCAAACTTCTCGCAGAAAATATAAGAAAATCGGTTGACCTGCAGATAATATGTAGAGAAGTAATTAAATAAACATCAGGTACTTTTATAATTTCCCAGCACTTAGATGAAGTCAATTTAATTTTCCCCATGTTGTTTACGATTCTCTTCTGTCTTATTACTATGTTAAACGGTCCAATTAAATTATCTTCAGCAATTAGCAAGACTTACAAGTGTTTCTTAAGATCGTCATTGCTTTTCTGATGCATTAAAGAATCTTATCTTGTACATATATAGTTTTTAAAAGTTAAGCATAACACACATTTCTCCCTGTGACAATGAAATTAGAAAGAACGTAAATGACAAGAAAGTAACAGCAGATGTCAGTTGGCAGTGTAAAAAATTTTATAATGGTTTATTCAATTAATTTACCTTGATTTTAGTCTTTTAAAGAGCTTAATACAAATGTCTCTTATTTTCTTATTCTTGTTTATAATTTTATATGGAGTTGTATTTAGCGAAGAGAACAAAACGCAGAGCAAGGTGGACTATTGCTTACATCCAGACTGTCCTATAAAGGATCAGCATACATTATGCGCTGCTAACAATAAAGCTAGTCGCCGCTTATACGTCTCTGGAATGACAACTTGGATGAGATACCAAATATTGCTGCTACATAATAGACACAGGGACAACATCGCTATGGGCTTAGAAGCTGCTCAACCACCGGCTACAAATATGAGAAAATTATATTGGGATTATGAACTAGAAGAGATGGCTGAAGTTTGGGCCAGACAGTGTCAAAAACGGCACGATGAGTGTCGAAATACTATAAGGTTTAACGCGTTGCAGAACATGGACGTACGTCCCGTGGTGCCGAGAGTGACAGAAGCGCAGTTGCTTGCGGATGCAGTGGGAGCATGGTTCTCCGGTTCCAGATCCATGCAACCAGAGAATGTATGGTCATTCAAACTCAGTAATTGCAGCGCACCGGGCGGGTGTAATGCTCATTGGTACTCTGCAGCAGCGTGGGCTTCGACGTGGCGATTAGGATGCTCGCAAGCTCTTTGTACAGTTCGGAAACCATCGTGTGTTCTTTTTCGTAAGAGAAGACGTGTACGACTTTATGAATCTAATGATTTTCAAGCTACGACTACAACAACAACAACAGAAAACATTCTACGGAGAACAAGATATATGACATCTGGACAAGTTTCTCGATTTGAAGATTTTGCGACCACTGTTAAAAACAAGAATGTGGAGTCTCCTTTATATCGTGGTTCCATGGATAATGTTTCGAAAAAGAAAAAACGGAGAGATTTAAAAATCATTGCTTTCACATTTTGTAATTATGGTCCGGCAGGGAACATAGAAGGCTTTCCAATTTATGAAGCCGGAACAACTTGCGCCAATTGTCCCCAAGGCACCCATTGTCGGGATCGAACTCACAGAGCATTGTGTTCGGTTATTAACGATCCAGACGGGCGTACCAAAATGGTTGACACTAATTAGATATTACAGTCATTTCGTTTCTTCCTATTACTTTGTAATAAAATTTTATTATAATATATTTGCAGCGTTTTGATTGGTCAGGCGTCCCTGTTAGTTTTTATGACTTGGGATAGTAAAATAAATTCAGACCATTGGAGTTAACTTTGCAGGTCTAATTTAAGCGTGATTAATCGTATGGATTTTCTATGTAAAAAGTGTTTTGTAGTAGCATCCGCCCGCGACACTGTCCTTGTGGAATTAGAAAAAAACAAAGTCATGTGTTATAAATCTATGCCACATCGAGATTAAGTTTATCACTTCGAGATCATTTAAAATATTGGTAAGATGTCGAAGTTTCACTGTGACACTCTCCGAGATGGATGACAGAGTTATTTCGAGGACGAAAACCCGGTGCGCCGACCATACTGGAGTAGGATAACGGAGAGATGATGGTGACGACTCTCCGATTCAGAAGGTCTACCAAAATAGGAAGCTCTACCAAAGGTACCAAAATAGTCTCCAAATTAAGAATCGTTGAAAAAAAAGTTTTAGTCTTGCATTAATTTATTTATAAACTCTTTTTTGAATAGCCATAAAAAAGGTTAACAGACTTTTTGACGTAGTGAATTAGACGTCAATTGATTTTTGATTGATTTCATAATAAATTTTGTAAAAAGTAACATAGGAAAAGTAATCAAGTATTTTTGTCAGAAAGTTATTTAAACATAGCTAGAAATGTTGTCCGCAGCAAAAGTCCGCATTCATGGTATGCAGGACGAGAATTGGGTGATAAAGGACAAAATCAACCAGTACCGAGGACTCATCAAACTATATGGTGAGATATTGTACTACCTGATTATTCTGAAGTAGCTTTGCTCGCCTAATAGTCAGTACAACAATGTTGCAATACCTTGTGCTACGATACAATACTATGTTGCAGAACGTGACCGCAAAATTCATGAAGGGGACTTGGCAAAGCAGAAACGACGATATTTACGTGATATACGTCAACTACGGAAAGATATTACAACCAAAAGACAGGAGCTCGGTGTGGTGGTTTACGGTGACAAACAGTTCTTAAGGAATGCATTTCAAGAGCATAGACGTTTGCAATTGACTTACATGAATAGCCAAGCAGATGTAAGTTATAAATTATACTACGTTAAATGAGTACCATCGTAGACAAATTAAGATCTCTTTACCGTTAAATACATCCACATGAAAATGGAACTCCTTGCGAAAAAATTTTGTATTTATCTAGTTAATCTCTAACTAAAAATTTTAGATTTACTGCCTTTTCAGAAAGTTTTAGAGAGCATACATCAAGAGAATTTTAGCAAACGGAAGCAACTGGATCGCATTCGATACACAAAGAAGAAGAAAATGGAAAAGTTTCGTTGCATACAGGTTTTATGACTTAATTAAAGTAATATTTTATATACCAAACTTATCTGTTATTATACAATAAGTTTGTACTTTTTTAGCTAGCGTCAGCTGAGATTCGGGATCGGTTATTGTATGAGATGGGCGGAAAACTGCCTGCCGAGAAAAAGGAGCAAGCTGTCGCCAACTATGTCCAACGTGCGAATATCAAAAAGAACGCTGCTCTTGCTATTAAAGTCATGTATAAGAAGATTTTAGATATCCTTAAAAAGGTTCCGATGTTTTTTGGCATGGATATTTTTATATTGCTTTTAAATTACTCGAGAGAATGTAATAAATCATTGTGATATTTTCTTACCACTCAACATTCAGAATCTGTGGTGGTATTGTATTGTACCACTCAGTTGTTTTTTGATCTTTTTGTCTAGGATTCGTCATACTTCACGGTTGTACTTGAAGCGCTAAAAGTAGACTGCCGAGCTCAAGGTAAGTGCCTAATGGGTGCTACTGAGATGGGCCAACTCGCTATGGAGTATTTGGACGACAGAAAGTACGAGTTTAACAAGTTGGAAAAAGAGATAAAAGCAAACATGAAAGAGAGGGAGCGAACATTGAAGCTTGTGCGCCGAGAAGTCACTTACTTGACCGAGTCTTTTCCCAATCTCATCCGTAAAGAGGTATTATTCTTTCAATGACTTTAGGCCTTTAGGCCTACATGTTTTTTTCTAAAAGATGTTCATAAATATTGTATTTAACTACTGAATATACTAAGCCCATGTTGCGTAAGAAGTCATCAGCGCTGGCGGAAATCTAAGCCCTTGTGATTGATAAAATCTAGTCCTTCTTGTCAATTAATTGGAAAAATTCGTACTTGCATTTATACTCTAATTACATTATTATGATGATGATCTAAATTGAATTAATATTTTAGGAAGCAACAAATCTCGATGAACTCTACGAAGAACAGGATAATGTCAGTCTCCACTCTGTGCATTGGGAATTAGAGGAAGTAATGGGCATTTGTAAGAGCCTTCAGCGCGGAACATTAGTGACGGCGTTTGATCAAATACTTCTTAGGTAAATATGCATCGTTTATTAATTTATTATAACATAAAGTAGTGAAGAATTTTCATAACCTTATTGTGCCTTTTCTTATACTGGATTTACAACGTTTCATTTTCAAACTCCTCTTAATCAACCACTATACCAACAGTTAAGAGATATCAATAAAATGCTAGTGCTATATGCAAGCCTATCGAGAAATCTTTTAAGTAATTATTCTGTTTTAAGGTTAAAAGAACAAAAATACCAATCGGAACGTTTGATGACGCAGTTGACACAAAATAGTATGAAGAGGGACGCGTTGATTGAAGACCGCAAGCACGCTATACTGATGCTCGATTCATTGAAGAATGTGGGACAGGAAACAACTGCTCAGTGAGTACACAACATCGGAAGTAATGTAATGACAATAGTGAATGTTAATCCAAGATACAAAGTTTATTTAAAGAAATCAATTACTTCTAATCCTTCATTACATTTCAATATTTATACTAATTATTACATTAACGGCATAAAATTACATTTTAGGTATCTTCTAGAGAAAGATCAATTAAAATCGTCATTAGAAGCAGAGATTCGCGAAGAGAATAACCTAAAGAAGTCTTTAGATGAAAAAGGACGACTTATTATTGAAATGAAAACATCATTACAACAAATAAATCAGTTGCTATCAAGTGTTGGTGTGTGTCTATTTCACTTCATTAACAAATTTCTATAGCTTTATGTCGAACAAAATGAGTATTTGGCGATGGTTTACTTTTTTCTTGAAGGTTCCCTATGTTAATTAAATTAAAGTGATACAGATTTTCTTGCACTAAGAGCGCTTTCACTAGCATTCTGCTGTTGTGGTTTTTATATATTTCTAGTTTAAACACTAACTAAATACATATATGCTTAATGTCAAATTTCTGATGTTTTAATTGATGCAGGTGCTGCGAATGTTGCTAGATCACCGCCCACTGTTCCCACAGCTATACAATATGCGATGGATGAATCGATTCAACCCGTTCCAGAAGTGGAAGCTGATTGTAAGTACTGGAGATAAATTTACTTGTTTTTATGTAATTAAGTGGCAAATGAGCAAGTGGCCAACTGAATTTAACGAAATAGCGAAGAAATCATTTCCCAAAGACATCTTCAATTTTAACGTTAACTACCTATGGAGGAAGATATGCACAGAGAGAGGAGCTTTCTTCTTCCTATTTGTCCCCTCTTCCATCAATTCAGCTTCTCCTTCCCTAACTTTCCTTATAAGAAAAGTAATATTTACTTTTACCAACTTTACGTATCTATTAACTACGAGTTATGATGATTATGTTTACAGTTTATCCATCTGATAGTACCTGTACTTACTTTTAAGTTTTCTTTGCCATTTGTATTTATTGCTTTGTACCAATCAAACTTGCTATATTTTGTTTACTGAATCTTGTATCTTTTACAGTCGACAAATTGATATTGAATGCACGCCAGAAGCTAAACGTTTTGATTCAGGCGATATCTAAAATGGAGGTAACTAGTGAAATTCGTGCGAATGCCAACCAGTTCTATCACAATATACTCGCGAGGTCTATGCGCGACAGTTACAAGGATGAAGTTGTTGCAGAAGGAGGTAAGTTGACTAAATATGTTTTATACCAAAGAGCTGAGAACCTAATTTCACTTGCCTTCGGTAGCTATGTAGGGCTGCTTGACGTTGGGCATTTAATCTTCAGACATATTTTGGTTATGAAAAGTATTATTAAAAATTGTGGTTTCCAAGATTCTTCTTCAACTGCTATCTTATACCGTATGTCGGCAATCATTATGTCTATTTGTGATTTAACATTATTTTAGGGAATAGTGTTGGTGTCAGTTTGTAGCGTGAATTTAGATTTTTAAAGATTAGCATTATTATAAATATATTTACCGTTACTTGATTGGTTATCTCAACATTTTTATTGCCAGGTCTGATCGAGTTTGAAATTGAGGATCCAAACGTCCCCAATCATGCTATGGTCAAGTTACGCAGCAAACAGTTGGTTGAATCGCAAGTCAGTGAATTCGATGTACCGGATCAGCCTACGAAGAAATAGGACTATCAAATGAGTGATGCTTATTTTACACGCGGGCAGAACTTTATTTGTCACGGGATTTAAATTTTCTAGCGTCTTGTTTTGTTCTTTATAGTTGTATTAAGGTTGGTTTCATATAAACATTATCGTATCTATTTTTTAGGTCTTATATGTAAGTTGTTGGCTGTTTTGACTTTTCTAAAATTTAATTTTAATGTCGATGTTAGGATTTTTCTAGTAAATTTCGTAATAAACGTTTGGCTATTTTAAATATATTTTTTCATTTAAAATTACTTGTAGGGAATGTAATATTTAGTAGAAACAAAAATACATTTTAATTTTTTTATTACAAAATATTTTCACGATTCCAAATAATCATTTACTTACACGCAAATTAAGATTCAGTATCGTTTTCATACACCAAATAATTATATATTCTACTTTCTACATTCCAAAAAAGATAGCGAAATTAGCAATGCTAATAAAAATGAACCTTAACCCCATAAGCTTTAACTACAAAATACATTTTAAGCTTAAACAATTAAAAGAAAATACCAATTGTATTGCATGATATTAAAACAAATCAAAAACAATACTCGTTTTAAATAAAACGCACGCCAAATGAACATTTCAGATTTTCTTCTACATTACCCAACTTGTTCACTGTCTTTTTTAACCGCAGACTTTAAATTTATTTCAAATATATCAAAATCAATATGTTAAAAGAAAAACAATACAAATACAGCTTAATTATCTTAATTGACAAGGATATATTTATTATGCATTTACACATGAATGTACTCTGTTTGCAAAAGTTTATATATAATATCTGTTTCATAGTACAAAGTTAACAGATTGCTTGTTTTCACAAGACTTTAAAAATATGATCAAAATATAATTCGGTTCCAAAACAAATAATATTATATATCCTTGCTAATATAGCTTAGCTTTTGTGCACTTAGCCTTCTATTTGCTCGAATTTAATAATTCATAAATAGCTTAGCAAAATATACCGTTGTTTTTAAATGACAAAATATGAAAAGAGTTTAAACAACCATCAAACTCATTCATTCCATAAGAAACATTGATAAATCCTCTCATACTTTAGAATCCCATGCACACGATTAATGAAGGCACTTGAAGCTTTACTGAAAATAGAATAGGTCGATTCTTTGGGCTATATTCGATGATGAGACGAAAGTGCGAGCATGGTTGTTTACTCATGTTGATGTTCTGCTCCATGAGCTAATACAGCTTGAGGTTGGAACGAACGTACAATACTGATGAGCGCAGTATAGGTTCCAGCGAGCAGTCCAACGATCCCGATAATGAAGAGAATTACGTCTTTTAAAAGGAGTAGCTTCGGCTTTTTTGGATACTGCAGGAAAGATTCCATGATGGCCGGGAAGCAGATTCCGAGAGCTGAGAGGCAGAGCGCACCGAACAGTGAGATGAATAGCCCCAGACGTGGAACCGTTACCGCCAATAGAACTGGAAGTAGATGGAAAACACGTTAAATCAACATTTGTGTGGTTAATCAGACCAGATAAAATGTTATGGTTTTTTTTTTATAAAATAATTATATAAATAAAAATACTGAAGATTCAATTTGTAGGAGCGAATATGCAAGGCGCTCGTAGTGACGAGTATAGTGATACTATCGTAATCCACATCTCTAAGAACCGCACAGAGTGGAGAAAGCCTTATGGGACATGGACAAAAAGAATCGTTTTGACGTTCAGGAATTAGCAAGCGATGCAAATATAGCAAGAGAGAGTCAGTTTAATCTTAAGATTCGTTTTTAAAATCTATGGTAACTTCCAAATTTTATTTAGGTAGAGGTTAACTTATATTCTGTTAAACTTACAAGTCAAAAGACAAAGTGATATTCTGAGACCGTATTTCCAAACCAGCAATCGGTTCGAGCCTGAAGCCTCGAGCCACGGGAGAAGGTATCCTTTCCACAGCACCTCCACCGGCACGTAGCAATGTAGGCCGTAGCTAATAAAGATGGCGATTGCAAACATCACTATCACTGTCGTTGCCAACCTGAAAATACAACATTTGTTATTTTAGACTCTAACATGGTTGAAACGATGTAACACATTGATCTTATTGAAACAGAATATAAGTGGAATGGAAGGAATACATTTATTTTTAGACGGTTATGGTATATACGTCTAAAATCTAACAGATTATTAAAATAAAAATGAAATCCCATAGTATTGAGGATTGTAAAGCTTAAGTAATGAGCAAGGTTCGAGGTAATCAATCTCATCGTTGGCTCCAGAGCTCGTATCCAGACGTGGCGCCACAACGGACTTCGCCCTTAGCTATTACATTACAAACGTAATCATACGGAATGTGGCACACCGAGTTGGAATTGTTACCGATCTATTGTTACGTCATTCTCAATTGATTGTGGATTCATTTTCATTATCATACTGATTTGTTGACGTACGTAGTACGTAGTACGAGCTGAACATACAAAAGAAAACATATGAAGCTACTAATTAAAATATATCTAAAAATATAATAAAATAGGAGTGTCTGTAACATCAAAAGAAAAAATTCAAATTGCTAGAAGATGATGTATTTCCGTTGCCGATAAAGAAAATCGCATTTGTCTGTATGTATGTCTGACTGTCCGCTAGTCGCGTTTGTTCCGGGTAATCTCCGAAACGACTGGGCCGATTTCGACAGGACTTTCATTAAAGGGTAGATGACATAGGCGGGCATATTATATGCTACTTTTTAGCTTAATATTGCGTGGATGAAGTCGCAGGTAACAGCTAGTATGAAATACAATGGTAAGCCTGTCCTTATTTAAGAAAACACCAAAACAGAATAGTGTAATCTTCGTATTACATTATCTGTATCTTCAAATAGGGTGCCAGTCCAACCCTAAAAACTACAGCATATATTATTTGGTAATCTAGAAGCAGTTTATAAAATACTAACGGGTCGCCCTTCGGTAAGTCCAGAGTGATAGAGTCGCTACAATTGGAGACGCAGAATATGTAGCCCAAAGCACCGACTGCGACGTAAAGCAAGACGATAAACGTCATGCCGGTGTTCAGTACTCCGCAGGGGTGACCGAACGCCTTAGGAGTTTTCATATTGTTTTCTAACGCGATCACCTATAAAAAGATTAAATTTTAAAACGACTTAATGTTATATTGAAAACATCAAAAATACTATTTAACAAATAAAATGAGGGCTTGCCAGCAAATTTAATATATGTAAAACATACAAAAATGTATATTCAAGAAAGCACAGAAATAATAGACACGCAGGTAGGTGTTAAGGTAGCTAACACTTAACTTAAGATATAGAAATCATGATACAGTAAAAATTGATTTAGTAACAGTTAATGAACATAAATCAAGAGTAGTTGCAACGCCGATTTTAACTAATGTTTATTTTTAACTCCTAGTGGCCTATTTAAAATAGAAACTTAAACGAATTCATAAATCTTCTACGTCGTTTTTCACTGAGTTAAAGTTACACATACCGCGGCATTAACACCATCAACTTCTGTACCTGCGAGTAAAATCGTGATTCCGTCTCTTCGACCCTTTGAATAGGAATTCGCCTATCGTCGTAGACCCAGAGAAATTTATATATTCTGCATGTATTGCTTTAATAATTACAGATTGATGTTATAACACCAAGAAAGTATTCATAGTTTCTCCGAACCCCGAAATGATTTGCATGTATTCAGTCCAGCTAAAAAAGTAACTTGGACGCCATTTTAAAATATCTTACATTAAATCAATTAAAGGGCTTGGCTTGTGGAGTACGTATATTTTGACCATAGCCAACCTGATTGGAAAATAGCCGAGGTTAATGAAACTCAGAAATAGCTTTCTTAGTTGCTTGCGCAACAGGATTGACATTGGCACCTAAAACTCTGGGTTCCCGACGTGGTATTCTCCTCTGTAATTGATGTGAGTTCTCGACTTTCTACTCTTTTAACTGGTGTGTCTCTATTATCCGTGTAAGGTATCCTTGCTATACACAAAGGGCAAATCCAGGCTCGAGGAGGCGTTGTCAACTTTGGAAGACCTACACAATCCTTGTGGTAGGTCTGAGAGCATTTAGTACAATTAATAACTTCGAGTCCAACAGTTACTAATACTTTTCCGCAACCACCACATTTCGCCATTATTTGCAGTGATTGTTATTGACTGTTCTACGACCATATCGTACTCAAAATACTAAATTAGTGCTCAAAAATTTGTCTGTGTCTGTGGTCAAAAACGCAATTATATTTCGTTCGTTTCATGGACGCTTTGTTCTATAAACTAATACACAGCACTTGCAACAATTCCTCAAACTTCGGCAAGTTATGTTATTTAAGCACAGTATCAGTTTACGTTAAGACAGTGCGAATGCGCGCTCGGATATGCGCTTTTATCATACCGCATATGTGAAATGCAAAATGCCTCCAATGTATAAATTACATACGCAGCAAGAAACATAACGCTTAGGTACAGTGAATACATTATACCGATTCTCCACTACTCATGAAAATTCGCATATCAATGGTGTCACAATACGCATAAATATAATTTATACTTTCGCAATCGTGTTGTGCATTCGCTTTATTATACTTCGCAGACATATGAAAAATTTTTAGTAGTACTCACCACTCCAACAGCTGTTAGCGCAAACAAAATGGTCCCGAAGAATAAGGGAAAGGTTTCCGCGGAACCCCAAAGGTCCAATGGCTCAGTTGACTTTTCGCCAGAGAGAAGGAAGTAGACCACGATACCGAGACCCACTAAAGTCATCACGTTTGCAACTGCGGAAAATGGCGCCAATAATTTGAGACTAGGTATCAAATTGAAAGCAATCAGAGGGACCAGAATGATTAACATGTGAATTTCGACTGCCATCTCGTAGTAATGGTCGACCACCTGAAATATTAGAGAATATACAGTTAAAATAACCACGTAATGAAACAATTAACGAATGAGAGAAATGTTGTTCTTTAGAAGTCTTTTTTGGGGTTGGTAATTTTAGTGAGTAACGACAAAAGTTTTATCACAATATCTGATCTTTTGAACTGTTTCAGCGTCATTTTTCAGGACAGGCTTTGTTGTATTCAGGGCGTTTTTTCACGAGCCTCATCGAATATTTATGCTTTGACCTCGTTACTCATGTTTATTTCATGATCCATCTTGGAATATAAATTGACAATAACAATTGAAAAGCATGTACGTTACAAGATCACATATGTACCATAAGATACTGCGCACAGTCCTTGCAGTACATACTCACCGTGCGTTTCGTACATAAAGTTTTTGTTATGATAATTTGTGTTTGGCTTTCAAATCCGCGTATTCAAATCAACTTAACGTTCAATTGTACGAGTATTAAACATTAGCCCGCGACTTAGTCCGCGTGGAATAAAAATTCCAGACTAACCTCTATGCCAAATTTCATCAAGATCCGTTTAGCGGTTTAGGCTACAAACTCTAGCAAATATTCATACATCAAAACTTTCGCAGTTATAATATTAGTAAGACAAGCTTACGCCAGCGACCCCGTCGGCGTGGAATTATAAAAAAAAAAAACAAAAGTGAGTATTCTATGTGTTCTTCCAGATTATCCTCTACGTCTATGCCGAATTTCATCGAGATCCGGTCAGCCGTTTATGTTACAAACTCTAACAAACATCCATCCATCCACCTAAACTTTCGCATTTATAATATTAGCTTTTGGTAATTAGAGTGAGTGTATTTAAATTGTTTTCTAACCGAAAAAAATCTACAAAAATGTGTCTTTTCCGTGTCTGAAATACTCGGCACATATTACGTAATCGCCGCGTCGTGTGATGTTTCCGCGTGTATTTGTGAGAAGGACGCGCTGTCAGTTGATGAATATTGACATATGATGCTAGGACGACCGCTGACCCTGCTGTGTGTGCTTGCCCACTTAACCAATTGCACGGCTCGCTACTAGCTGTATTGTAACGTATCCGCCGAGCCTCCAAATGACACACAACGGAAGTTCACCTTGTGATTCAGAAACGCTCAATTGATTTGCCGAAAATAGGTCAGATCCGAGGAGCTTTTGTTTTACGAGTATAAAAAGTAAAAATTTTCAATGATAAATTTTAGCTGCCAAATTCTGAAACATTACATCAACACTAAGGTGACTTCGTGTAAGGCGACATTTGGGCTTTATTTAAATTTACACTTTTCATCATCTGTCCTCTTATCTACTTCTCTACAGGTCGGCGCAACAGGTTTTTGTCCTCCACATAACTCATCATACGTCAATTCAGTCATCACTTCTTGATCATGTCACCTTTCACGCAATCCATCCCTTTCTTTCTAGGTCTACCTCTACCGGTGAACTTCCACACTCATAACTAACGTTCTCCTTGTTACATGCGATTCATCCCTCCTCATAACATGCTCATACCATGCTATCTATATTTAAAACTCCATACTAATATTACAAACATAAAAGATTTTATGTTTGTATATATTGGAATAACTCAGTGTTTGTGAAATTTAGCTTTTTCAACTGTCAAAAGAAGCCGCATGTTGAGCTCTTGTTAAAATCTTAGATTACAATTTCCTGCTGATTAAAAATAAACAGAGTTAATTACCTTCTTGATGTTGTCAGCGATAAACACGATGTATACGCAGCAGATTCCCAACTGGTAGACGACGAGGAATACGTCAACAGTGATAGCGCAGGGTTTAGCGAAGCCGCGGAATGCCGGCGGGCCGTTGCTGAAAGCCGTAGCAGCTGCTGCAGGGTACGACAGCAAAGGCACTCGGAGTTTCTTACAAGCTGCGTATTGCGAACGTACCTGGCATGAACACATTAAAGACAATATATTGGTGTATTTTTTTGATATAAAGCGGCACATACTGTAGAAGGAACCCCATCGACAAATGAACGCGTTGATTCAATTTTAAATATTACAGAGACGGACAAAGAAATAAGTTCCGGGAAAAATCTTCATAGCCTAATTCACTCTGTTAGGGTAAACTATACATTTAAGAAAATTGTGTGTCTGTTTCTAATGTCAAAAGATAAAATCTAGATTTCGAGAAGATGATGTATTTGCGTAACAAAAATCGCTTTTTTTTGTCTGTCTGACCGCAAGCCGCGTTTTAACCTAATAATCTCAGGAACGAAACTTCAGCAACCTAGCATTCGAAAAATAATATTCATTTGTTTTCTAGCAACTAATTCTAAGATTTATCGTAAGTCCGTTCTAATAGGGCTAATTATGATTGGTGACAAAGATGAATAATTTATACAATGTTTTAGTTACAATTACTCGTTACTATCTAAATTACCCAAAGTGATTAATTTCATAACTTTTTTTAGTAGATTTTTGTTAATTTATTAATATTTTCTTTAACCATTCCAACTAAGCTCTAGGCTTGTGCTAGGATATAGTTCACGACAATAGTCGAATGGCGGGATTCGAGCCCTCGACCGCAAGATCGGTAGTCCGTACCCCAAACCATTAGGCTATTAGTGCTTGAATTAATCGTTAATCATTCTCAATATTTCATTTAACTGGTAAGTCATTCAATAAATAAAATGTCTTGTATTGACTTAGTTTAACATAAAAAGAGCGATAGTTACAATGTAGTACAATAAGTTTTATGTTTAGTTACTTTGTATGCAAAGGAATATATTCCTACTTATAATAAGTCTTACAATTTTACGACAAACATTTATCAGTAAATTATTTTTACAAAGCATAATACATAATGTTCTTTATCTTTATTAATTGTATCCAAAGAGTGGCAATTTAATACTCTAGTTTAATTTAAAAGATCTACCGTATCTTTGAATTAAAAAAGTAATTAAAACATTTTTTCATAAATGACTTCCATTCCTTCAGCTTTGTATTTTATTTTTTAAATAGTTCATCGCTCAAGAGAAATGATAGTATAAAAATGGAGCAGAACAAGTCCTCCTCATAGGTCATATATTTCAAACTACTATCCAGTGAACTAGAAACGTCATTCTACGTAGTGGTAACAATGCACTATGAAAACACTATGTTCTAATTTTCATTTAAAGATGAAACATGAAATGAAATACTTACCAAGACATGGAGACAATGCGTGACCAGGATGCCAGCGAGCACGGTGGCCACGATGCCGGTGACGAGGCCAGACCGGGCGAACGCCTGTGGCATCGCAAGGATCCCAGTGCCAAGGCTGCATTTCAGCAGATGCACTAGGGTCTCCAAGTTGCTGTAATTTCGTAATAACGTTACACAAATCTGAACTCACAATTCAGTTCACTTCGATTCTAAATGAATTTTTAAGTATCCAATTAAGTATAAATAACTAGTTTTCCCTCGCAACTCCGTCCGTGTGAAAACAAAAGTGAGTTGTATCTTTTCTTCTTCCAGACTATCCTCTACATCTACACCAAATTTTATTGAAATCCGTTCATCCGTTTAGGCTACAAACTCTAACAAACATCCATTCATCTATATTTTCGCATTTATAATAATAGTATGATGAAGTATGATTAAGAACGTAATTATTTCGTAAGCATTGACAATTACGGTAATATGTCTGTTTTTAGTAGAAATTTCGTATTATCGTTGCTTAGAGACAATCTAAAAATGTACTTACTTTGTTGGTTTCTCTAATTGCCGATGAAGATGTGGGTCGTAATCAGCATTATCATCTCTAAAAATAACACAATCACATTACAACGTTTTATACATATAAAGATGAAAAGGAACCATCGATTCAGTAGAGTGCTAGCAAATATTTAGCATTGTGTGCTCCGATAGCAAATATTCACTTTCATTCGGTCGTATATTTCACTATGTATGCAACGAAAACAATTTTTATTACAAAAATACCAATCAGGATAAAAGCTATAAATAAAATTTGTCCAATTTTGAAAGTTTGTATTTGAAATATAAAATAAAAAGTTGTATTCGTTTAGAATTTTGAAAATACATTTTTAAATAATCGGAAATAAAATTCTATTTAATAGTTCCTTGAACATTACTCTCCAACTATCATAAACATAAAGATCTTTTCTTTTTAATTTACTATACTTGTTGTTTTTTCATTCTTTACTTACCTATCGGGGCTGGTTGGAGCTGTGTTGTTAGACATTGGCTCTAGTCGTATCGTTTCCATTTTATCTTCCATCTTTGCGAACCTGTGACCAAAATAAGATCTGCACTAGCTTTCGCCTGCGATTTCGTCTGCTTGGAATTAAAAAAAACTAAAGTGCCTATGTGTTCTTCCAGACTATGATCTATATCTATGCCAAATTTCATTCATAACCGTTCAGCCGTTTAGGCTACAAACTCTAACAAACATCTATGTATCCATCTAAACTTTCGAAAAATTAGCCTAAACGGACCTGGATGAAATTAGGCATAGATATAGAACACAGTCTGAAAGAACCCATAGGCTAATTACTTATGTATTTTTTTATTCCACGCGGACAGAGTCGCGGGCAAAAGCTAGTATGCTAAATAATTTGAATAAACAGGAAACAATGCAAAGTGTTCTTTAAACGAAATAAGCTAAAAGGCACGTAGCTACAAACCCCAAACTGCTACTAGAGCGAGGGTGAAATGATCAAAGCTACTTTGGATGGAGTAATTACTCTTTGTACCAATACTACAATTCCCAGTCAGGTTTCTACCTGTTTATACGCGTTTCTACGCGAAGGTCTCTATTGTAATTCCTTTAAGTAGTCAAATAACTCTAAAATTATCATTATGAGTTTTGACTTTCGTATTGTTGTCCCTGTTTATTCTTTGACAATGTAAAGGGATGACAATAAAGGTATCACTGTTGATACCCACAGTTATGTTATCACTGTTCACACAATTAATAATTTAAAACGATTTGTTTCAATCGATTTATAATTCACTTATTCATAAAATGCTCTTTAGAACAAACACAATTACAATATCCGTATATATTTTTTTTAACTTAGTACTCTATGCGAATGCTGAATGTATAAGTGATTTCCCCTTCAGTAAAAAACAAATACTAATTTAAAATAAAGGATGTGAGCATGATCGTCCGTGATCCGGCGACTGGTTACGTAGGAGTCTAGTTAAATCGATAGGGACTGCGGATCAAACTTCACGAAATGAGGGGGAATAATGCTTTGTTCAAAGTTACGTATGATAAGGTAAGGGCGACTTCTATGATATGACAACCTTGTTATTATTTTTTTCATAACTTTGGTGTATTTAGAAGAAATGTAAGCTTGAAGTAAATGTTGAGAACATGAAGCTGAAATCGTACAAAAATAAGATATTATAATCGAAACCAGATTGAAACCGTAGAGGTAAATTTTTTACTACTATATTTAAACGTTTAATTTATTATTTTATCTATATTATGATATTTCCGTTTACTACATTTTAGATGTAATAAGGTGAAAACTTTGTGCTTGTTTATAAAAATTATTAAAACCCAATCTGAAAACTAATCTAATTGGAAATGCTAAGAAAAATATTCACATTACATTTCTGAAAAAAAATAGGCATGTTGAAATATTCTTGAAAAGATGTTGTAGTGGAAACGGACGTTAAAAATGATATAACAATAATGGGTTTGTGAGATTTGAGTAGTAAATTCTATTGTTACACGTGTGTCGTAGCCGTCAGTTACCACGCCTACGGAACACACACGATTCGCGAAGTCGGCAGTTATGTAAATAATGCTATTTAAAAACCACGGTACAATTACTAGCGACAGGGCCACAGTTCGGGCGGGTATGGCGCCAACCGCCCTACTTTTTTGCGAAAATATTATTAACCAAAAGAAATGCTATGTTTTTTGTGTCAGTAATTTTTGTCAGTCCGTACGTTTTAATTTTACATCTAAAATAATTCATCGGAATATTAAGATGTTATTGTTTTGTAAATTCAAATTCATAATAGTATAAGTAAAATTAATTTCACATTTTTTATTCCGTAGGTCATATACAAAAACATAATTTGTATATACTATTAAGTCAGACATATAAGCACATTTTGAATACATAATTATGTTTTGTATTCTTCAATATAATTTGTTTTTCGGTTTAGTAACTTTTATCTTCAAGCAAAAGCATAAAAGCTTTCACAAAAGCTCCTATTGATTTTAAAAAATTAAATACAGTAACAAAATAATCTTATTTTTCAAGCATATTTAAGGGACACAAAGTTTAAATTTATTTTTTATAAGCTTCGTTTTCATTTATTGCTTTGGTTTGGAGTAAGCTACTTTTATTTTTTAATCTCTCAAAGATATTTATGGTTTACATACTTGTAGTTTTTCAAGGTAGTGTAACGTTCTTCTTTCCGATGTTGATATTTGTTCTGGGAATCCAATAGAGGCGCGCGCCGACGCGTTCACTGGAGCACTGTGGCAACTCCAGCGAGCGTCCCGACTGTACCCGACCATCTCCCCTCGACCCCGCCCGCCTCACCTCATTCCCCGCGCCCATCTTACCGTGTCCCGTGTCGTCGATCATCTCATTCATATTCGGGATGGCCATTACGCTTACAAAATTCGGATACTACTCGAAATTAATCAGTCAATAAGGCGAGGAACCAATGTTGTGTCAAAAAGTTCAGGGACAAATGCATGTTCCTTTATTTAAAGATATGTTACCAAGTTCTTTAATACATTATTATTAACTTTCGATGGTTCAAAACTAAAGAAAGGTACTCACTAGTACACTACACTTAGCAGGTTTACTCACTAGTACACTACACTTAGCAGTACATAAAGTGCGTAGTAAAGTTATTTTTTATTTGAATGCAATGTAAAGAAAAAAGGAGACACGAGCATAGAAGTAGGTACCGACTTAAATATTACCTTTATTATTCGTGTTTTCGTATATATGATACTTGTAAATGTTAAGACTTGATAGGAACAAACCAATTACTTATGAAAGTGTCATCAAAAATTTAGTTCAGAAATCACTAGTTGATGCAATATACAAAAATATTCAAATGAATCAGTTCTTGTAACATGTTTGTCTTTAAAGAACAATTTTTGCGATATTTATCCCGTCCCAGTCATCATAGTGTGGTTACCCTTTTAATTTGTTGTTTTACATGTTGGTGTCGACTCGTAACTGTAGCCTTAACAACCACTCGTCTAATCAATTGTCGTACAATTGATATGAAGTCAACATGACCTTATGCAATTAAACAAACAAGATGCAAAAAAAAAAAGAAAACGTTTTTCTCGTTACACGTCTTGTTTACTTGATTGACGCTTTTCTTATTTTAGACCCGAACAAATTGATATTAATTAATATGACTTTGTTTACGTTACAATATGCGTTTTGAAACAGACGTAAGGTCATATTATGTTTTCCAATTCGAGTCAACTTTAATTTTTAATATTTTCGGATGAAAATTCTACAGGCATTGCTTTAACTAGAGCTTTTAACTCTGCTTGGAAATTATTAACAATACACATAACTACTGAAAATGTGAAAACAATAGACTTATGCTTTAAACATGATAGGTCAACATTCAGTATTTTTAAAATTGAGGCAATTTAATTTCAGTGCCGTGTTCGAGTTCAGCGACATCTAAATCGTCTATTCCGGTTGCTTATTAAAAATTATCCTCAATCCAGAGATATGGATTAGTTATGGTTTTAATGGATACAATTGTGATCTTTAAAGATCCTAAAAAAAGTTAATTTCAAAGCGATAACAGAGAAACAATAATTTCAAAGCAAATAAGTTTGTTCAATCACGTCAATATTCAGGGTTTTGTTAAGTGACCAATGAGATCATTAGAAAATAATCGGAGGATCTAATAGAATCAAATCGGTGTACTACGAAAGTTATGCTTAAGTACTACGTAAGCGTAGACGGCAATAATTTAGTACGTCACGTTATAAATGTAACGAATAGAAATCTTTACTGCATTACAATTGTTGCATATAAAAAATCAAAGCGACCGACGACACGTGACGAAGCTAGTAGGATGTATATCAACAAAGTTGTAGGATACTAATGGCTTAAGTGGATGATATGAATCGTAGGTGGCTGAGGGTTACCAAGAACAGATTATGTTAACGAGAGCGAATGAGTCTCGAAGAGAGTTCTTGACAGTGAATACAATTGTAGTTGATTTGATGTCTATCTATACACGTGTCGTCAGGAAATAATAAAACGAGGTCGCACGCTCCTTGTGTTTATCCCGATATAAGGACGATATGCTCCTGCGTAGACACGTGGCTTTAATACAAAAGATAAATTTTATTGCAAAAAATATTCGCCCCTGAAGTTCATGCTACAACAATTGAAAATTGGTATGATAATGCGTATTCATCCTGGGTCGCGTAGCAATGATTCAAACTATGATATGATTATGTATCTATTTTTGTACTCCGAATATCTTCACTTGGGAATAAAAAAAATCTTTACATATTTCAATTAAACAAAAGCTTGTCTATAACAAAATCCAAGCTTCCATGTCTGAATTACATAGACTGTGTAATACATTTTATTAAAAAAAACGTTTCATGTATAGATTAAGATGAAATTGATGTTATTGGTAATTTTTATACAGCCACTGATTTTAATTTATCTGTTTCTATTTTGTATTCGTATTTCTATGTGAGGAAAGTAGTAGGTTTATATACAAACTCTACAATGTCTGCTGGAAGCCACAAATATATTGTGGCAATTTCCATACCCTCCTTTTGCGACAACAATACTAGATGGGATAATTGATTCTGTGAAGTGTAGATAGAATTTTCTTGTGCAGTGACCATACAAGATGTTATTGAAGACTAAAATATTATCAAAGAATTTTATAGAATCGTGCAGCGGAACTATTGAAATAATGGTCATAGCTACAGTTAAGGACTGTTATTCCTGGAATATAATGGTTTATCTATGATTTATTAGGTGACATCGTCCTTTTATGAGGCGAATGTCCCAGGAAATTATTGCTAAGAAAGTAACCCTACATTTCCTGGTCAGAGTTCAGCGAAATGCGGTATTAATAGATCCATCCAAGAGTTTCTATTCGAATACAGCACTAACAAGGAGGTATTATTGTTAACACCATTTATGTAATCATTTTATTCAGTGACTAGCTCTCGCCCGCGACTCAGTCCGCGTGAAATAAAAAAAGCAAGAGTGAGTAGCCTATGTATTCTTCCAGACTATCCTCTAGATCTATTCCAAGTTTCATAGAAATCAGTTTAGCCGTTTTGGCTACAAACTCTAACAAACATCCATCCATCCATTTAAACTTTCACATTTATAATATTAGTATGATTGGTTCTGTCCAAAGTTCAATTTCTTTATTCTGCATATTTTCCTATTAAAGTTCTGCTTACTCGTAGTTTAGAGTTTTTATAAAAACTTGTAACTTAAAAGATAAATGATTTTGTAAATTTGCGATCGTCAACTGAGAGTAAAGTTATGTTAAAGTTTATGCAAATATATTGTGCATTTGAATAAAGAAAAGTGAGGACACTAATTAGTGCTGTAATGCTAAATGAACAAAAACCAGCTCAAAGCATTATATCTACTTGATTCAATTTACTACGTTAAAGCAAGCGCTATATTTGGAATACTAGGCAAAACTTTACTTGCACTAAAATAAAAATGAAGCAGATTTTTTTCAGTATTTCTCTTACTCTTTATGATTATTTATATTAATAATATTTATAACTTCACACGAAGAAATAACTCGGACCGCCAGTATACATATGAATCGATTGGCAATGGTTACGTCATTTGAGAGTTTGGGGGCGCGCGGTCAACGACGTCTACGTAAAAACGTAGAAGTGAGCACCGGTAGGATAACGGGCTGTGTTGCCGCCGTCGACAAAACCACTGCAGTCAAACCAACCACGTGCCTAGTGAATCGCATGCGCGGCCCTAAGACCCTACAAAGATTACTACTGGGATTCTTTACAATGTTTTAAGTGACCTCATTTTCTTTCATAATTCGTTATAATGATAAATATTATAATACGAAAACTGCATGCAAATATTTACAGATATTAACCAATTAATTTTATAATAAAGCACATCATTTCACCATTCAGTGACAACTGCCGTCAGTCATTCGATTCCTCCTTGACATCTATCATGCCCGATGCACATTCATCCAGTAATCAAGATTATTAATGGCCAGTAACTTTTATCGTTCAAAAAGTATCAATCATTTCGCGCCGTTACATTTATTCTCAGTTAGTAGGATCTAGCAATTATTGCAAACTCTGTCTACCCTGCTTAAAACCGCTATAGAAAATCACATTTAATAAATAAAGGATTTCCTTTAAAATCTATATAAAACCACCATATATTCCTCTTGGAGTTATTAAAAAGAAATTTACTGTAATTTGATGTCAATGTCACGTAGCATGACAGCTTGTTGTCAGTGACAAGAAGATGACTCAAAGCTTTTTTAAATCTCTTTATTTTTCTATAAAATTGTATTTATATTTATAATTTTTTTTTAACATAATCAGCACTGTTATCAAAAAGTACTTATTATGCTTACTACAAAGTAGAGTATTGTTACTTGTTTTATAACAAAGGAGAAGAAAGCAATACAAAATGTTCGTTTACGAGTTTATGTCCGGGATCGTAGAAACGATCACTGGAACTGGAGAATGTATGTACTGCATTATATTTGCTTTATATGCTTAATTTTTGTTTAAACCAAATTTCACTGAAAATAGTTTGGTAGTTTGAGAGTATAATGGAGTTAGTTACATACTGGGGCCACAAGATTTTTATATTGAAATAATGTGAAAGTTAAATTATTTAAATCTGTGGTAAAATAGTAAATAAATTTGTTTTTGTAATAATTGTAATTATTGAGAGTTATTTTTGCAGCTGAGGATGGGGATTATGATCCTCACCAACATAGAAAAGTAGAAAAGCCTACGACGTAAGTTTACTGTTTGATTATTATCATCCAACCTTACTCAAAAAAAATTTTACTGGCTGTTGCCCGCGAGTTCGTCTTGCCAGAATTAACGAAAAATACGAACCATGAAAAACAAAGATACTACGTATCCATTGGGAACCTGACATTTTCCGGGGATGAACCATATCCCATTAGTTACTCCAGATTTTATTTTATTATCTGTGCCAAATTTCTATAATAGATGTACATATAAATAAACATGAAGAAACAAAATTAATGTATCTCACGGGAACCGTAACTATTTCCGAGATCAAAAGTAGCCTATGTGTGCTTCCAGACTATCCTCTACAACTGTACCAAATTTCATGAAATCCTGATGGGCAGTTTCGGCTAAAAACTCTAATTAACATCCATTCATGCAAAGTTATGCAATAATATTAATTTAAAATAATATTAGTAAGATAAAAGAGGAACTAGCATAAATGGGTAGATGATAGGATATTGTTACCTCACAACTCCACGTCCATTATCTTGATGGAATTTGGTATAAATGTAGAACGTAGTCTGGAAGGAAGCACAGGCTAATTATCTTTTTTTTAATTCAGTGCAATCGCTGACATCAGGTAATACAAAAAAAATCTAATTTATTTCAAGTTCAATTTCTATTTTTAATTCAAGTACTATCGCGGAATAAGATAGATTAAAAGTTCATCATCATCATCATCATCATCATCATCAATGAATAATTAATTTATTTTTTCTTGTCCTTGTTCTATCTTCTTTTGTCCTTCATTATTAGATATTCGGAGACAATGATTCATATGTTAAAAGGCAGTATCGGAGCTGGTATATTGGCGATGCCCTCCGCTGTCCAGCGACTGGGAATCATTGTGAGCATCGTTGGTCTTATGCTCATCGGCTTTTTGGCTACTTACTGTATTCTCCTACTAGTGGGTATTTTTCAAAGTAATGTAATTTGAACTATAAAGTATGAGTCATATACTTTACATCTATATTAGGTTTATGATGCGTTAATGATTTTATTCTTTGTAACCTATTTATACAGATTGCAGCACAATACGAGTTATGCAAGCGTTGGCGGCGGGGTTACATTGCCTACCCAAAGTCTATGATGCTAGCCATCCGTGACGGTCCTCCGGGGATCCGCTGGTCTGCAATGTCACTTTACTACTTCGTCGAAGTTGTTCTCATCTTCTGGCAGCTCGGCATTTGCGTTATTTTCTTCGTGTTTGTTGCAGAAAATGTCAAACAAGTAATATTATATGCCATTTTTCTATTCAAGTCTTAAGCTTCTTAAATCTTTATTTTTAGGCATCTATTGAATTAATAATTATTTTATCATCTGAATTAAATGTGGCATAAAACACAAGTATCTTCTGCTTTTGGAAATTAATAAAACAAACTAAGTTGTGTTTGCAGATATGTGATTTCCATGGTTATGAAGCGTCATTAAGACTACATTTGTGTTTTGTGCTGGTGCCAACGATTCTGTTGAATCTTGTGAAAGATCTTAAGCTGATGACTCCGCTCTCGTCGATCTCAAACATTGTCACAATCTTCGGATTGATCTTGGTGTTCTTCTACTTGATTGAGGATGATGTTGTTTTGGACAGTGAAAAGTTACGTTTGAAAAGTTTCAACGAAATACCTTTATTCATAGGTACAGCTCTGTTTGCACTTGAAGCAGTTGGTGTGGTTTGTAATATTTAACATTTAATCGAAATAATCTATGATTAAATAACATTACATATTTATAGACTAAAATGATTATTCCAGATACTCGCCTTAGAATATAATATGGAAGAACCTAAACGGTTCGTAGGTATGTTAGGACTATACAGCATAGGGATGATTTCTATAATAGTGCTCTATTTGGTTGTGGGTGTATTTGGCTATCTTAAATATGGAGAGGAAATTAAAGCAACAATAACATTAAATTTGCCTCAAGAACAAAAGTAAGTTGGTTCTAATATTTACTTTTGGTATATATTTTCGTTCAATAAAGGATTTTTTATTTTTATTTCATTTTTTTTATATTAGTTAAATCTTCCATTTTCTTGTACTGGAAACTAAATGTTTTGAAGTCGTGTATCAAATATTGTAAATATTGTTTTTCGTCACTTTTTATAGAAGTAATAACATTAATAATATAAGTATAAATCTAATATTAATTGTGAGTAATTACTGCGTTTCCTAGCTATGGTTCCAAGTTTCTGCTATTTGTTAATATTTTGAGGGAAATTTTTCTGTTACAAACAAATATTTCGTTTTTTATAGAAAAGCGCAAGCAGCAAAACTTATATTTGCGTTAGCTATATTCCTCACGTTTCCACTTCAAAACTATGTTGCGTACAACATGGTTTGGCGACGGGCAAAGAAGAAGCTACCAGAGAGCAAACATATGGTCACCGACTACACCCTGCGGATTGCTCTTGTTATTATACCATGTGACTATCAAATGAGTATACATTTGTGATTCTCTAATAACTATTAAAAGTGCAATCCGTCATTACAATAGATGAGGAATAGTATTATTTTTTAAAAAAGGAATTTCGATTGAAATTAGCTTTTAGATTGGGCGATTGTCGACTGTTGATTGTTTCGCAGCCAATCCAACTGTTTAGTTCCACAACTAAAAATCGAGTAGCACTAAGCACTACTTAAAAGTTGATCGATTGTTTTTTAATGATGTGCGCGCGCTCTTAAGATTTAAAGATGAAAAGTGCATTTTTGTTGCATTTCGTCCCCTCACATCACAAAATATTACTAAATCATGTAATGTATATTTCAGGGACTCTTGCAGTGGCGGTACCTCATCTGGGTCCTTTTATATCCTTGTTTGGTGCATTTTGCCTATCACTACTAGGAATTATCTTCCCTGGTTTGATGGATTTATGTATATGGTACCCTAACAATTATGGAGTGCTTCATTACAAATGTATTCGCGATGTTTTTATAATGATAATCGGTGTTGCATGCCTCTTTTCCGGATGTTACACGAGTGTGGTAGAAATTATAGCAGAATGGTAATAACACTGATTGTATTACTAACCCATCGTCTATAATTACCATCAAATTATCGAATTTACTGGGTTGTTCGGAAAGTTCGTGTCGATTAATTTTTAAATAGATTAAAACGTGTATAATCTTCGGGGAATTTAAAATACTTATGTTATGTTATGTTTAGGTCTCTTTTCATGCTACTTATAGAAAATCGGCACGAACTTTCCGGACAACCACATGTACATATTTTGTTGTCTTTAATGTCTGTTAGTGTAACAAATCCATTACAAAATAAATGTAACGCTGCATATTTCTTTATTTATTATACTTACCCTGTAGTATCTTTATATTCAAAGTTTAGAAAGCGAAAGTACGTTCTTCCTTATTATTACAAGGTGGCAAACTAGCAAGCGGCCAACTGAATCCGCCGAAATGGCGAAGCGACCGCTGCACATAGACTTTTGCAAATGCAGATGCGTTGCCTACCCTTAACCGACGGAAGAGATGACGTATATAAACACGATATTTCCCCGTCCTATGCGGATCCTCCATCGTTAAATCTACTTTTCCTTCCTAACCTTTCTTATGAAAAGGATGGAAAGGAAAAGGGACTAAAATTAGGCAAACTAAACTAAACTTAAATGTATACGTAATTGCTTGGAAAAGATATTTTTAGGTTCCAACTGTAGCACACTTATACTAACCGTTACTGTCAGCGCCAAAATAACCAAAATCATATAAGCACAAAACGTCTTATAGCCTATATATTTGTAGAGGTCAGTGTTTTACATGTAATATAAATCTACAAAACGCTATAGTTTGTCTAAGTAAGATAGATTAGTTTGATAAATAACACACATGAAGTATCGAATTAAATTTGTACGAAGGAAATGCCGTACTTAATAGACAGTTATCGTAGGGACGAAACAAACACGCATAGCGAAAAATTGTAAACTATCGATATTTGGTCTAAATAAAATTTAACAAACTGAACTTCAATTATTAATTAAATATTGACTAATTTAGGGGACAATTCTAGTAATAAATGTAGTGCACAGAATAAAAGCGATGAAAATAATAATAGCAAAATCCAAATCGATTATATACAACTGTAGCAGTTTTTTTGGTTCTGTAGTTATTATTGATTTGAGAAAACGGTGTTTTTTTTAATTCATAAGTTATAAATAACTATGAATCTATTGATTCCGCCTTCTATGAGACTAAAAAGCGAAAATCGAAAAGATTCACACCTTATTTTACAGAACCCATCCCTACTGAATTGTCAAACTAATCTATCTTATTTAGACAAACTATATTTGACATGTAAGATGTCTACTGTTTGTCATTTTACATATCTGTAGTTATACTTTTTAATTAGCTTACGATACATTTAAGAAGTTAAATTTCCTAATGGTTAATTCACTCTTTTAAATATTGAAAATTGTAACCAAATTTCGACAATGGCGAATGAAGACTTTTTGTAAGGCATAGTTTTGATTATAGAGTTCCTCTGTAGAATTCTTACACAAATAGTCAGATTGCCTCGTAGACTTGCATCCTAAATCACCACTAAGGGCAGCCTTAGTGAGTAAAATACGACTGTAACTGCGGTAGATATTGGTTATCAGATAACTAGGCACTAGTTTTTGATGAAACAGAAAACTGTGCTCCGTAGGTGGCATACGTTTTTATATGAAAAATTCAGATTGCCTTACTGACTGTTGCTACCAACTGCACAATGTAGTTTGTGGTTGTAATTTGTACTGAAGATACTCATCTTCAGTATAAGAATAGTAAAAAGTTTTTTCGACCAATTTGTTGTCCACCACCACCAATTTGATGTTTCTTTTTATTGTTATTTCTAATGTTCAAATCGAATAAACACTTTTTAAAGTAAACTAATTGGAAACATCCATTTCAATGTTAGTATGCATTGTAATTTTTATCAATCCTTTATTTTTTCTTTTCAGATACCTTGGGATGTCTCGTTTTTCGGCTCTCAATACCAATAATAATAATAATAATACAACAGCGCGTCGTAGTTTGGTCTCTTGCTTAATACAATGTATATTATGTTTTTAAATCTTTCTTTGTATATTCATTTTTATCACGAATGACGAACTCCGTTCTTCTTGTTGGACCGGAGACATTTTAAGAAGAGCAAAAAAAAAGCTCTATGCCGTGTGGCAACTAGGAAGGTCTATGTTCAGTAGTGGTCTGTTCCCATGTTATTGTCTGTTAGGATAATGATGACGAATGATATTTATTACATAGCAACCTCTTATTATTTTGATATTATTGGTATATTGCGCTTGTCATTTATGTAGTTGAATTATTTTGCTTATTACATCTTTTTATAGTTAACAATGATGTTGGTCGGCGCTTACGTACGCGGTGCACTATATCTCGGTAAGGGGACTCGTTTATTTACGTTAACATAATCATTTTTTTTACTTATAGTAGCTTTCTTTTGCTTATTTTTTCTAGATCTCATAGATCAACTTCAAACAGTCCAATAAAAAATAATATCCAACGAAGGCCGTGTTCTCCTTGGTATGGGAATGCTAACTCGCCTCCTCTTTGCAATTCTCCGACACGTTACCCTACTCGTTTGTATTCACGGTAATTGTTTTAATATTCTCGCAAACATATCTGGTATCATAAAGCTTCAATTTTACATTTGTAGTTGGTAGCCCACTAACTTTATATGTAACATGATGCTTCGAGACAATGTGACGTTTACGAAATTGAAAGGTACAGTTTGTCCACTGAAAATTATGTAAAGACAACTTAGACTCTGAAGGTTCCCGTAAATTTATAAATGTTTTCAACTAATAACTTTCTCATTTATCAGATCTCGGAACGACTTAGGAGATGGTTTATCCGACAGCTTTGCACAAGAGCCTACGCAGCCCGAAGCGTACTTCTCAACAAAACCACCATCGGAACCCGTGCAAGTTATTATAGAACCGCGTATTATGAACGATTTAGACTATAAATTTAATTCATCAACATCCTATGAATCCCGATGTTTAGATGAATTTAATATCACTCCATCCATGACTATTGCCGCAGAGGTAAGAATTGACTCACTTCTGAGTCCTGTAAATTGATACATGATAACTTGCGGTTTAATCAAAACTTACTCGTACATGTTCATTAAGTAATCATACTTTCGGCTTAGAAATCAATTCTCCCATATTAATTATACAGTGACTATTTATAATCAGATGCTTGGGTAAATCTCAACAATACAATAAAATTGCCTAGACGTTGTGACTCCATGCGAATATTTTTATTTTAATTTCGTAAGCGGAGCAAATGTTTGCGTTTCATAAAATATTCAGAATTGTATTTTTGTTGAAGGCACTAAAGTGGTCTTTAGTTTATTCCATGAGGATTATTTGGAATCCGGTAAAATTATCTATTGAGACACTGACTGTGACTGTACCTAATAAAGAATTTAATTTTATGCATCTGTTTTCTTTATAGACTTTCAATTATAAAGGTAGTTGTTTTGTCTAAATGTATTGTTGTTTCAGATTCCACCATCTGATAACTCGTTGGCGGTAGTTCGTCGCATATTAAGTTCGTTGCTATCGACGCTTCCCCTTGTTGATCCTCCGTCTGATGCATTCACCTACCGCTACATATCTCAATATTATGATAATAAGTAAGTTTGATATTTTTGTCAATTAATCTCTGACAAGTCTAACTTCCACTACGATCGATTTTGAGAGGAAACATATCGTCTGTCCATATTTATGAGAAGGACAGAAATATGACGATTGTTGAAATTTGATAACAGGTAACCTCAATTTGACTATTGACGAAACACCATATTGTCATCTTCACTCCTTTTTATAACAAAATTTAGATAACAATATTGCATGTTTCGTCGTTGGACCGATCACCTCCGCAAATCATCAACGGAAGAGAATCCGAAAGCCCAACGGGAAATAACCACCTTATTGATTTATCCCTTATTACGTTAATTCTGTATGCTAGTTTTGTTGTTAGTAATAATGTGGAAATTTATTAAGATCTATGGTGCGGTCGGAACCTGAACAGCGCAGCGTAGCTGTACAAGTCGCCCAGTCTTCTATGTACGTGACTTCTATTTTTTTTATTATTAGCGGGTTTTTGTTAATTTACTAATGTTACTTTTAACTATTCCAACTAAGCTCTAGGCTTGTGCTAGGGTATGATTCACGACAATAGTCGAATGGCGGCATTCAAACTCTTGACCGCAAGATTGATAGTCCGTACCCCGAAACATTAGGTTTTTGGCGCATAGATTTTGCAAAAAAAATTTTTTTTTTTTGTTACAAAACCTTTCATATTTATTTTAAGAAAAATTGGTAAGGTTATACAATGACGAATGAGAAGGGCAGGAAATATGATTTTAATCAAAATCTCATACTTAAATATGTTTAGGCATGGGATTTATATCAAAATTTTTACACATAAATTCTTTGTAACCATTCAAAGCATTCTTATTATATAATTTTGCATTTTAGAGTTTAAATAATATTTAATCTAGGACGTAAATAATGACTTGTTGGGTTTCATCTTTTAGGACAGTTTCCGTGGGGAATTGTAGCGACTATTGGGACCGAAAAGGTAATTATACTCATATCATTTATTCAAATTAACACCGTCATTAGAATGTTTCATTACATTGCGAGTCTAGTTTAATTCTTGCAAACATTGCAGTCTCTTGTTATTGCTTTTATCTTATGCTGTATTTACGATAAAACTAACTAAGTACCAGATATAATAAGAGTTGTATTCGGGGTTTTGGAAATACATTATATCGAAACCTTCACAGCAATTATAACTAAGCTACGAGTGATAAGCGCGTAATTTGTAGCAGACGTAATGCAGGCCAAACACGTTATGTCATGCTTGTTGTCAAGATAGTTGTTCTCCTGACGTGTGTGGCGAATAATTTGTTAATAGGTAATAGGCAGAAGAATGAACTGAGCAAGAAGAGATGGATGGGAAGCATGCGCGCATTACGTGAATCTCACCTTCGTTTGATGATGCGTCAAATACGTCAGTTGCGGCAAATTGAGCGGTTGGACCGTTCGTTGAAACGGGTCTGTTCGGTACGAGTGTCCTGTGATAACGACCTTACTTAAACTATTCAGAACCTTAAAAAGCACCCGATGAACGATTAATTTTTTTAAACAATTTTTACATGTTTTGTTAATTGTATTGTAATTTATTGTTGTTATATATTTGTTAATTATTATTGTGTAGTTAGCGAATCCGCTCGTTTTGTTTGTTTTTGAAATTCTGATAAAATAAAATTGACAAAAAAATGTATCACCTACCGGGCGCTTTATTTATCTGTTATCAAAGGAAATGTATTAAAAATGTTATAAAGCATTTTATCACCAAAACATTGTTTTAATTGAAATACCAGTGGTGAGTTCTGCAAAAACATTACCCTCGTCACAATGGCCGCGGTGACTAAAACTATTAATATTTTAGTAGTGATAGACGCCAGCTACAACAAAGGGGAAGTAAATTTGACGGAGGTCATAGGAAGGGGAAATATGCTATTTCTGGACGTCCCTTCATCTATTGCTTAAAGGTGGGCAAAGCATCTGCAATTGCAAAAGTTCATGGGCAGAGGTCACTTCACTATTTCGGCGAATCTGTATGGATTATGCGAATATTGTATGGAGGTCACTGTACTCTGGTTATAAAGATTATTAATTTATGACATTCTTTGCCTACATGACAAGCAGTTTAAAAAATACATTGACATTATTTACGTGACTTTTGACATAATGAATTGAAAAATAATTGTCAATATTAGTAATCCTCTTAACTAAATAAAATTTTTTAATCAGCATGAGTTCGTGGCGCATGGCTGGATTGAAGTAAGTAAATGTTTTTATACTTATTTTTCAATAAATGCCTTATTTACAAGAAACTAGCACTTGACCACGAAACCTCCTGATAGTGTGGTCACTTGTCAAATTCTCCTTTAAAATTCCTTGAAATAGTACCAATGAAATTATTGTCGAATGTCGTCGAAATAAAATTGTCATCCTTAACCCTTAATTCGATGGAGCTTTGTAGCAATAAAAAAAAAAATTAGTGGTCACAGTTTTGCACATAAATTATAAATGTGATGATATGAATGAAATATATTTTATAAATTAGTTGTTTACATTGGAGTGTATTGAATTATGGGTTAAGTAATAAAGTTGAAAATCCTAAACATTGCAGTTATATAAATTATTCGAATATAGCAGCAAAGGTGTTGCGAAAGTCTTTGAAATCAGATATCAAACAGGAGGCTTTGAAACGCGATGAGTCCTTCATCAAGCTCTCGTACTGGAATAAGGGGGAACCATTACGTTAGTATTCTATAAACAATTTCTCATGAATAGAATACAAGGTATAATAAAATGTTTTATTTTCAGCTGAGGGTGAAAAAAGGGGAAAAGAAGATGTTAAAGTTTAACATATTAAAGAAATTACTTGTTAAAATTATAAGCAATTAATGGTTTGTTTTTATGACTTATTAAAGAAAATAAATAGTTAGTACAATATCCATTTCTTTTTTATATTTTGTTACACTATAACTGTTTCGAAAATGTTAAAGAAAGAAATTAAAAATGAAATTTTAATAGTAACTGTAACAAAAAATATGCAATTTTCGAACAGCTTCTCACCTCATTTGAATAAGCTGTTGCAGTGAAATTGTTACTACGTGGTATGCTCTTAGGCTTTGTATAATCTGTTAACTGATATCCTAAATAGAAAAAACCATTTTAACTTAAAGACTGAATATGTCTGCATTTGATCACCACAGTAGAGAAGCCGCAAGTTCGTTGCCGGCATTTGAGAAAGAAGTGTATTCGATTCTTGATATACCATAAGTTCCACTTTGGAAATATCGAGGATAGACCGTATTAGTACACGTCTGTACAAGGCAAGAATTGCTGCGAAAAGCGTACCGTTGATTTCCACTATAGTTTGGCCGTTGGTTACATATTTATAACATACTCTACATTGTATTTGAGAAAACTGAAACCGCTTTGCTACAGGCGTTTCACTATTGGTATAACATCATCATGCCGCCGCTAGTCATAATATTACTATGTTTACATCGGTAATCACGTACCGTAATGTATATTTGTATTGACTAATAACAAGCTGTAAATTGACTATAATAATACACAAGGCTTTTTAAGGGATATTGACCATTCAAGTATGGATTTTTTAATAGAAAGGAAAAACTTTTAGATTTCGCATTACCATCAGAAAATATTACATTCTTTTTTCTTTTTTAATCTCTAAGTCGTATCATTGCAACTATTTGTTTTTATTGATGTTTGTTTATGTTATAATATACTTACCTAGTTACTTGTAATGTCTTAAGCCACCTTCAATAAAGTAAGAAAAGTGATACAAATGTACGATTGATATATATGAGATGAATTTATTTATTAATTTTATAAGTACAAATTGACATTGTATTGGTTATAATAATTCGTTTTTGAGTCCAATTGTTATCGAATAGTCCCATAATATGAGAATAAGAAAAAAATAACGTATTAATATAAATCTAATCTACATGATAAGTCTACATAGAAATACTATTCCATTTCAAGATTTACATTCGATTGGGACATTCTCGGCATTTCCTTCATTTTCCGGACAAGCTGAAATAAAAAAAATCTCTTTAAAACCAAAAGACAGTTTTCTTAACCGAAATTTATAGTTATTAACCAGCAATTACATTGATTTTCTTCTTTAACTGTTAGGTTAGGTTAATGGTGGAATTTTTTTAGTAACGTCAAAGTTATTGAATACATAATAATTATGCGCTTACATTTATGAAGACTTGGCATTACTCTTGTCTTCTGTTTAATTTGAAGACTATTTTACTTATTTCAATATTCAATAATGGATTTTGCTATAGAAATATGACAAGGTACCTTTTTCACAACGCTCTCCATAGTGTTTTGTGCCAACACAATTGCAGACGTATCCTCCATTTGTGGGGAAGCAAACGCCGCGGACGCAAGACTTATAGCAGACGCCTGGTCTGTTTGCTAAATCAAATGTATCAATGAATTCAATAGTATAACATAAAGGCGAGAAGTAGAAGCAAAAGATAGTCAGTTTATAGTTTATAAAATAAAAGACACAGAAGAGTATTCAAAGGATGTTTAGTGTAGGAATTTACTACGGTTTCATTTAACTTCCTTAAGAAAACAGCAGGTTTTTCTTTAGGACCCAAAACGGTACAAAATATTACTTACTCTTTGGCTCCTGTAATGAACAGTGGAAATACTACTTTGTTGTAGAAAGAATTCACGCTGATAACGTCGAACGTATATTTTTACCGTGCATGAAAATCGTTTCAAGTGAATAGTTCAGATAGCTCTAGAAATTAAAGACAATGTGAAATAGAGACAAGACAAATACTACTTTCTTACATACATCTTAAAGCGCTAAGACAGATTCTTCTTGTCCTGTACTTGTATTTATTTTTACAACCATATCCACAACTGCATACAGATTCTTTTATCATACAACCGTAATGTATCTCGTCTAGCGCACATCCTGGAAATTAAATCAGAAGATTTTATTGCCTTAGTTTTAATTTTACCTTTAAGTATTTGTCTTGTTGCTTTCTTTTGTGTGGCATCATTATAGGCCTTTATCTTCCCGTTGGACATAGGCTTCCCTAATTCCTTTCACAGATCGCGGTCCACTGTTTCGTGTTTGACGTCGTTTAAATATTGAAGTCATCTAACAACTATTGTAGGCTTTCAGCATTCTTCTTACGTATATATGTGAAAGTTTAGATGGATGAATGGATGTTTGTTAGAGTTTGTAGCAAAACTGCTGAACGAATTTTGATGAAATTTAACAGAGATGTAGAACACGATCTGGAAGCACACATCGGCTACTTTTGTTTCTTGTTTTAACTCCTCGCGGACTGAAGTCATTCGAGTAATGTTACCAAAATGTAAATATTTCGCTAGAATCAAACGCTGTTTAAGTACAAATATTTATTTCTTTTTGGAGGTACAAGTCTTTTACAAAACTAAATAGACAACGGTATTCAACAAAGGTATTTTCTTCTCTATAATCTAGGAGGTTTAAAAGTAGCGCGTTGACTGTCAGAGGCCCGTAGCTTAAGGAAATAAATTAGTTTATGTATTCGATCAGTTCAAATAACTACACACTCATGTGGAAATACAAGACCTCTTACTGGAATTGTTGGACATGCTGAAACAATCAAAAGCAATACATTTGTAGCTATTTTTTTAAATTAATTTTTAAGATAATTTTATAAGCATTATATAGTATTTATAAGCATATTAAAATCATGTCAATTAGTATTATATTAGCTTACCATATGTTACCTTAGTTGTTTGAATGCTTGCTTTATAAATATACATATTTTTGCGTGTTTAAACAATGAAAACCCAATCAAGTTACGAATACCGCGGCATGTCCAGTGTTAATTAATTATTAATTATGGTTATTTATTAAATATAACTTATATTAATTTTATGAAGTACCTAAATAATAGAAAAGATATTTATTAAATGTATGTGATACTAAGCATGATTATTTTAAATTAAAAGCGATAAGAAAGATATTTTTTAGGACACCTGATAGTTATTAGTACAAAGCATTAAGCAGAATGCAGATATTTTTAAAAAATAGTATGTTTCGGTAACCACGTAGCAATAATTATTTAAATGTATTTCTGTGTACGAGTAAAAAGATACCTTTTTCACAGCGTTGACCGTAATAACCGGTGCCTTCACATTTGCAAGCAAATCCTGGTTCTTGTACTGTTTGGATGCAGATACCACGGACGCAGGGTTGGCGGTAACAAATATTCGTACTACGCTCTGAAATAAATATCTTAATATAAAAAAATAAGTCATGAAACCATTGTCTTAACAAATGTTGCGGATTCAAAAGCTCACAAAAGCTCATTAAGTTGTAAATGAACATAATAGATGGCGCTGCCATTTATTATAAATATCAACCTATAAAATATATTATATAATTTCAGCAATTTGTTTATCTTTTCTAATATTGTTCTAATATTTAATTTATTTAAAAATTATACTTGTATACTAACTCATGCTTCGACATTCTGTGCTTTACGAGCTTTAGTTCAAGGCTCTAAATGTTGCGTACGAATGGCGCTAGATGTCGCAACATTTACAAAAACTAGGAAACTGGATTGTAAAATGTTAATTACCTCTTAATGCGCTCAAACAGGCCCTCCTTGTTCTGTATACGTACTCAGTTTTACAGCCGAAACCGCAAAGACACTCCGAGCCGTATATCTTGCAACCATTTTGGGTCTGATTAGGTTCGCAAGACTCGACATACCCTGGAAAATTTTAAATTATATCAGTTGCTACTGTTGTTAAATATAACTTTACAGATTGTACTTGAAATTGTATTTTTTAAAATAGTAAATTTTTCTTTACATTATTAAGTTTAAAGTTAAAACAAGTAACTTATGTTATTTAAAGATATCTATAACATTTCAAGTTTATAAATATATGTTCATTTTATTTGTATAATGTTGGCTAATATCTAATTAGTACAAACAGTTTGTAACATTGCTGTGTTTTTATCCCATACGGCGTGTAATAGAGGCATTGATAACGATTGCTTTAGGATGTCACTATCAATGAAAACGTCCGCTCTTATTAAAGTTACATTGACACGATTAAAAAACATATATCTATTTAAATATATGTAAATAAGAAAATAATCAATCAACATAGCCTAGATCACGTCTAGATTAGATCAACTCATAGTATCTAGATAAGAATCTACATGCTATGTAACAATCTATTTTTAATTAAAAAAAAAAACAAGATTTTTTTATTTTAACCTAATCAAACCAATCCCCAAAAATCTGTTGTACCAAAAACCTCTAGGATTTTTGTTAGGACACGGGACCACGACGACAGTCGAATGGCGGGATTCGAACCTTAGACCTCGTGTTCTACAGTCCGCACCTTAATCCATTGGACTATTGTCGCTCCGGAAGAAGTAGTATATTTTGTTTAGATACTTCGCCAGGGAACACCTACTGAAGCCTTTAGAGTTAATTGAAGCTCATATAATTAAGTATGGTAATTGTTTGTCCTTAAACCATTTCTTAATCTACCTTTATAGCTATGTCTTAACATGTTTTTAAAGTTTAATCTCCAACTGATTAAATTCTGCAAATCGACTAAATTGAAAAAAAAAACATGATATTACCGTGACTAACTTTAAAGTATTTAAGAATAGCTTTCGCCCGCGACCCCGTCCGCGTGGAATTATAAAAAAAACAAAAGTGCATCTATGCCAAATATCATCGAAATCTGTACAGCTTTAGGCTACAAGCTCTAAAAAATATGCATCTATCCATCCAACTAAACTTTCGCGGTTATATTATAATATTAGCAAGATAAGTAAGATGGATTCATATATTTTGATGTATACGTAATGATTATTGGAAATGAAAATAGTTAACTAAATTTGTAGAAGATGATTTGAAATTGAATACAATATGTTGCGTAGTTTATTCGGTCAAGGAGTAAATATTTACAAAAGATTAAGCTCAAGGTTGAATTGAATGAAGACGTAATTGAATCAATTGGAAGGGATGGATCAATCATATAATTCAGGGCAATTTAAAGGAGACGGCGTAGTCACTATGAGTGCATTTTTGATGCGTTTAAATTACCTTTATGTTGAGCCGACGAGACGGTTGTGAGGTAGGTCGAGTACATTGAAAAAACAAGCTAATACATTGTGCGTTGATTTTGACATTTTTAAATCACGACTTGAATATGTTTTTTAATATTTTGTGAATTAAATTCATTGTACTCAATTGTATAGTTGAATTAGATAGAAATGAGAATTTATATTTACATGGCTGACAATATTATTTATTGTCTACGAATTTATTTGTACGTGTCTGTTTTTGAAAAGCTTTTGACTACAACCTTAATTAAATTTTTTAGTTAGTTTGTTAAAATTTCTAATTTTAATTGGATTTCGTTAAACAAACTTTGTTGTAACATTAAAAAATGTTATAAATTTTCTTGAAATATTAACAAATAAATACAATAACAGCGTAAAAATGTATTAAAAGAAAACATCATTTAAGGAGGTGTAAAACACTGCAATTTGGATTATTCGAATATAACAAAAGTTGCGTTTACGCTAAAAGTAAAAACTTTGTTACAATTTATGTTGCCTTGTAATATCCGCACTTCAAATCAAAACAAAAATATTTACTATCAAGCAACTTACGTAAACAGGGAAGCTGTTTTTGCAATTTTATCTTAACTGGCTGACCTGACAGACGCTGTACTGACATAATTATAAATATTAGTTAAATTAAAATAACCTTCCGACAATAACAAAGAACAAACGTAAAGAAATTGTTACATCATTCATAAACAAGGGAGATTCATTTTTATATGAACGTATATATAGACGAGCTGTCGCCCGCAATCTTCGTTAGCCCGGATTTCTTTTGAAAGCCATCAGGATTAAAAAAAAAGTAGCCTATGTCATACCCGTCTATGCCAGCTACCCTTCAGTGAAAGTCCGTTCGAAATCAACCCAGCCGTTTCGGAGATTACCCGGAACAAACGCGGCTTGTGGACAGACAGACAGACAAATAATTTTTAAAAGCGATTTTCGATTTCAGCAAGAAATTGCGAATTTTTGTTTTAATATTACAAACATACATTATAATTTTATTATCTGTGTAGATTAGGCTTCACTTAGCAAATTTATTTGTTAGTACTCGTAAATATTAAAAACTACCCACAAGACGAGTACTTGACCAATGCGAGTTGACCTTAACTATGGACGATTTATAAATTAAACGTATTGATAAACTAATAAAATAAAAAAAGCGAGGAATGTTAGGTTTTTTCTGGAATTGAGAGAAGATCGAATTTAGGTATGCTTATTGAGATACGATATTATATCTGACTAGTCACCGCACTTAACCGTTAATTGGTTATTACTTACGCGCAGTTTATTGTGTGGATATCTGATACAAACTTTGCAATACAGTTGCCTTTGTACTACCCATACGCATGTTCCTGACGTAATTATACTTAAAAAAAATCAATAGTTTTTTTTTTAAATCAAATTCTTGCAATCATTCTAACTCTCGTTTTAACTAGCACTAGACTTGTCTAGGATAAGAATCACGAATTAATCTGTGGCGGGACTCGAACCCACGACCGCCTGAACAACTGTTCCATTGTTTGGAGTTGACATTTGATTGGTAGATTCGTTTATTCTTCTTTAATAAAGTTAGTTATACTATAAGAGGTTCAATCAAATGTATATTTCAAACTACAATTTATTGCATATTTATTTGTTGAAGACCAACGAGGAGAACCATTTAGAACGATAATTATTTGTTTACGTATTTTTTACATTTTTTCTATATAATATCATCGTTTATTATATATCATCATTTTATTTAAATAATATGTAATAGTAAACATTACTAACGATTCGATTTTGATTTTTAAGATTCATCGTACAAAGAAGTATTAAGCATCTTTGAAATAGCAAACTTCATCTGCACAATATAAATACTATCCTTAAATGCGAAAATAAAGGACATAAAGTAACTTTATTTATTTTAAATATCTATTAAACTCGCAAGCTCTTAAGTTTATTGTGCTTTGGTATTTATAACACAAGTCCATACATAAAAAAGCAGTAATAGAAAATAAAATTGAATTAAATTATATGCAAAAATCAATTATTTTTAAAGTTATTTATTGAGGTCAATAAATCCGAAGCACGTAGTAAGAGGCGTTATTTGAGTACCTAGGACTAAATAAAATAATAATCAAAAATATGTTTAGAATATAAAAATATCGCTGGTATAATTCGCTATTTAGCAGCAATGCGTTACGCAAGTATACTTACATAATAGACAGGCGGTGAACACCAAGATATACCCGCTGAGACGCATTGTCGCTCCGCTGTTCAGACCACGACTATATTCCGAACTGATACCGCATTTCCTCCGAAAGTGTGAACGCCCGCTATATCAAGCCGTATCTATAACAGCGTTTAAACTACGACCTCTACATTTGAGTGCGTTCTGTATATTCTTTTATATTATACCAAATTTAATAATTAATGCACTGTTAAGATGTTATTTATGATACATAGTTTCCTTTCTTCTCTTTCTACGACCCTTACTTACATATTTATTTATTTTTAACTTTTAACTAGTTAATGCACTTATTGCGAAATAGTTTTACTGTGGACCTATAATTCGAATTCCAACTATATGGTACCATTTTAATTGTATATTTGTTTAAAATGTTAATATTTTCATCTTCATTGTTTGTCATGTTTATTTCATGTATTCAGAAGATTTAAATCAAGGATCGATAGGTCGTGTGATGATTTTCAATGTGCACTGTCACATTGCTTAAGTACGGACCAATAAATATTTAAAAAGGGTAAAGTTGTTTATAGAGGTCGATAATAACTAGTTATTGTTGTATTGAGCTTTAAAAGCTTGTGAAAGCTCCGCATACTTTTGTTGCTGCACGCGTAGAATATTCAATTAAACTATAAGAACACGTTGTTTTTAGACTCAAAGTGTGGCTTTAGTCGTGGTGGTCTCGTACCGACATCTATGCATAATTATTCTTTGATTTATTTATCTATCGATGCAAAAGTGTGACTGCAGCAATGCATCACTAGATCGATTAGTTAAAATTAGGGAACAAAGAGGGGAGAGGCTCGCGGAGGGAGTAACCTCGACGCGCTCCACTGCCATCATTCTGCGTATTAATCGCGACGTAACGCGTCTGTTGCGATGCAGCATTGTATAATTCCAGACTATAAAATAGATTCTCTCCAGCGCTCACGTCTCCTGACTGCTGCAAAAAACTACAAAGAGCTGCCACCAGCGATCTTAGGCTAAAAATTAAATGCTATTCAAGGTATTCTTAGTGGTATTCTTTTCAAGAAGCTCTTGATATTTTTTATAAAATATTATTATAATGCTTTACTCGGAAATTTCCTTTCTTATTTTACAAGACAAGTCTTTACATTTCTTTTCGTTTTCCAGGAGTTATTTTTATAATACAAACGAGAATAGATTCTTTGTAGCTAAAACCAGTACCTAATGAACCATGCACTTTTAACATGATAATAGTTATTAAAAATTTAATGCTTACCTCTTTATCTCTTATGGCTATTGAAAAATCATTATAAGCAGTTAATTGCGATTATGCAATTGTAAAAAGATATTATTCATTCATTCCGACAGATCGACCCAGCGTGGGTAGGCGTCCCGCAAGAGGGACGGAAGATCTGGTCAAGGTTGCGGGAGTATCCTGGATGCGAGAGGCACAGGACCAATCATTGTGACCATCTTCGAGGAAAGTCTATGCTCAGCAGTGGGGTTATATGGTTGAATAGAGAGATAGAATATAATATTGGTAATTATTTTAACAATTGCACAAAAACTATAAAGAGATCCTATGATCCTATGAAGTAAGGTCTTAACTATAAAGATATACGATTTAGGTTTCTCTTCAAATAGGGACAATGACCTTAATGTTTTAAACAATAATCACAGTGTGCCAACATATTGTGATAAAAATATTGGTAGTTGCGTTATAGATAACAAAATATTAAATATTATGCGAGAAAAACAAATCTCACAAACAGTTTTTGTCACTTTTAAGTTAGTCATTCCCTGAAGGGAATTTTATTGAAATGAAAGATTTAATTCATACTGATTAAGCCCCCAATTAAACTAGCGTATATGTTTTTTTTATACTAGACAAATTACGTAGTATTAACTGTTTAATGGATCACAAGATTTCGCCCGTGACGTCTGCATGGAATAAAGAAAAACAGAAGCAAGCTGTATCATAGAAATATCATAGAAATTCGTTCAGCGGTTTAGTCTCCAAATCCTAACATACATCCATCCTTCCTTCTAAACTTTCGAATTTATAATTTGATTTAGATGTCCCCTTTCACAGTTCCTTATAGTCGAATTATTTGCTTATTCAAACATTGTACTCGTAATGAGCGTAATGGCATCTTCACTTCGGTCGGTAATTCTACACTGTATCTCTAACTTCTAGGAATATGCAGCTTCTGATATCATGTTTAGCACTAACCACCAATTAATAATACGAAAATAATTCTCTATTAACTGAATTTTAATTAACAACAAACTACAAGTTAATGTAAGCAAACGTATTATTATTGTTATTTCGTCTATTCAGTTATTATCGTAGCCAGTTATTTCATTTATCAAGTTAATCACAACTTTCCATTGCACTGTGTTCATTTTGTTCGAAACTGTAAACAGAGTTGCAATTAAAATAACGCAATGCTGTTTATTTACAAAAGATGAAACAGTTCTCAAATTACCAATATTGTTTTCTTGATAAACAGAGTATCAAGAACCTTTAATATTTATAGCATAAAAGCAAACTCCGTCTCAAATAACATGCTGGCGATGAACATTCAGTTAGATGAATTTATTATTTTTGTTGAAGTTGAATTCTGAATGATGTTAGAGGACTTTACAAACTCGACAACATTAAACCCGGTTTGGTGTTGTACAGATTAGATACAAAGTCGATGATAATACGAAAAAGTTTCACGAAAATTCGTGATAGGTTCTGCAGTACGAATTGTATAGTCGAACAATGATATGTGACCCGGTGAGGAAGGCGCTGCTATCGGACTTGTCAAAGATGATAGAGTTATTTGAAGGACGAATACCCGATGCCCCGATCCTACGGGAGTAGGATAATATAGGGGAGTCGCTGGTAAGGCATAGAAAAAGAAAAACCATGATATGATAGCTTAAGCCCAAAGCGCACATCTTTGCGTAAACTATCGCATAACTGTTGCGATTGTCGTTTGTTTTGCAGCTAAATCAACTGTTTAATCTCAATTAAAAATCGAGTAGTAAGCCACCTCAATACAAGCTCATAAGAATCAAAGCGAGACTAAACAATTGTTCGACGGTTTAGTTTCAGATGAGTCTCTTAGTACTAATAGGATCTTGCGACACTTTTTTGACATTGAGAGGGGAGCATTAGTGAGCTGTTATGTTTCGTTCGATTTATGTCCCCCGGGTCAGATATCCTAATCGGTCTATAAATGATATTATGATCTGTATAGACATAGCGCAGTTATTTGCGATAACCTTAACCCTTTGATAATGTGGTCACTATTACAAATACTAACGTAATTATAAGATCTGAGTGTAACAAGTAAAACGGTTCCTTTTTTACAAACAAATGTATATAGGGAAAATAACTTAGTTATAAAAATATTTGCTTATTTCTTAACCTATGTGTTACATAGTGGACACCATTTCCTGTGGGTATAACATGAATGCAGACGTCGGACATACCGTCTTAAGAAAACTGTTGCATACTTAACATTATTTGTGGTACCATATGCCAACTTCGGTACATAAACTGTCGATGTACTCGAGTGACATCATATCAAATTTTTCAATATACATAGCACTATGTGAAGAAGCACAAGAATGTACGAATAGAGATATTAAAAATTACAGACAGTCACTTTCAAGGATTTTTTATTTATTTATTTATTATAAATACAATATCGTCTTCCTTTTTCTTTAGGTTCTTAAACCTTTTGGTTTGTAAGTACATTTACGTTTTTTTTGCATGCGACAGATACGCCTTACACGTGTTGTATAAACTCCCTAGTTTCAAGTCAAGTCAAGACAAGTCCCTACTTGAGACATTATAATTTATAAATGTAATAAATATTCAAGAAAAGCAAACATAACAGACTACTCCTTTCATCGCATCCCTTATTGTCTTGCATACGTATACCAACTCTTAAGTCCATTATTCGTGAGGTTTTAGTCATGTTAAAACTACTCGAAGCTCCGCTGTATACATCTACTTCAAAGAAACACATTTAAGTAGTAACAAGTATGTAGTTATGAAAGTGAGTAAATGTTTTACATTGGCGTGTATAATTATTTTAATGTTGATACAATATTTAGCGTCTTTACATATATTATTATAAACAAATTACATTTATCCTAATTTTTTTAAAAATATTCATAAATAATTATGGCAAACCTCACCATACGACACGAAAGACTGTATGACCCCCAGACATGTTGACAACGACTAGAGGTGGTTCTACTTTGGGATGTTATATCTGTCAATAAAACATATTCAATCAGTCAAATAACAACGTATTTTTAATATATTCTTGTGAATATTCATCGAATGTCAACAAGTTTGTTGATCGTATGTTTATAAGCCTTCTGAGAAATGTCGAGGAATTCACAATGGAAAAATATTTTTATAAATTTTCTTTGAACGTCTTATTTCTTACATCTATATTAGAAATGGGAAAGTTTGATTGTTTGTACGTATTTTTGTTGGAAGGTATCTCCAGAACGGATGCACGGATCTGAATGATGTTTTGTATGCAGAACTCAGGCTGGAAAACACCTAGGCTACCTACCAAGTGGTTTATTTAATTCAGCGCAGAAAAAGTCGCGGGCAAAAGCTAGTCAAGTTATAAAATTGTGTATCAATAAGTCGTCATAAGCACGTCTGGCAACCTACACATGTCTAGGAATTGTTTGTTCAGTTTTCTATTGTATTCTTCATCTTATAAAAAATGAAAATAGCACCAGACATGGTAATGATGTGAAATTGTTTATCAAGAATTTTATTTATGTTCGCTACTTCAGATAAACAAATCTTAGAGGTACTCTAATAACTGAAGGTTGGACGTTAGATCAGAGAAACCATACCTGTCCTGTGTTAAGCTAAAAACTTGTTCATTGGCAATAGTGGTCTAATAAAGCGGCAATAATGGTGCAGCAATGTGGCCATAGTAATGAAATTTTTAAAAAAAATTATCGTCTCTAGGGTTAACAGTGGTAGTGCCCGCTTTAACATCTTGGCACGAATGGGTCGGCACGCCCGGTGTAATACCACGACCACACAGAAGACAGGCGTGAAATGGAAGCAATTCCGTGTTTCGTCTGATGAGTGTGGTGCCGGAGGCCTAATTTAAGTCCCTTTCTCTTTACCACCCTTTTCTTTTAAGAAGAGGTTGGGAAGAGCAAGTGGATTTGACGGTGGAGGAGATGCATAAGAAGGGGAAATGTTCTCTTTATGTGCGTCTCCTCCTCCGTCGTATAAGGGTAGGCAGCGCATCTGCAATTGCGGATGTCTATGGGCAGCGGTCGCTTCGCCATTTTGGCGGTTTCAGGTGGCCGCTTGCTCGTTTGCCACCTTGTGTTATAAAAAAAAAAATAACAATAATAATTTTTTTATGCAGGTTTTTCGGTAATCACTACCGTAATGAAAAATACAGAGAAAAGATAAAATGTTTTATTAAAAAAACACGACACGAAATAATTCCAATAATTGCATATCACAATACAATGAGATAAAGAAATTTACGTGTAAAAATTTATAAAAAAATAATCTTAAACATCATTTCATGATGGATTCTTATTCTTTGCATAATGCCTTATTACATTTAAAATAGTCTATTAAATATAATTACAAATCAACTACAATCGTTGCTTAAATTGAAATTGTATTGGTAATAAAATTAGTAGTTAATTAGGCTTTCTGATAATAATTCCTTTTAATATTTTAACTTAGTATTTAAACGAAATTTATATTCATATGCTGTTAAAACAAGGATGATACAAAAATATTCAATAGTCTACATTTTTAATACAGATTGTACTCAAACTTTCTAGCTAGATATTTCCCAAAAACAAATGAAATCCATACATTCCATAGAATTGACATTAATGACATGAATTCCAATATTTGACTTTTTTCATAGTAACATACTATTTGTACATTTCATGTTACATTAGTTGAGTTGTATTGTATATATTTACAAAGGGTGCGTTTGGACCTTCTTGTAACCAGTTATCTGAAGAGTATGTATTCTCGTGCTTTTCTATTGCGTGGAAAGTGTATGCGTGGCGGCTCTTGTCTGATTTGTTTGCAGCACTTTTATGGACCACGTTACCGTGTAACAAGATGCAAGTACCTGTAAATAAAAGGAAAATGTTTTAGAGTACAATTACACTGGCTTCGGGTTCGATTAAAAGCCATGTTGTATGTTCCATCATAAATAGAAAATCAATATGTTTAGCACTTGGTACAAGATCACACCTTTCGGGACAGGTACAGCTGTGAAACTCGATTGTGGGTACACAGGTGCTGGTCTGTCGTAGATCAAAGCTTGTTTGGAATCTTTGTCCGGGTTTCGTATGAGACGACGGTGAATGCCCGATTTATGTGAGCCGGGAGAAATCCATAGACACCCATTCTGTATGGTAACATCTTGAAGTGCAATCCAGAAGCCAACTGGGGGAATTGGATCTGTGTAGAGGTACGTCGAATCTTGGTGTGGTATCACTGGAAATGAAATTATGAATGGATCAATAATAAAAAAAATAGCCTATTATGTTATGAGACTTTAAGTATATGTTTTTTTATTTGTTGTTGTCTTAATAGTTGAAAAAATAGTTATCGTATATTTTTTCAGACCATTTATATATTTAGACACAGGTAAAAGAAATATACAGTAATTTGAACAATTGAAAATCTTATTCAAACTAACCTTCACCACCAATGCCTGGGTTTTTATAGATATACATGCTTTGTACCACGGCAGGGTCTACTAAACCCAGCTCTCTGCAGACTCTCTTCACACGTTCACTGTACGTGTAACATCTGAATATAGGGTGTTGAAGATGGAGAGCGTGACCGACCTGAAAGTAGTTGAATTTTTTATTTTTAAATGTACAGTAATTTTGGAAAAGACAACTTAAAAGTTTTTTGAACATATATATAGACAGTAATGTTAAATGCTTAACTTAAATTATATAAAAGTTTATAAATTTGTAATAATCTAGTATACGCTCGAGATGGTTTTTCGCAGACGAAAACTAATTAAATTGGAACTTTGAAAAATTATTAAAGTTTCACTTTTCAGTTTGAGTATGGGCGTATGTTGAAGTTAGCTCGTGCTCTACGGGAACTATTTGCTGTGGAGTGAACTAACATCAAAAGGTTTTACCTTGTTTAATGAAATGCTAGGATCCACTTTCAATTTGCCGTCCGAGTCAACAGCGTCTGCCTCGAAAAAATAACTGATTTTGTCGTTACTTTCCATAAAGTAGGCATCTTTGTGTTGCTGTGAAAATCAAAAGATAAATTAAATAAAATAGGCAAGGGAATAATACAGTTGGACAATAATTTATACAAAAATTGTTATTCCGTCATGGTTTATACTTACACAAAACGAGACATTTTTTAAAATAACAAGAGACAATAAATGACAATTATTGTGATATAAGTGCAGCACTGTAAACTCGCTATTTCGTACGAGACATTGTATAGAGCAATGTTTTAAGTAACGGCGAGTCGAAAGGGTTGAATTGAATCTTTGAATGGTATAATAAAATATAAATACCGCTATCTCTGGATCGACTGTGGAGAATATTGGCTTCGGATCTATCTCAGCTGCTTGTTTTGTTATCTCGAGTCCCGCCTCGACTAATTCATCGCACTCGGGCCCACGTAAAAAGTCCTCCAGTACCACATACCCATCTTGTTCGAACTAAAACAGAAATATCAACATGATTAAGAATTCAAGCATAAAAACAGTATCGTAATACCATATTATAGTTGAGTTGGGAATTTTAGATGACAGGGTTTTTAATAAATAAAAAAAATTGCAATGATTTACATACAATGATTTGTCTTTCGTGCGCATATACACATAATTTCTTTAACATGTTTCATTAAAATCAGTTTTATCCTCAATCCGCTACGTGAAAGCTAAGCATTCGTCTTTTTCTGATCACATTTACATTTTACAAATCCATTGCCTATTCATGAGCGTAATAAAAAATGATCGATAGTGTAGCCGCTTCAATGTACTCCGTTTCAGCGTTACTCTTTTTTGTTAAACAAATATTCAGTCTCTTAACCACTAACCAGGTGAAAATCAAATAGCGAATTACTACATTACTATAATGAAAACGTGATTAACTTAATATTAAATTGGCTATTCGGTATCGCTTATCGCAGGAATACATTACTACTGTTTGATTTTATTTCATGTAATTCAAAGACATGGAATCTGCAATCGTCGTTCATATTACGAAAAACATTATAGTTTAAAACTAAAAGTGTATACAACCTGTATTTAAGTTTAAGTAATAATTCTTATAATAACGTATACGTATTCATTAAAAAATATACAAGCATGGGTATTTTAGCTTGCCCAGGCATCAGCGTTAATACAATTGGAAAAATCAAACAATCTCATAACTCTCATAGCAGTTTAGTGCAGCTATTTTTAGCAGTGCAGCGCTAAAATCAATCCCTTTGTTTAACTACGTACCTAACCTTGTTGAAATTACTCTATATAACATACAACTTCTATTTTGAATACCAGAAACAATAAAATTAGTTTACTACTAAAATGTGTATAGTAAATACATCTAATTTAAACTTGTTTATAGTTCAATAATACGGATACAATAATTTCCTTGTTTCTATAACGTATTTATAATTTAGTATCGTTTACGAAAAACAATTAAGTCATATTATCTACACATGTAATAAAATGACAATGTCTGTTTGTAATATCAAATGAAAAGATTGCAGATTTCGGGAAGATGATGTATTTGCGTTGCAGATAACGAAAATCGCATTTAAATTTTTTTTGTCTGTGTGTAAGTCTGTATATACGAGTATGTCTGTCTGTCCGCATGCCGCCTTTGTTCCAAGTAATCTCCGAAATTGCTGGGCCGATTTCGACCGGACTTTCACTGATGGGTTGCTGACGTATCATATTATCAGCTATTTTTTTTATTCCACGGTGCCGAAATCGCGACCGGAACGCTATCTCTGCGCTATCGATTTGGACGGGACTTTGACTGGAAGGTAGCTGTTTAAAGGTAGATGTACACGAGAGTGTTATGCGCTTACAAAGTTTGCGGGCGACAGCTCGTCGAATATACCTAGCGTTAACGTTCAAGTTAACAATGTATTTATGTGTTCATATTAAATCGTCGTGTTAATCGCAAATTCATACATTTGTCTCACATGTAGACCATTTGTATCAACTGATTACATACGTATTGTAAAAATTATCAGCGTTTAACAACTTAGTTGGCATTAAAATCCTTGACATTGATATTGCGCTGTCAAGTAAGCGAAAGGTCATGATAATCTGGCCTCTAAAAGATTGGCATGCTCAATAAAGCGAGAACATTCCATTATGGTTTTTCTTAACCCCTTTAGTAGACAGAGACGGAACACGTGCAAAAGATTATCTCTCTCTATCTCTATAGGTAATAAATAAATAATAATTGATATTTTGTGGAGGAGAATGATTGGGATCATTGTATGTTTATGTACGTTATCTGCAATAGTAACAACTATTACTATGAACTATTTTTACTTTAATGATATTTGTTTAGATATGTCTGTATCAATGATTGAATATTACTTTTTACAGTCAAAAATATGAATGATAAAATTGTTATTAGACGTTTATTGGCAGCGTGTACAGTTTTCGTGTGTCTATGAGAGTTTGCGTCTGTGTTTACACCGCTCCGCTCCCACGTGGTGTGGCTATTTGCATTCACAAAATGATCTTGTATTTTTAAGAGCCCAATGTTAGGCGACGCGGTGGGCAACACGCATAAAAAAGTTTCCATGTTTATACAATATTAAACGAAGTAATTGTTTTGATGCAACGATGTATTTTTTTAACCACTTTAAATAAGGTTAGAAAAAACAAATTCTTATGCAGACTTATATTGCAAATCTATACTAGAATTATAAGGAGGAAGTATTTGTATTTTTGGATTTTTGTAAATAACTACTGAACCGAATTTGAATATTTTTACACCGATTAAAAGCTACGTTATTAGTGAGTATCTTAGACTATATTTTTGATTCTCTTTAAAATCATTTTTTTTTAATTTCACGCGGACGAAGTCGCAGGCAACAGCTAGTTCAATGATGTTGTAGATAATGAAATAACTTATTTTAAGACATACATGATATAATTAAAAGGGTTAATTAAATTCCTACACTGATTAGAGTCATTTCATACAGTATTTAAAAAAGCCTTAGAGTGAAGTAGTTATCTTCGTGACATACCCAAAGCGAATAAATATTCTAATCTTCACATTTCATTGTGGATACAATATTAAGAGTGAATCAACAAAGAGCAGAGTCTCGCAATAATCGAAGACTACGGATGCATATAAAAATATTGTTTTTTCGTCGAGTTGTATTCGATATTTATGAAAATATACGACGTGTTGAAAGATCATAAGTTAATATCGATCCATACATCTATTTCATTGTAACGTACATTTACAATCAATATATAGTGACGCCATATAAAAGCGTTCGTTTAGCATTTCAAAGCCAGAACTATAAAAGGACATGATTATCATATCCGTGCTACATATATTAGTAACACGATCTATCATTTACAGTGGGTTTACACAGCCGTGTCATATTGTCTCAAACATTCTCTCTGAATTAACTGAGACAATGTTTTGCAGAGATGTTTCGACAGTGGATATCCACGGTTATACTGTCACTCGAGTAAATCGAGATAAAATTAAGATATCTTTGCGGGAATAGTGAGTGTAGATATGATTCAACCCCCATATGTGAGTTCCACGTCATTTGTAAAAACTTTGACTGTAAGCTTTATGAATCATGATCACAGGAAGACTTTTAAGATTGTTTCATATTGTTACAAATGTCGGTATATGTAAATATGTGTTGGGAGTACGTTATAATAAATTATTAAACAGTATCTATTATCTTTCTACGCATTCAATGGATAGTGGTTTAACATTTTAATGCTTACCAATTATATTTATTGAGATTTTTGTTTATTAAACGTCTACTTACGGCATCTTTTTTGTGCAATATTGTTTTCATGTTTATAATTTTTCTTTCATTTTGCGAGAGAAAAATGTTTAAAAATTAACACACTTTATGTCTTTATAGTCTAGCTCCGGTGTTTTACTTTTTTATTTAATACAATTATGAAACCCGCTAATTATCATTAATGTTATTTTTTACTAATATTATAGGTGCAAAAATTTATCTGGATGGATGGATGTTTGTTAGAGTTTGTATCCTAAACGCGTTTACGGATTTCGATAAAATTTGGTACATATGTAGAGAATAATCTGGAAGAAGATATAGGCTACTCACTTTTTTTTAGTTCAACGCGGACAGACTCGCGGGCGAAAGCTAGTTGAACATATAAACATAAACATAATATGTTCCTACTCGTATATTGTAGTCTTGCAATCGATCGTGTGTTGTTGTCTTTTAAAATGACACAATCAAAGTAAATTCGCTGATGGTAGACACGTTGTTACAAATTGTAATTTCTTAGCAATTTTTCGCTGCATCATCTGTTCAGGAAATGCTTATTATTAGATCTCGACTCACACGGCTCAGCGGCACCTCGTCATGAATCGCTTTGGCCAGGTTTTGAGATATTTACTTATAAATAAAACGATATATCCACCTTTGTCTATTATTAGACGTTACTGAATATCGAATAGATAGTTAATTAGAACATCGGCAATTTCATTGCAATATAAAATACTTTAGTTAATTTAAATATTTTTCTTTTCTTTACTTTATTATACAATATCAAATTCTTAGCAAAAAGATGTTACAATACTATTTATAGGTAGTCTAGCCTTACGTCGAGAAGCTTATTTTCTGAATAGCGGAGCACTTGTAAGGAGTTCGTGTTGAAGGCTATTTAGTGGGCGAGTTCCTCGGATTTTGTTATGATATCAGAGCTGCTTCAGCTATTTTCAATATTTCTACAGCAGAATAAACAACCTACTTAAATTGCAAAAGCGCAGTGAAAACAATATTCTATTAAATAAACGAGAAAAATAACATATTAATAAGTGGCTCTAATGATAACACTTGGATTGAGATTAGAGCGGGCGCGCACCTATGACGTAAACTATCGCACAACTGTTGTGCGATTGTCGATTGTTTCGCAGCCAATTCAACTGTTTATTTGCACAACAAAAATCAAGTAATGTCCTCTCCTAAACATAAGCTCATAGGAATCAGAACGAGGCCAAATAGATGTGCGATAGTTTATTCAAAGGTGTGCACGGCTCTAAAGGTTGTATGAAAATCTGATAGTGCTGTGAAACAAAGTATGGTTAGTTTCGCTATCACCGATTCTTGTACGTTAGACGGACTGGTTTACACCTCATATAAACTCCCACGCTCTCGACTTGCTCCCAATTTGCTCAATTTCTAATCAATGTACATCGTCAACACTTACAGAGTCTGATTTGCTAGAAATTCATGGCTCCGTTTTTTTTTTTTTTTGTATTAAATTCTGCATATGATTTTCAAATTCAGTAGCATTTGCCTATCAGAACGGTTGTCAAAAATATACGGAAATGTCTTGTTACTTCTTGATTCTAAGAATTCGATAAAAAAGCGAAGTTTATCGGATCTTCAAATACCAAATACAAAGAGATGTTTTGTACAGATATTTCTGCAATGGTTAACTTCAAGTATGGAACTAATTCAAAGACGCGGCACCGCTTTCGGGTTTCCTCTAAATTTCGCTTCGAAACTTGCTAAAATCTTAATTAGCTGTCTTGAATATTAAACCATATGCTTACCAAGTTTGTAGTTCCCTGAAGCTGTTAAAAGTTATTTATGTCTGAAACTGCACTCATATTTAAAGTGATTTCTTTAGCAGTTTTTGTTTTATCTTTTTTTTTGTATAAAGTATTTTTGGTAATCAGCATTTATTACAGATTCAAGTTCATCTTTCTCTATTGAAATAGTTATCTATAACTACTTTATCAGCAATTTTAAATTATCTTAGTGTTTGCGCTATTACGGTTTTCTTAACAGGTTGTCTTTTTAATTCCTTCATAGAACTATTATGCAACATTTAACTATAAAATAAATAACTATAAACATGTATTTATCTTGTAAGATACGTGTCAAAACTTTACTCTATATATAAGTGCTGTTTTTATAACAGACTAGCTCTTGCTCGCAACTTTGTCCGCGTCAAAGTAAAAAATATAGCCTATGTTACTCACAGATAAGTTAACTTTCTAACGGTGAAGGATTTTTTTAAAATCGGCCCAGTAGTTTTTGAGTTAATTCAATACAAAATACGAGTCTTTCCTCTTTATAATATTAGTATAAAAATCAACAAATAAGCAGATGTTTGGTATGTGTGAATTACTATATAATTACCAGCTGTATCCATTGCATCGGTGATTTGAATCTTTTGTCATAAGACATACGGCACATTTTTAAAGCATTGTCTGATTTTGTTTACTTTAAGGGACAGAAGTTAAATAGTATATTGCAACAGACTAAGCAGGCATATATTAAATACTATAAAAGTAATCGTTTTAAAAGGTTAAATTAGTATTAAAACACTACAAACAGTTTTGTAATATATTTGGCATCCTAATAACTTCTCCCTACAAAAGGTTTAACAGGATAGGAATGTAAAAACGTTGATTTTTACGTATATAAATATATGTATGTATGTATTTCCAACTGACTTTGGACACATGTATGTAAGAATGACGTGGCGCTTCTTAAACGTTTTAAAATGACACAAATTGAAGCAAGTTATTTTTAGAAATATTTCCTATATGGCTCAGCAATTTAGTTTTAGTGCGCACAGCGGGTGGTATTTTTTTTTTCAAACATTGTATTGCACATAAAATAAATATCCCAAAGCATTCTACTAACCCTCTAGGGGACATTACTGGGCTCTTTTACGACTGTGCCCTGTTACCTTCTTATCATCTTGAGAAATAGGCAAAGTGACAAACGTAATAATAACATAAAGTGATAAGACTTCATAGAAACAAAAATTTACTTTAGACTTACTCAAATACAAAACTATTAAATTATATGAATCACCAAACAAAACCAATATTGCATTTATTTATTGAGAGTGACAAATAATTTATTTTCCAATAAACTGATACCACTTGTAAGATTGTGCAACGCTTCACAAAAAATTCGCATGCAAAATAACGAAATAGGACATTAGTACATACTAAAAAACAAAAAAAAAGATACCTGATGTCGTATACTGTCACGCATGGTGCTTGACATTTCTTGTTTATGTACCAGAAAACTCCACGAACAACTTTCGATAGCGAACTACAACACACAACTGAATCGAGTCGAATGATCATCTCTGAGTGTTATGCCGCCTACCACATTCTCACCACCTACATACCACAAGCATCATCGTGACGTGGTCGATAAAAATAGCTCGTACAGAGCACGCTCAACACTCATGTGTTAATATAGCCAATATTGCGAAGCGGCGATGTATAATGAAGTATGATTGTTTATCGTTGTTAGAGCGCTACGTTTCACACGATTATCGCACTCAATGACGCATCAAGAGTGGGGAGGACCCGTTTGACACCAGTTGTAACTGACTGATGTTGAATATAAAGAAAGTCAATTGAAATCAACTATTAAAACTACTTAATACGAACTTGTTGCGAACGTACATTATGCTAAAACGTTTATTGCGTTGCTATGAATCTTTAATTTCGTCGCAAGTATGTGACCTTTGTTTTGTAACTCAAAACTTTTGCCTTTTCTTAAGTTGGATATATAACTTAGTTATATGGATTTTTGCATCTGTACTTAATATTTTTAAGAAAACATTCAAATACCAAAACACCATTAAATACCGAAGCAACATATTGAACAGAATATTTTTTATAGAGTTTGCGTTTCCTTTTTTTTTCTTTCATTCCTTAAAATGGACACTAATATTTTTTGTATTAATGAATAGACCAACATTAATAAATAAATAAATAAACCCTTTATTATTTCACTTTAAAAATATACACATTTCATGAGAGCCTTGGCTCCTGCACTAGGTTCCCCTGTGCTGCAGGAGCCAATCCCTTTCCCCATTTGTAAAGAGCAATACATATTCATAAGTGTCTAAACATAAAATACAAAGAAAAACATTAAATTTACTTATTATAAAAATGACGAATAAAAAAAACAAAGGAAAAGAAAATGACATACATTAATGAAGCAGTTTACTTTATTTTATAGTTTCAAATTTAGTAATACTTTTTTGTATTCAGTAATTGCCGAGCGAGCGTATGTGTCTGATAGAAATAAATACCTCTTTCGCTGAAAGGAGTATACTTAAGGATGTACTGAAAACATTTAATAAATAAACTACTTAGCTGTTCCCTTGCAGCTTCATTTGCATGATTTATTACGTATTTTATTTTATTTTACAGGTTCCTTAAATTCAATTGAAAAAGTCAATGTTCTTGTTCTAAAATGATAATAAACATTGCCATAACCGAGCTAAAAAATAAACCTTGCTAAAATATCGAAAAAAAAAACAAGAATTGAAAGGGAGATATTTCGGTATTAAAAAAACATTCACCATAAAACTCGTTCAACGTGATTGAAGTAAACTCAAATTCGCTATATGAAAGAATGAAATTCACATATGTGCTATGTAGGTACGACTGTATTGCCAACATAAGAGAATATCTTAGAGCTTAAAGTCGTTTTAGTTCTGCTCCATTTATTGAATTTAAAGACAAAAAAATCATAACATGTTTACTCCTTTTCTACTTTGAGAGACTGCTTAGTATTAGAAATGTTTATTTTATTATGGAAATTGAGTTTATGTTGTTGAACAACTACTAAGAAGCTTATTATATTGAAACAGCCTTTCAAAGAGCAATTAGTGTAATGCGAAACTTTCAGCGTTGGTTCTATTGGAAATTTAAGTGGACTGGCTTGTTTTATTCATCTTGTTATCTTGTTATTCTTTACAAGAAACTAACTGTTGCTCGCGTTTTCGTCTGCGTGAAATTAAAAAAATTATCATATATTACTTAGAGATAACGTAGCTTTTTAATGGTGCAAAACTTTTTGAAATCGGTCCAACAGTTTTGAGTTAATACAACAGAGAACAATACATACAGAAATACAAATCTTTCATCTTTATAATATTAGTATATGATAAATATGTATCGTACAAATAATTGATACTTGGAAAAATATAAAAGCTCCTAATAAAAATGAAAATGCAAATTTACATATAATTTAGGTTTTGGTATTAAAACGTTTTATGTACAAGTAGTCTAAAATCTGAAATGAATAAATCTATCACTCAGAGGGGCAGACAGAGACTTCTTTCTTTTTGTCACAGTCCTGGAAAAATCACATTCTTAGACTTCATTCACTCGTAATATAATGTAATAATTTAATTATCTCATATTCACCAAGATATAAAACTACTAACTGTTGCTCGCGACTTCACACGCATGAAATTAAAAGATATAGCCCATGTTACTCACAGATAAATTACCTTACTAATGGTGAAAGATTTTTTTAAATCGGCCCAGTAGTTTTTATGTGAATAGGCTACATACAAAAATCCAAAAATACAACTCTTTCCTCTTCATAATATTAGTATAGATTATTATAGATAACGTAATAGATTTACCTATTACAATGTAATAAGCCTACTGTTACAATAACTTTTTAAATTGTTAAATGACTTGAATCTGAGAAAATAGATATTCGTCGTTCGCGTCTTTTACATATAGTATGGTAGTCTACTTTCATAACTGTAGAATTTCCCTTAGGACAGGAATCGATGTGCGAAATTGTATACGCTTCTAAACACAACTGAGAGTATTTTCATTTTTAAACACGTCGAATATTACATTAGGCTAAAGGAATGATTGGGAAATACGTAATATAAATTGAGGAATACAAAGATTCATATTATATTATATCGTTACTTATGTAATTTTCGGTGCATGTGGTATCCGTAAGCGCATTTCGAAATAGTTAGTAAAATTGCACATATTTGCTATTCGAAACAGGCAGGCGCTTTTGTGATATCCGAGAAAACATTTCGTTTACAAAGTTGTTACTACTGCTGCTTAAATACAAAAACCTTCGTTGTACATCACTTTCTTTCATCATCATCTTCATCATCATCATCATCATCATCACTCTTTTTGATGAATTGGTATTATAACTACTCCATATTGGACTGTTTCGTCAAAAGACATATTACAAACGTTACCTAGTAACCATGCTGAAAATAATGTATTGAAATTAAGTTGGTAGACGGTATATTACGACATATAACGTATAATTTGAATTGTTTCAAATGATGCCAACTTTTACCGCATAATGTTTAAATAGGTCTCAACTAAAGTTTTACGTTGTAACTAAATCCGTTCGTTTTCCAACTATGAATAAATATAATTAGAAAATTAACACAGAACACACGCAAAAGTAAAAGTTTAAACGGATTGTTTGTTATTTTGTTGATTATAGCTAAAACCAATATTTGGTACGACAGATAGATATTAAAGGAAATTCATTCTTATAGATAATTCACGATAATTTTAACTAATATTTTTAATCCATTGTTTGTAAATTAACCGATCTGGAGATTGAAATAGCAATCGTAAAACACAATCTATTATCTGAGTTTAGAGATTGATCGTATCATTTTTCTATTCCATTTTCAAAAAACTTTTCGTCTTGATTTTATGTATCGAAAAATTATGTAGCTAAATGACCTTCTTCCCTTTGGTATTGAATCTCTTTTAAATGTAATTATTAATTTCTAAAGTATTTAATGGAAACACTATCCTAAATTAGTGATGTAGTTTTCATTATTACTTTATTATGGTATCTTCCTTAGGATCAAAAGCCAACTAAAATAGCCAGTTCGAGGTAGAACTCAGAGATAAATAGAAAACATGGCAACGACCGGTTACGAAGAAATTAAAGTCAGACGCGTACATTATCAACAACATTTTAATGCCCTCTCGAGACGTATTGAGTCTTTTGCATATATTTTTATATTAACAAGCGTCTAGACTTACAAGGTCGTTTTCACCTTTGACATCTGATACTTGTTTACGTAAATATTTTTCAACACCATTTCTCAGGAAATTATAAAAAAACACGTTTAAGAACTCACATAACCAGTGAAAAGTATAGTGTTAGGGATAGAAAATATGTCCATTTCCTATGAGATATTGTTCAAGGAGTTTTGATAATTAAGACTAAATTTTAGGTAGATATTACTTGTACAATCGGCAATGTAAGGGAACAATATGGTGGAAAAATTTTTGTCTTTCTTAATAAAAATATTACTCTGAAAATAGTTAAGTTTCGCATTATACCGAAAAAAATAAACTGATTTTTTATATTTCTTTAAACCTAATACACCTTGGTTCCTGGTAGCGTTACGTCTATTGTGTCTAGAATATAAATTTAATTTTATATTACAAAGAAAATGGAAATACCTTTGTAAGGAAATTCTACTAAGTAGGAGGTAATTGGTTTCCTATAACAACATTATATGAAGGAACATCTTAAGTACTTTAACTTGAGGCATTGCTAGAGATCGTAGCGCTTTGATAGTTTACTAATTAGTTCTACCATAAGATCTTCAAGGGGCTTAAATCAAAGTAAGCTTTCCAGACTATCCACTACATCTGTGTGAAATAACATCGAGATCTGTTAAGCCGTTTAAGCTACAAACTCTAACAAACATCCATCCATCCAGGATTAGTAAGATTACTAAAATAATTATAAACAATAAGTAATAAAATTACCGAAACATAACATGTTAAGTACTGGACTGAGGTTGCAAACATTATACGAGATTTGATTGCTGTACGTACAAAGCCAGTTGCGAAAGAGAAAAATTATTCGCGAGGGAATATTATAGATAGACGTATCCACTCTCTTAATTACGAGTACATAATTCACAATAATTAAAGTAAGGAGTTTGCTGGTAATCTAAGATTTAACAATTAATATCTTGCGGATGAACGTAATTAGGGCCTGTTTTTCAAAGGAAATCTCAAGAAAGATGTCCTGGTTTTGGGGGAAGGCAAGGTTATGTGTGTTTACTGCACTAAAACTCCCTCGGTGGTAATCTTCGACTACAAGGGGTGGAGATCCGGGATCTCAGGTTAAACGCACCAGTGCCCCACTACACGCAGCTTGCGCGCTTTCGACTAAAGCAAACGCTCCCTTAAAACGGCAACACGGGACCAAACCATGCTGCCGTTTTCTCGGGATCGCTATGCAGGGAGATCTGTGTTGCCCTCGCTTATCGCCTACTACAGCCTATCAGGGTAGGGTTACACTGTAAGCT